CCATGTACCTATTCTGCTGACTTCTATCACAGTGAGTATAATATCCAGTTTTAATCGTGGGGTTTTATTCTATACTTTGCCTCTTGGACAGAGGGAAAAAAATGGCTGAGATTTGGGACTGGCTGTGTTCTTTATAGCCAATGAACACATCCAGACATTCTGCATACAGGATCATGCCACTTGCAAATTAAGACAATTTAAGAATTCCTTCTCAATTCTGGAAGCTTTTTTGGTTAGCATGTGGCATAACATGTTTAAACTGCCACACACAGCGTAAGCCTCCCGTACAAGCGCCTGTTTGAGTTTGGCTGCCCCACATCCGATCCAGCTCCCTCCTAATGCAGCTTGGAAGGCAGCAGGAAGTGGCCCAAGTTCTTGTACCCCTGTGGGATGAACCAGTGGATGGAAATCTTTTCTCTGTAACTCTGGCTTTTAAATAGATCTTGTATTATTACTTTAGTTTTCAACCAGATCTTAGAAGGCGAGGTAGAGAAACTCCATCCACTGATTGAGCTGAGCTGACCCGAAGCTGGAAGCCAGGAGTTTCTTCCCGGTCTCCCACAAGACCTCCTGTACTGCCTTGCTTGGATGAGAAGTGGAGCGGGTGGATCATGGTCCAGTGCCATGCGGGATGCTGTGCTGAGGGCATGCTGCGCTGTGCCGTGGTGCCAGCTGCAGAGTATCTGTAAAATCGATACTGCTGTCCCCTTTCTCAGTTTTGCTATTGATATATTTTTTTTCTACAACAGATTTCCTCAAAATGTTTCTCATTTTTAAGATTTATTTTTATTGGAAAGGCAGATTTACAGAGGGAAGAGACAGACAGATCCTCCATCCACTGGTTTGCTCCCCAAATGGCTGCAACTGCTGGAGCCGAGTGAGTCTGAAGCCAAGAGCCAGGAGCTTCTGGGTCTCCCATCCTCTGTACCTTTCCAGGGCACAAGCAGGGAGCTGGATGGGAAGTGGAGCAGCCATGACACGAACCAGCACCCATATAGGATGTCAGCACTTGGAAGCAAAACAAGGATTTTAGCCACTAGGCTACTGCACCGAGTCCCTTTTAAATATTCTGAGGTGTGTTTTATTACTAAGAACGTTCTCTGTTGAGTGTGCCTTTGCAGGAGTTTTCTTCTTCGGTCGGCTAAAGTATTTGATAAATACCAGTGAAGTTAAACTGGTAATAGTAGCTTATATCCTTACTGATTTTCTGTCAATTGTTGGGGTATAATTTTTTCTGTTGCAGACAGCAAAGTTTATTTGCTTAGGGACCAGGGGAGCAGGGAAGGGAGAGGGAGGGGGAAAGCCCCTCTGGAGAGAAAGCCGGGAGTTGGGGTGCTTCGAAAGGGGAAGGGGAGAGACCCCAAAGGTTTGAGGAAGGGTTCACGGGGGTATAATTTATTACTGTGGTGATTATCTACTTTTCCTTATACCATTAGTTGTGTTTCACCAGTTTGAAGCCTTGCCATTAAGTATAGATTATTTGAACAATTTATTTGAAAGTCGGGGTTAGATCCGTTGGGTGACTTTCCCGATGGCCACAGTGGCAAGGCTAGGCCGGGGTGAAGCCAGCAGTTGCTTCTGGGTCTCCCACGTAAGGCCATTAGTAAGGGCGGGACAGGAAGTGGGGCAGCTGTGCCAAAGTTGTGCCCGCTGAGGACGTGTGGGGAAGTAACCACCCACTAGGTTGCCAGCCAGCCCCAAGCATGTGGACGTGGTAGCTGTGCTTTTAATTCGCACCACAGTCAATGAGCTGATCCTGCTTGTTTTATAATTTGCTCTGGAATATACTTTGACATTAACATAATCACTGTAACTATGTTTAGGCTATTGTTGGCATCATATTTTGTTCTCCTGCCTTTATCCTTACTTGTGTCTTTCTGTTTAAAGTTTTCTTTAGCCTTTCCTCTGTTGGCAGCAGACAGTGGTTTCCCATTGGCCCAAGCTAGCAGTTTGTTTATTTGGAATACTTTGGCCATTTTGATTGATTTGGGCATGTACTGATGTGGCTGGGCTTTTATTTATTCTTGTTGGAAAGGTAGATATATAGGTGCAAGAACAGAAAGAAAGATCTTCCATCCACTGGAAGATTCCCAAATGGCCACAAAGGCCAGAGCTGAGCTGATCGAAAGGCAGGAACCAGGAGCCTCTTCCGGGTCTCCCACATGGGTGCAGGGTCCCAAAGCATTGGGCCGTCCTCGACTGCTTTCCCAGGCCACAGGCAGGGAGCTGGATGGGAAGTGGAGCAGCTGGTACACAAGCTGGCGCCCATATGGGATGCTGGGTTCAGACTGCAGTCAGGAGCCTGCCACTCTGACTTGGATAGAAGGGCTGAGGTGCTTGCGGCATGCACTGCTTTCCCAGCATCTGAGCAGCGAGCTGCCTGGGAAGGCACTGCAACATGGAATGCTGACATAAGCAGTGGCAGAATTATGGCCCACAAATTTTAATCATTTTACCGTGCATACTTGAGCGGGCAGCACTGTGATGTTAAGCCGCTGCCTGTGACCCCAGCATGCCATGTGCACACTGGTTCAAGTCCCAGCTGCTCCACTTCGGATCCAGCTCCACACTGATGTGCCTGGATAGGCAGCATCTGCTGCTTTCCTAGGACATCGGAAGTGGAGCAGCCAGGCACGGAAGCTGCCTTCAGGTGTGGTGTGCTGGTGCCGTTGGCCACGGCTTAACTGTAGCCTGCATCAGTCGCTCCTGGGAACTCTTGAGGATTTTATGTTCCAGATTTTCTTTCAAATTTCTAGTCCCTTTTGGTTGTCCGTGGAGGTAAGATAAGATTACAACAGTGAATGCAGCTCTCTTCACCTTCGCTGTGGGGCAGGTCTTCCCTGAAGAAACCCCCAAGTCGGCATTTGCAGAGCTTTTCTGTCGGCTAGTCTGGGGAAGATCTGGTGTCTGCAGAGCTGGGCTGGGGTGCTCGGGAGGCAGAGTCAGTTTGTAGTGGCCGACGCTCTGTGCCCTTCTGTGCACGGCTGGGATGGAGTGTGAGTGCTTGGGCTCTGCTCCAGCGTAGACCGGCCCTTGAATGCAGCTTCTTACATGAACTGAAAAGATTGAACTGTTGATGGTTTACTTCGTAGATGCCTGCCATAGCCAGGGCTGGGCAGGGCTGTGCAGGGCTGAGCCTGAAGCTAGGAACTTGACCCAGGTGTCCCACGGGAACAAGCCTAGTTGGGCCAGCAGCGGCAGGACGTGGGAGCCTGTAGTGCACGCAGGGGCTCTGGTAGGGCCTTGAGCCTGGCAGCCATCTACCCCATGGACATCTGATTCCTGGTTTTTTTGTTCCTATTACATGGGGTCTTCTAATTTTTTTATAATTTCCTTTTTAAAGGTATGTAAGTAGACTTGCCTCCTATATTGATATGTTCTGAGGGTTTTACCATTTTTACATCATGGGTCCTCTTTTTTGAAATTGTGGATTGAATCAGATTTCTCTTACAGAGACATAAAGCCTTCTTTGCTTCTGGATTTGGTGTCCTTTTATGAAGCCATCTGCGTAGAGTAAGCATCTTTCCACAAAAGTTCACACCCAAATCTAGGAACAAAACGTGACAAAAGCTGCCCAGCAGGTTCCCTTCCCCCCTTCGGGCCAAAAGGAGCCCTTCATGGTGCGCCACAACTGTAAGTAAGTGGGGGAGTTGCAAGTGCTCATGGGTAACTGAGTTTGGGTGCGAGCAGTTGGAGATCCACGCTTCTGCGAGGTGCCTTTAGGAAGTTCATGGTAAATGCATATTATGAGAACACAGTAGAGATCTTTTTTTCTGCTTCAAAATAAACTTTTAAAATTTATTTTTATTGTAAAATCAGAGTTACAGAGAGAAAGAAAGATCCTCCATCCACTGGTTCACTTCCCCAAATGGCTCAGTGGCTGAGGCTGAGCCAATCTGAAGTCAGGAGCCAGGAGCTTCTTCTGGGATCCCGCATGGGTGCAGGGTGCCAAAGCTTTGGGCTGTCCTCCATTGCTTTCCCAGGCCACAAGCAGAGAGCTGGATGGGAAGCAGGGCTGCTGGGATTAGAACCAGCGCCATATGGGATCCCGGAGCGAGCAAGGCAAGGACTTTAACTACTACGCTCTTGCACCAGACCCTCCCACAAGCTTTTGAAGTGTCCCTTGTGCTGTGCCGGGAGTGGTGGCTTTTGCTGACCTTGTGCATTGTTGAGCCAATGGCCCATTGTCCCCATCAGCACAACAGCGATGCCACACAAGCCAGCAGTGAGCTCTTGGGGCCATGACTGTCAGGATGGCAAGGGACACTTGTGCACTTGGTTCTGGAGGTCGGGGCGCAGGGTGCACACAGCAGTGCCAGCAGCTTATGTCCTCACCCCCAGCATGATGGCTTCCTGTCCCTCCACACTGCTGTCTTCCTGGCCTGCGCCCTGTTTCCCCGCTGACGCCGGAGTACCATGTCAGGGCAGGGTTCCAGGGCCAGCCCGGGGAGATGGGCTCACAGAGCAGAGCCCTGCGGTGCTGGCCGGCCTCCGGGGTCTAGACAGGGCTCCGTGCTGTTGCTCCCTGCTCCCAGCCCCCAAACGACAGGGGAGGGCTGCCTGTGTTCTAGAAGTCAGCATGTATTAGGGTCAGAAAGGTGGAGTGAGAGGACAGGAATGAAGTGCGTTGGGGGAGGACTGCCCCGAGCTGGGCAGAGGGCTGAGCAGTGCCCAGGGAAGGCCCGAGCCACCCTCACCCCCGCTTCCCGCACTGCTCATGCGCACAGTAAGTGAAGGAGGCCGTCTGGTCTAACAGTGGTTCAGACCCTCCACTTCCGGAAAATCCCTGCCAGGCGAGAGGGCAGAACCTGTGGCTCAGCCTGGCTTTGACCTTGGGTTTTCACCCTTCCAATCACTCTTCTCCCATGAAAAGCACAGGAGGGGATAGCGGAGGACAGACGCCTCCAGCGTGGAGCCCGTGACGGAAGTGCCTCATCCCCGCTGCCCAGCCAGGTGGCCTCTGGCTGTACTCGGTCACCAAGTCACCAGGTCAGTCAAGGTCACATGAAGGTTATTTATTGGTGTGATGTTTTCCTGTTGTGAGCTTCCTTTACACAGCAGAGTGTAAATAGCATCAGATTGAATGAACAATTTGTTAAATGCAACCATAAATAATTATAATAAATATACATCAAGTAACTTTCCAGCACACATGTTTTAGGGCCAAGGCTGGGACGTGTGGACCCGCGCGTGCGCTCTGAGGGGCAGCAGGGCTGGTGAAGGAGTTCGCTCCCAGCCATCGCTGTCGTCTGGCAATGGCCACCAGACCGTCCCAAGCCGCCCGGGGAGGCAGCTGGCCGAATGCCCACTGCCCTCGGGATGAGGATGGAGGGACAACAGCACTGGTAGTGAACCCGAAGGTCCTTGCCTGTGCCCATCGGTGAGAGGATCCTTGTGGTCAGGAATGTGTCCTGGTGAGACCCTTCTGTCCAGGGCTCTCCGCTCCGCAGGCGACTCCTGCACCAGACGCAGCTGATGCAGCCGCCGTGCTGATGCCGATCCGGGAGCCTCTCGCCTGGGCTCCGAGGTCCTTCCTGCACTTCCAAAGGATGCTGGACAGCAGCTATAACCTGACCGCGCACGGTACCCATCTGAGCAGCAGCCACCCTTGCAGTCCCAGCCACACTCTGAACCCAGCAGGGTCTGTGTGTCCCACAGATGGCACATGCTGCTCCTGGACAAGTACCACGGGGCACACACATTCAAGTGCAAGGGCAGCCTGGTGCACACCGAATGGGGCCGAGTGGTGTCCAGCGAGCCTGGCCAGATGGCAGGAGCCCACTGCCCTCAATGGTTTCCATCTGGACTTGGAAGTGACCCCAAATGGAAAGGAGCACCTCAGCATTCAAACGGGCACGTGTTCCCCAAGTCACTGGGAGGAAGGGCCGTGGAACGCGAAGTGGGGGCTGGCTCAAATTCCTGTGCTTTCCTGGTCAGAGGCATTTAAGAAGCTCCTGCCTCGAGCGAGCGCTGGCCCTTGGCCCCAGGCGTCCTCAGTGGCGCAGCTGGGCTGCAGCCAGCGGGCATGGCACCACTGCTACAGGAGTCCTCTGGGAAAACGGCCTCACTGGGTCTGGGAGAAGTCTCCAGGCCACCCCCACAGGCTTCCTAAGCGGGGACATGGACACAGGGAGCTCCCCACGTGGCAGGTGTATCTGGGCAGCTGGCGGTGACTGCCACACGCTGAAGGAAGCCTGCAGCATCCACTTCTGGGATGTGCCCCCACTCAGGTAGGAGAGCAGGGCCAGCCGCGAGTATGCTTGTGGGTACAGACCGGGTGGGCCTGCCGTGGCCACCTGCCTAGAGGGCTTTGGGGCTGAGGTGCCCATCGGGGCCTTGTGACTGCCAGCCACGAGGGAATGTCCAGGAAGATCAAAATAGACACAGACTGTGTGGGAACTAGACTATCCTACAAGGTGCCACACACTGCGGCAGGGGGACCAACCCATCACAACACGGACAAATACACAGGCGATGTCTTCCAGGAGGCCCTGGGACATGGAGGAAAGTTTGGAAGAGCGACGTCACCTCCTCCTCGCACAGCCCTAGGGCCATTATGGCAGGCTGCCCAGGCCCAGCTCATGGGCTCCCTGCCCTCAGCCGCTGAGGGGGTCTTCCCGGTAGTGTATGGCACAGCGAAGCTTGTCGAGCGTGACTTCCAGAGAGGAGTACTGGGGGAGCTTGACCATGAACATGCAGGTCTCCACCCGGATATAGCGTGAGTCTGGGGGACCTATGGGGGAGACATGCAGCCACGTTAGAGGGTCCAGGCGTGAGCACTGGGGCTTCTGGGCTTGGGTAACCTGGGGTGGGATGGGACAGACTGAGCTGCTGCAGGGCACGGCGCCAGGCCGCAGGCAGGTGACTTGGTCGTCAGTGGGTTTAAGCAGAACCATTTTTCTTTACTGAGAAGGAAGGATGGTTCCTCTCGCCCCCATCTGTACTTGGGCCCAGCAGGCATGGCTCCCTGTCATCCCTCCCTCACAGGCTGCAGGCCAAGCCGTGCAGCCTGTGAGTCCCCCCTAGAAGGGGAGCAAACAGGAGCAGTACCTGCTGTGCCATCCGGGGGGGCGATCTTCATAGGGTATGGGGGCACATGGGCGGTGTCCGGACCCCCGTCTTTGCAGGGGCAGGTGAAGGGGATGCGCTCCTGGTTGCAGGCAAACTTGATGAACTTGCACAGCTCCTCCTGCGTGAACATCTCCAGGGCCCCCCAGAAGAACTCGATGTGCTGGTCCGTCTCCATCAGCCCCACCTGGTACATGGTGTGGGCCTGGGGGAGAAAGGCCCTAGACATGAGCAGGGCAGTCTGCCCTTCCCCCCCACCTGGGGTCTGCCAGCCTTAAACCCAGGCCAGAGCTGTGTGCAGGCAGTGGGCACAGGGAGATGGTGGTGACTGTCTTGCCAGGGGCTATGGCAATGTGTGATGGCAGGGGCAGGGCTGGTGTCCGTTGCCTGCTCACCCGGCCCGGGGCCGCCTACCTTCAGGAACTCGAGGTTGATGTGGGGGAGGCCGCAGGTGCGCAGCTCCATCTCCAGGGGGCTGAGTGTGCTGAGCAGCTGCAGGGGAATGATGGAGCCCAGGCCGGCCCGCACGGCCGTCACACACTCCACGTTCTGCAGCTCCCGCAGCCGCAGGCTCCGGATGGCTGCTGCGTAGATGTCCTTGTTTTCCCATCTGCCGGGTGAGGGGCACGGGTGAGGAGGAAGCTGGGAGGCTCAAGGGCTCCCGGGTCTGGGGCTGTGGCCGCTGCCCTGGCGGCCTCAGTGTCGGAGTGGCCCTGGCCGCACTCACAGCCTTTGCCCTGGTCTGGGGGCCTGTTTCCTGCCTCATGCCTCCCAGCGTCTCCCTCTCAGAGCTGCTTAATGCGATCAAATCATCACATTGAAGACCGTATTTCTTGGAGTTCGGGGGCCAATCCACGCCCCAGCCCTGGTCCCTGGAGAAATGCTGCTGTCACCCCTGCCGCCAGGTGCGCATACTCACGCCACGGGGATGTGCCGGCCGCGACTGCACAGTTCCACCTCCTCGCCCGTCATGGTCAGGTAGGTGAACTTGCAGCAGGGCTTGTTGGGCCCCTCGGGGCTCTCGGTGGCCAGGTGCTGGGAGGCAATCTCGGCGCACAGGGCCTCCAGCTCCGTCTCGTCGTTGATCTGGAGGGCACAGGGAGGCCTGCCAACAGGGCCCTGGGAGGGGGACCCCTGATCTCCAGCTAGGGCTGGAGCTGTCCCTGACTGCAACCTTGCTGCCCCAGCCCAGAATCTCCATCAGCGCCTGGAGGGGCACAAGCCTGGGCCTGGCCCGTCAGATGGCTCTGTTGGTGATCTAGGCCGGGGTGACGAGACCCCGCCCAGGGCTCTTCCTGTCTGCCAACTGCAGTCTTGTCCTGGGGTGTGTCTGGCTGCATCAGGGGTACCCAGCAATGGGGAGACACTACATGGTCTCGCTTATCCCCTCAGACAGTGTCTGGTCGCCTGGCTTATGTGTTGAGCCCTGTACCCCTTCTAACCCAGAAGAACTTTTTGGAGTAGTGCCCACCCCAGACACAGGGATGCCAGGCCCATGGGCCACTTCCCCCTGGAAGCCAGCTGAGGGCCAGGTACTGGGCGCTTCTTTGTGCTCACTGCCCTCTAGTGGTGGCTAGGGACAACTGCAGAGCCTGGCTGGCTACAAACTGACAGTAAGGGGTTGGCTGGTTCGCCGGCCCACTACTCTGAGAAGAGAGTGTGTGCTGGCAAGCTGCAGCTGTCCCCTCGGGGGGGGAGGCTGCTCAGACCCTGCTGTGGTCTGTGTTGCGCACAGGATGGGGGCGAAAGCAAAGCTGGCCTCTGGTGCTTCTGAGATCCTGAGCTAGACATCGGCTTGAGCTGCTGGCTGCAGCGGCCTCTGCCATGCCACTCAGCGGCATCCTGCTGTGGTGCCCCAGGAGACCAGTCCTGGCAGAGATGGCGTGCCAGGCTCATGCTCCCTGGGTCCCGTCCCTTCCCAGGGGGCAGGGAGCGCTGGTGTGCCCTCACTTACACTCTCGAATTTCTTGACGTAATTGTAGGTGAGGATGTCTGCTTCCTGCAGGTCCTGGTCGGGGTCCAGAGGCTCACCCACCAGTGACTTCCAGAAGGAGGGCAGTAGGTCCAGTGGCAGTGGCACGTCCGCCCGGATGGCGATGCCCAGCAGCTGACCCAGGAAGTGCAGCAGCTGTTCCTCCCCATAGGTGATGGGGCTGGGCGTCAGGATGTACTTGCCCTGCAGGTGGAAGGTCAGGGAGCTGGCCCCAGGGTGTGGAGGCTAAAGGGGGAGAGGGGAGCCCCGTGCGTGCGGGCCTCAGCCTTACCTTGTTCTTACTGACGGCGGAGCTGGGGCACAACAGGAGCAGCGACAGCGAGGAGCTCTGCAGCTCCTTGCACACCTGCCACAAGAAGTGGCGGAAAGAGCCACCTGCAGAACAGATACCAGCACTGCCGCCCCCAGCTGGACGGACCTGGCGAATGCACCCCTGCCCCAGCATGTGGGCCAAACTGCCTGCAGCTGCAGGACGGTGGTCACACTCGCTTTGCAGGTGTGTTTCAGGGGTGAAATAAAAGCAGAGCCCCTGACATGGGACACCTCACAGCTGCAGGCCTGCCTCCCTGCCTGTGGGCAGCATGCCCTGTGTTCCTTGAGTGGGAATACACAAAGGGTCACCGGTGCTTTACCACACCTCTACTGCCGCCATCTCTGTAAGCACAATGTGCCTCTGCTGGGTCCCTGGTTCTCTCTGGGGTCCCCTGTGGGCACCCTAAAGGGCAAAGGTACAGGGCCACTTGGAGACCCAGGCTGGAGCACAAGCCAGGACTTGGCCCTTGCTGCTTCCTGACTGCTGGCCTGGCTAGGGCGGCTCAGGGAGCTGTGTAGCCTTGGGGATGAGCTGTCACCACCTGGTGCCTCAGTTTCCTCTTGCATAGAAGGTCACTGGGTCTCCAAGTGGGCACTTTCTGAGTGCTCAGTAACTCACAGCCTTGGGGATGCTAGGGGACACCTGCTTGGGGAGGGGGGCACCAGTGGTCCTCCGGGGATGGGCAGATGTGGGATATGGCCCTCTGGCTCCCCTCCTGGTACACCTGGCTGAGAAGGCGTATCCACAGCTAAGATGCCTGCTGAGCGCCCCTGGTGAGCCAGCCTGCCCTGGGGTTGCCTCTTCTGGTGACCCCAGTGTGGAAGGGCCGGGAGACCAGGCCAGCGCAAGTGTCTCCTGTCCCCTCTGGGCACAGGGCTGGCAGATGCTCTCAGCAGCAAAGCCCCTGGCAGAGGCTGGTGGGGGACAGGACGGGGACAGGGGTGCTGAGCTGCCACTCACTTGTGCCGTGGACCTCCTCTCCTGTGAAGCGGATGTTGAAGGCGTAGGTGGGGTCACCTCCACTTGCCAGCTTGACGCAGAGCTGGGAAGATGGCACTGAGGCCAGCTGCCGGGCAGCCTGGCAGAAGTAGGAGTTTTCAGAAGCTCTGATTTCCCCTGGGACGCAAGAGAGGAGCTGGCCACTGCCTCCAGGGCCCGTGCTGCACATCCCAAGACACCCTGGGGCTCACCTCCTTCTGGACTCATGTTCAGCCCCCTCTGCCATCAAGTTTCTTGGAACTTTCCATGCACTCGCCCCTAGGGCTCCCCTGCCTGTAGACTCCTCCTCAGGGAGGGTCCCCACCTTTCCACAGCCTCCCTCTCATTCCTTCCTGCCTGTGGCCTCCACTGTGTCAGTGTTAGCACACAGGCCCTGCAGCCTCCTCCTCGTGAGCCAGACCTCCACATCTGAGCAGGTGCTTGGCAGATAAGAATGAAGTTCAGGTCCTATCCTGCAGCCTGACAGCCTTGCCACCTGTGCCTAGGATGCAGGCCCTGAGTGCTGAAAGCACCGGATGGAGGACCCAGTGTCCCAGCACCCATGTGCGACGGCCCTGGACTTCCTTGTGCTGAAGCAGTCCTGGCTGCTTTGGGCACGGCCACCCACATGTCCTGCACTCCGCTGCTGCTCCCACCTCCCACAATCTCCAGGGGGTCCAGTGTGATCTCGGGCGCTGCGTGGTCAGCCGTCCTCTGCACGGTGGCGTTCAGCACTCGGTTCATCACAGTCACCTTCGTGTCATAGAAGATCAGCCCTGACAGGAGGCACATGTGCAGAGCTTCAATGGGCTGTTCTCTTCCCAGCCACCCCTGGGGCTCCCGGTCTCCTGTGACACCCTCCTGGTCCTTGGAGGGGACCCTCCTGTGCCACGCTGGTGGGGGCAGACGACAATGCCAACGTCAGGGAAGTGGCAGAGATTCAAGTAGTGTGCACACACACACTCTGATACTCTTATACCCGGGAGATGCCAGGCTGGGGAGCACAGGCCAACCAGTTGGGTGAACTGGTACTCAATGCAACTGAAAGGCACAACAAGCCCCCGTGTGCATGAAGGGCAGGCATGCAGGGCAGACAACGACATGGCACTTCCCATTTTTCTAATTGACCTGAGGATGTAGAGAACTGGCATGTTTCTGAGAACTTGTGACTGTGGCAGCTCTCGGAGGACTGGCTGTGAGCTGGCAGGTGCCCCAGCTGGGAGCTGAGCAGGCTGGCACTGACCTTTGGCCTCCTTCAGCAGAGCGGCGATGCTGTGCGTGTACATGGGCGTCTGGCGCAGCTCCACGAGCGGCAGGAAGAAGGTCTCCAGCGTCGTGTTAAGGGACTGCAGCAGGGCGAAACGCAGGCGCAGGCTCTCGATGGGAACACCTGGGGGCAGCAGGGGGTCAGGCCGGGCACTTCGGGCATGCCGCATGCACAGACTAACTCAGCCACTCCTTACTGGGTGGGACCTAGAGACGCCCTCCAGGAACTTTATTCCTGAGACCCTAAGGAGTCCCCAGTGTACTGGCTCCTGGGAACCCGAGGCCCCAGCCTTGCTCAGGGCATGCCGGGGCTTCCTTCTGCAGTGCCTTCTGTTAGGAAATACTTGCAGAGCACAGGAATTGCAAAGAAAGAAGTCCTGGGACCTTGGGCCCAACTCCCCGGGAAACCACGATGGGTACACTGCCTTTTAGCCGATCACTGCCACCGAGAGACTGAGACCAGGCCAACCTCAGGCCCACCTGCACTGTCTTGGCACCCAGATGCATGACTGCAGGGCCCTTGCCAGCCTGCTGGGGGGTCTGCCCCTGGGTGGGTCAGTGGGGTGCTCCCGACTCGACATCCCTGGCTTCTCAGGAGGTGCTGTGCAGACTAAGCTGCCACTTGAGGCCCTGCAGTCTATACTGGAGAACCAATTCAGGCCCCAGCTGCTCTGCTTCCAATCCAGGTTCCTGCTGGCGTCCCTGGGAAGGCAAAGGACGATGACCCAAGTCCTGGGTGCCCGCCACTCCCATGAAGAACTGGATGGAGTTCCTGGCACCCAGCTGAGCCTTGGCTCTCATGGGCTTTGGGGCGTGAACCAGCAGATGGAAGGTATCTTTCTGTTTCACCCTTTCTGTCATTTGCCTTTCAACAAGATAATCAGGCCTTAATATTTTTAACCAAAGGCAAAACTATGCTGTTCCTGTGGCAAGAGATGCATCAGATTCCAATCCTTTTCACTGCAGACCATGTCTGACAATGGCGGGGTGAGGAGGGGGGCCCCAATTTCTAGCCCTGTGTTGGAATGAGCCCCTACCTGATATGGCTGTGGCACAGCCTGCTGCCTGTCCTGCCCTGTCTCAGCTTCTTTCAAGCCTCTGGCATGTAGTGTCCCCAGGCACGTCCGCCCCACCTCTTGTCTTACACCCCTACTGGGTCGGGCCCAGGGCCCACATACTCGCGAGACAGGCTGTTTGGGGGTCGGTGGTGTCCGCAGGCTCCAGGTACACCTCATGGGGGTGAAGCCGTGCCGGTGTGATGGCCAGGTGGCGACACAGGCGGTTGATGCACTGTACAAGCGCCACGTCCATCTCCAGCGTCCACTTCCGGGAGGCCTTCTGGGCATGTCGGACATCGATGCAGGCACACCTGGGGGCGGTTGGAGAAGGGCAGGGTGAGATGATGAGGGCTGGGTCCTCTTACAGAGCCACATCCCTGCTTCTAGAACACTCCAGGCTGGATCTCTGGTCATGCCTAATGCACTGTACCTTGGGGTTGGGGGGAAGATGACTCTCCACAAAAGTCAGTCTTGGGTTCCTGCGCCCATAGGGGGAATTTGGCAGGGTCGGGGGGGAACACTGGAGTCCCAGGATGGATGCAGCGTGACCCAAGCAACAAGCTCACCCGCTCTGGAGTCTGCTGTTTTCACCATACAACAGAGATAATGGGTGCAGGGGCCGTATGCAGAATCCCAGGAATTCAGGCACACAGGGTGTGCCTGACCTGTTCCACAGGCATCCTTAGCCCACAGCTGCATGGCAAGATTCACCTGTGAAGCTGTTGTGAGGGCCTCACCACAATGCCAGCCAGAGCTCAGATGCTGTCACACGGGATTAGCTGCACATTCACACCCAGGGATGGAAGAGCAGGTAGCGTTAACACACCCGAACGGACGGTGTGGCAAGATGCAGACAACGACCAATGCAGGTCGCAGTGCAGGTCTGCCCGGACCCCACGTAGGCAGCACTGGAAAAATCTATTCTGGAAAAACCATGGTGTTCTCACCACCCCAAGAAAAACAGGCAGGCTGGGAGCAGTGGGACACCAGTGGGACGCTGGCCATGTGCCACTGGAGGTACTACTTCGGGCAGGATTGAGGGCATGGACCCAGGGCGCTCTGTGCTCCAGGATGCCCCAGGCCCCAGCCCAGGGTACTCTGTGCGAGCCCTGAGCCCCTGCGGAGGGGATGCCCTGCCTGGCCGCAGGTGAGTCTGATGAACACGGCCCCAGCAGGTGTCACCGGGGCCTCTGTGCTGCGCCCAGAAGAGCCTTGCAGCTTTTGCAGGGGTCACCACGGGACCTGCTGGGAGTGCAACATGTTCCCGACCCACTCCTGACATGGCGTTGCTGGAGCACGTGAATGGCGCCACTTTCTCCAACACCTAGCGCGGCTTACTGTGGCTGTGACAGAACAGGCCTCTGTGGGACAGGCAGAAGGGGTGGTGGGACCAGCTCCTCTGTCCCCCAAACATACTGCCCTCCTGGGAAGAGGGAACCAATAGGACAAGGAGGCCTTCGAGGGAAATTATAAACTCAAGGAAAAGGTTTCTTAGAGTAAGAAGTAACCCCAGGAACCCATTCTCCAAGGGCCTAAGCCCAGCTGACAGGCAGGCTTGAGGGCCTGCAAAGGACTAAGTAGAATACAGTCATTACAGGAAGTTCATGGAATTAGAGGTTAGTGTTGGCTCAACAGGCCACTCAGTCTCCTGTAAGTGCTGCCATCCCAAATGGGCGCTAGTTCATGTCCTGGCTGCTCCACTTCACATCCAGCTCCCTGCTTGTGGCCTGGGAAGACAGTGGAGGACGGCCTAAAGCCTTGGGACCCTGTAGCCACGTGGGAGACCTGGAAGAAGCTCCTCGCTCCTGGCTTCAGATTGGCTCAGCTCTGGCCTTTGTGGCCACTTGGGGAGTAAACCAGTGGCTGAAAGATCTTAAAAATCTTTGTCTCTGTAAATCTGCCTTTCAAATAAAAAAAATAATAAATCTTTAAAACGTTTTTGGAATAAAAATTACATGATTTGAAACTTTTGCACCAAAATAAATCTGTCCTTTCAATTTTTGAAACATCCTCCTGTGGTGAGCCCTTCTCCCACAGGGCTGATGTCCCCAGGAGAAGAGGCAAGCGGACAGCCACGTGGTCCGAGCGGACACCATGTGAGGGTACAGCGAGGGCGGCTGGCCGAGGCACGAGGCCTGTGCCACCTCAATCTGGGTCAGCTCTGAGAAATTCCCTTGTGCTGTGTGAGCTGTGGCCTGTCTGTGAGGCAGCAGTGTCGGCTGACTAGCCCAGCCCATGTGCCTCGCACAGCAAGGAAAGGGGTAGTTCTCAAATGTCTGAGAAAAACCACCTGTCAAGTCTAAAACATCCAGAAAGCAACCTCCACGGCGCCCTCAACGAGGCACAGGGAGCGGCTCCCCGGTGCAGCGTTCCGTTGTTGAGGACGATCGGTGCCCATGCATGAGCTCGGGTGAGCAAAGGGCAACCGCCTACCTCTCAAAATGAAGATCGTAGCCACAGGACAAGATGGCCCTCCAGACGCTGCGGATGTCCTGCTTGGCTCGGTCAACGACAAACTTGTGGAATCCTTCCAAGGTCAGATATTTTTCTTCAGGGACTGGTGGAGGAGTGTGTGGTTAGTGGGCTGGCAAGCACTGCGCGGCGTGGCCTCCCCGCCCGCTCTCCTGCTGGGCCTCATCCTGGTGCCTTCTCTCTCCCAGGCCCCAGGCCCGTCTTCTTCCTTCACTCCCTGCTGTCTGCAGACACACCCAGCACTCCTGCAAAGCGTGTCTGAAAGCTCACCACACAGTGCAGCCCTCTCGCCAGCCCCTTCTTTCTGGAAGGTTCAGAGACCCCTGACTGACAGAGCAGTTTTGACAATGACCCAACTGGCTTTCAGGGGAGGCAGCTGGCATTCGCTGGCATCCCACGCCCCGGGGCAGAGGAGCTTAGGCACCATCTTCAGAAGCAAAGCTCCAAGCCAACTCCCAAATCATTCACGTTCTTCACCCTGAGTTTCTGGAACTTCCTGGCTTACCTCCTGAAGTTTATGGTCCTCAAAGACAGTGCCCTGGGGAATTCAGAACCAATACAGTTCCCAGAGTCTCTGGTGAAGGTGCCTAAACTAACCCCCAGAGGACCCATACTCTGGATGCCAGCAGGTCCTGGGACCCACACTGCCCCCCACTGATGCCAGTAGGTCTCAGGACCCGTGTTGCCACCACCCCCTGTCCCACTTCCTAGATGCCAGCAGGCCCGGGGGCCCATGCTGTCTCCTCTCCCGGATGCCAGCAGGTCTCAGGGTCCACCCTACCACCCCACATGCCAGCAGGTCCCGGGGCCTATGTGGGCCTCCAGATGCCAGCAGGTCCTGGGACCCACGTGGCCCATTTACCTTCCTGCTTCTTGGCGGGTGATTTTTCTGGGTCCTTCTCATCAGGCTTGCTCTTTTCTGGGGATTTCGGCTTCACAGCTGGCTTCTTTTCACTTAAGGCAGTCCTGCTGTAGACCAAGTGTGGCAGTGAGCTCCCGAGGGGAGAGGCAGAGGCTCCTCGGGCGTTAGCTCAGACTGCCCGCTGTCCTGCAGGCTTGGGGCTGAAGAGCTCATGGAGGAGCTGCCAGGGCCAATCAACGCTGTGACATGTGGACAGCCGTGACGCGGCTCTTCACACATGGTCCCCACGCCCTGCAGAGCTGCAGCCCTCGGCCAGCCACCCTGCTCCATGTGATATGAAGACTAAACACAGCCCGCTCTTGGCACCTTGTGGGCACGCACCCCACTGAAATGGCTCTGCAAACTGGACATGCCCAGCACCAAGGGTGCCCAGCATCACAGAATGTTTTCTCAGCGCAAGCTTAAAAGCAACACGTCCCCACTACACGTTAATACAGACACCCCCTCTTCTGGTCATTTAAACAACACTGAAGAATCCTGCTGGACGGTGTCTTGCTATTTTTAGGGAAAAAGAAAAAACAAACCAGGCAGATTCCTTAGCACTGCTCTGGAATGATCATCGTGGAAAATAATAATGGAATAACTATAATAATAATGGATCTAGTGAGGCAGACACTGGACCCAGCATCCATTGGCTTATATATTCCTAGGAAAGTTCTGGAAGAAAACACCAGTATCCCCTGAGAGGTGAACTTTGTGAGGTTTAGGTACAAAGAAGACGGACAGCTCTTCACTGTACAGGCTTTTGAATTCTGTGCCATTTTAGTCACTCAAAATTTAAGACAACAACATGTGCATGTAAATTAAAGGTTATGTACTTGAATATTAAACTAGTAACTACCTGTGGGGTTAATGTTTCCCCAACAAACACACACATATTCGTTTTCTAATTTCTCAATTATAATGTCTCATTATTTGTATGTTTAAAAGATTTCAAAAAATTGCACACATCGCTTCTCAGTTTTTTGCTAAGATCAAGTGTAAAAAAAAAAATCGTACACTTCAGAGGCTTTCCTAAAGCTGCCTGGTCTCTCCAGCCCGTGTGGCTGCAGATCTTACTCTACTGGGGGTAAAACAAAACAGCGGCGCCCAGCTGCTGCGGCTGCGCCCGAGGCCCCGGACACACCTGACGCTGTTGAGCACGGCCTTGTCCTTGGCCGGTGGCTTGGTGACGGGCCGCTTGGTGCTCACCACCTTCACGGGGTGCTGCTCCTTGCCGGCCTTGCTGTATTTGCTTTTGTCAAACTTGGGCTTTGGCACACCATACTTCCTCAGGATCTGTGGGGCACAGTGGGCAGGTGGGCATTCTCACCCTGCAGGAGGCCCCTCGCCCAGCACAGGCACGGCGGGACCACGGCACCTACCTGGGTGAGCTGGTCTTCCAGCACCTTCTTTGGAGGCCGGACGTTGGTGAAGAAGAGGTGCAGGAGGTTGCCCGGGGTCTGGGAGTTGATCTGCTCTTTGCTGAGGTAAATGTCAGAAACTCGGATGGGCTTAGCAGGTGTCAGGCTCAGTGTTTGCTCTGAATGGGCGCAGCTCTTAAATATTTCCGTCAGAACCTCTCTGGCCCCAGGCACCAGCTTCTCACCTGGCCCAGAAGAGGGGAAAGGCACGCCCATACCGCCATGAACACGCTGTGTGGGAGCAGCTTTGCACGCTTCAGCTTTTACTTTCCAAAGCAGTTAGGAGACATTTCATGGAGAGGGGGAACTGTCCGCCCAAATCTGTGCATCTCACTCATGGGTGCCAGCCTGCCGTGTGGCGGGGCGTGGCCCTGCCATAGGTGAGGCTGCCCTCGGTGCCCTGGACTTCCACACATGCACATGGAGCTGGGCGCAGCCTCGTGGTGCCTGTTACCATGGCAGCCCAGCTGGACTCATTTAGAGACATCACATGTAGAATAACCCCAAAGGAGGAAAAGCACGCCAGGCCCAGGGGCGCTGTCAGCGAGTGGCTGTGCTGGCAACCACCCAAGAGCATGAGAACCAGGCTCCTTTGTGTCTCCAACCACACACTCTCGAAGGCGTGCCTGACCTTCCTACCTAAGCACAATCACTCCCCCAGGTACTGCCTCTCACTGCTGCCACTGCTCCCGTGTCCCCTCGCAGACGGCCACCCAGGGAAGGCCCAGCTCTAGTCAGCCATGCATATGTGGGCAGAGGCTGGGGCAGGTGGTGGGGGAGAAGGGCTGGGTCCTAATGGCTGCCCGCTAGCATCACAGCATCCAGGGACCCCCGGATCCCCATTTTCCTCATCAAGACACAGCAGCCTCTCTGTGCAGAGTCTGAGTCATGGCAGGGTGATTGCAGACTGGCCCAGCAGAGACCTGAGGAACTTAGGGGGAAGGACAGGGTGCAAGAGACCCCAGGACGGAAACTGAACTCTGATTCAGAAAAGAAGGGAAGCCGGGAAGGCGGTAAGAACGGCCGGAGCGTCCCCGCAGCTGTGCTTGCTGGCCGGGGGAGGCTCATCAGCCAGGGCCCAAGCGGACAGGGCTGGCACCTTTCCCTTAGCCCCAAAAACGCAGTCATGAAAATAAGTAACATTTGAAGTACCACTCAAAAAAAGGAACACATAACTGCACACTGGAGTGAGAGCAGGAGAAAAAGCTCAGTAATACTGACCTTGACCTTGTTTCAATCTAAGTACTTACATATCTGCCTTTCAAATTAATAAACCGGCTTTTAAAAAACCCTATTCGGCATGTTTCATGTTTAAGAAAACATAAAAAAACTCAATGACATACTTTCAAACAACGGTAAACACTCAGTAAGATGCAGCGTGAGAGAGACTGTCAGGCACACAGCTGGTGGGTCCCGGGAACCCAGTCCTGCCGGGGCCACAGCGAGGCCTTCCGCCAGCCACCAGCAGCTCCCCGGCACTTCCTGGGCGCTAGGGTCACAGGTAACAGAAGAAGTGGGGAGCCAGCAAGGGTCCCACAAAACAGCTGCCAAAACGAGTGAAGGGATAGGGAAGAGCACTTTGTGAAGAGTCGGCTGACACGGCGGCTGAAACATCAGCTGTCTCCAAGCAGCACATTCAAGATCTCCACAAACAGAATAAATGCACTTGACCTTGATAAGGGGATGCCTGAACAGGCAGGAAGCCCACTTCCAAGGTTAATGCAGGTTATGGCCACGCCCCTCCTGGCGGTCCCTCTGGTGGACTGTAACTGTCCTGGCCACCCCCGGGCTCCGACAGCTGGAGAAGTGGAAGAATTCTAATCTCGCATGTGGAGATGCCCAAAAACAGGGCCCGGCGTGATAGCATAGTGGTTAAAGTCCTCGTCTTGAACGCTCCAGGATTCCATATGGGCACCGGTTCTAATCCCAACAGCCCCGCTTCCCATCCAGCTCCCTGCCTGTGGCCAGGGAAAGCCTTGGGACCCTGCAGCCATGTGGGAGACACGGAAGAGCTCCTGGCTCCTGGCTTTGGATTAGTGCAACAGCTGGTGCTGCACTCACTTGGGGAGTGAACCACTGGATGGAAGACCTTCCTCTCTGTCTCTCCTCCTCTACGTATATTCGCCTTTCCAAAACAGGCACCTGCAGCGGGCAGTGCGCCCAGGTCTCCCCTGAGGGCACCGTGAATGATTTCACAATCATTTTCAAGATCAACAGTTCCTCTCTAATAAGGGGATGTTGGGGGGGTAGGTCTTCGGCTAATTTTTTTTCTGTCAACCTGAAATTGCTCCAAAAATCATGTATTCATTTTTAAAACTTCCCAACCTACCTTTAATTGACTTATCATTGAAATAGTCCTCGAGCCCCGGGCTGCCCTGCGTGTCGAACAGGCTCTGGTTCACCGCGGACACGGTCAGGATCTCTTCCGTTGACATTTCCATCAGTTCGTCTTCACCATCCAAGCTCGACAAACCAATCAAGTCATTATTATTAAATAAACTGGCTCGGATTTTCTCGATTTTGGCTCGCGATCTTATCTGTGTGAACAAAGGGTCAGGGTGTGAACTCAGAGCAGCTGTTCAACAGGAAATCATCTCCCCTTCCCACCTTGCTCCGGAAACCCATTCCTCATCTTGAAGCTGAGAGCCATCCAATGTTCACAGGGTGGGGGGGAGGGGAGGCCTTCCTGGAACAACCCAGCTCGGAATCTCAGATCACCCCTTGGCCAGGCCTGTCACTGGCTTTTCCTCTGCTGCGCAGGCAGGGCCCTGAGCAAGCCCAAGATGGACGCAGCAGTCTAAAGGCACGGGTCCGGGAAAGCAGGCGTCCCCATGGGACGGCTCCGGAGAGCGGAAGGAGGTGTTTCACTCTGAGCCTAACTTCTGCTAGGTGTATGTGCAGAAAGACGTCTGATGTAAAGTTTCTGAACAAAGAGGCACAACAAGTGCTGAGAAATGACTTGGCCACATATGGTGCACCCTCTGAGAGCAGAAACACCCAGCGGGGCCAGCTGCCACTGGGCAACGCCGCTCCAGGCACACTGATGGGCTGGACCTGAAGGTCGGCTCCCTCCCACCCCTGGTGGCACACTGGCAGCAGAGCCATCCAGCTGTTTCCAAGAGCTGCCCTGGGAGAGCCCTGGGCGCTCCACCATCACCTATCCCTCGATGCCCTGAGGCTAACTTGGGAAGGTGCAAGGAGCCTTGGGGGTACGAATCCGACACAATTACTAGGTTGCCAAGGTGTGGGAAATGTTACCTCCACCACCGCGAAGCCTTTGATGGGGCGGCCCACGAGGGGCTGGCCGTTCGGGGAGGTGACGGGGTACACAGGTCCCACATCCGACACGGAGGCCGTCTCTGCGTTGTCCAGGGGCTCTGCCAGGCTGCCCAGGCTGCCCAGGCTGCCGGTGCTGCACAGGGAGGTGTCCAAGCTCTCCTGGCTGGACACCACATGCGGCTCCAGCAGGCCTGCAGGGATGGGCAGTTCGAGACTGGAGGGCAGCGGCTCCACCGAGAGCTCGCTGACAGGCTGGGAGACGCCCTGGGAGCTGCAGATGGAGGCCTGGCTGGTGGAGGCCGACGCGCTGGCGCTCGCGGCTGGGGCCAGGCTGCTGGACGAGCTCACCTCCACACCGTCTGAACTGGACAGACCCACGGTCTTCTCCGACTCACCCTGCCCATCGCTGCGCTCGGCCTTGTCTTTGGGCTTCTTGGGGTCTTCATCCTGCAGCGGAATATAGATCTCGTCTTTGAAGACCCCGCCGTGGGCATTGCAGGCCTTGCGGATGGCGCCTCGGACGATGGCCTCGTCCAGGTGGGTGGGGATGCCGGAGATGACCAGCAAGCGGCTGTGGGCAGTGGGGCCCACCAGCGCCTGGCAGGCGTCGGCGATGGCGTCGCTGGTCACACCCAGCCCCTGAGGGTCCTTCCTGGTGAGGTGGCGCAGGATGATGAGCAAGGTGAGGGCGCGGTGGAACCAGAGCATGTCCTCGGGCTTGCCGCCCCCGATGCTGAGCACGGCAGCGTCCGCGTCCACCGCGCGGGAGGACTGGCGCCTGCCCGAGGAGGAGGCCTTCTCCCGCTTCATCTTGACTTTCTTGCGCTTGGACAGGAGGCTGGGGCTCTGCGGCGTCTGTCCCGGGGAGGACGACGAGGACGACGAGGAGTCGCTGAGGTTCGGGGCGGTGGCCGAGGTCACCCCGCTGGCTGTGACGCTCATGTTGGTGGGAAGGGTCACTTCAGCCACCGCCAGGCAGCCTTCCATGAGGGCGTGGAAGTACGTGGAGAAGCGGCCCTGGTCACCAAGCGCCACCGCCCCGGCGCCCCCGCAGGAGCCGCCTGCCACCCAGCTCTGGGTCTCCTCGTCGTACAGCTTGTGCAGCTCCGACTGCAGGGCCATCAGCATGGCCAGGCAGGGGTTCAGCTGGAGGGCAAGGGAGGAGGACAGGCCAGCGGGGCGCTTCCGCTGCTCCAGGCTATGCGCCTTGCGCAGGAGCTCGGCCAGCAAGTGGAACACCAGCTCCTTGATGCAGGCCGCCATGTCCGTGGTCCACAGGAAGTTGCCTGAGGCAAAGAGAAAACCAGGACCACAGCTAGTCATGGATGGGGGCTCGCTGGAAGCTAGGCACTTGCGTGGAGTCAACTCACAGATCCACCCTGCAAAGGCAGGGGCCTGGAGCCCCACACCCAAGGCGGGTGCCAGGAGGGACAGCTGGTAGACAGGCCTCGCCTGAACCCCCGTGCCACGGGACAGTGGGCTCAGGCCAGCATCAGGATCTTCTGCTTCCCATCGTGCCCCAGCCAGGTGGCAATTAGCAGCCAGAACCATGTTTCCCAGGCAGTGGACACTTGCTGCTGAAGGTGCACGATCCAGTGTCACCACACAGCACGCAAACACCACACCGTACGGCTCTCCCCACCAGAGAGCTTACCTGGCATTTGGTACATTCCTGCCAGGGGGAACCAGGCTATAGGCCCGGAGCCTCGGACAGGCAGTGGCCTTTAGCCAGGATCTGGTGAACAACAACTGCTTATTAATCTTGTATTTACTTGTTTTTTTAAAAAGATCTATTTTATTTTTGTTGGAAAGTCAGATTTTACGGAGAGAAGGAGAGACAGAGAAAAAGATCTTCCATCTACTGGGTCACTCCCCAAGTGGCTACAATGGTTGGTGCTGAGCCAATCTGAAGCCAGGAGCCAAGAGCCTCTTTTGGGTCTCCTGTATGGGTGTAGGGTCCCAAAGCATTGGGCTGACCTCCAATGCTTTCCCAGGCCACAAGCAGGGAGCTGGAAGGGAAGCAGGACCACCAGGAGTAGAACCGGCGCCCATGTGGGATCCTGGGCTTGCAAGGGTTAGGCTACCAGGAGCTGGATGCGAGCAGAGAGGATTCAGGTCAGGTGAGGGGCTATGAGGGCCGGTGGGCACAGAAGGCCCGTGTCCAGGCTGTGAGGGCTGGTGGGCACAGAAGGCCCGTGTCCAGGCTGTGAGGGCTGGTGGGCACAGAAGGCCCGTGTCCAGGCGAGTGAGCTGAGCCCCGAGTCCACAAAGAGCAAACAGCGGTTAGTGCAGGATAAAGGTCACAGGCCAAGGATCCTGGGCCAGCTGGGCAGACTTCTGGAGTCTCTGAATCAGGGGGGCACCTGCAAAAATGGAGGCTCAGTCGCTTGCTCACCAGGAGTGACGCTGAGAATTTTGGTTGGAAATAAACTCCCAGTGGTCCCGGGCCGTGGTTGTCACAGAGGACAAGTGCCACGGCATCTCAGTTTGCAAGCTTTGTCTGCGTCAAACATTACGAAAAAATTTTTTAAAATGTGGGTAAGTTGAGGAAATCCACAGTAAAGCCATTCAACCCAGTGCCTGAATTCTTTCATGAACCTGCTGCTACTGGTCCATACACACCCATCTGTCCCTCATTCATAAGCTCATCCTCAGTTCTGATCATGTCAAAAATCAGTAAGCTTCATCCCTAACACGCGGGCAGTCCCGTCGTGAGCGGAAGCTCAGTGTTCGTGCACTGTTTCCGCGGGGTGCTCTGCACGCGGGGTGACAGCTCTCCACAGCCCTTTCCATCTTTCAGAATTGGTGTGGTCACGGGGCCTGCTGCTGAAGCCCTGCCAACCAGCAGGCTGCTCCCCGCCCTCAAAGCTGCGATGGCATGTATTTATACACTGACATCAAGTATGATAGAATTAATTTTGTTTCATGGTTAGTTGCCACCCCTCAAAATAATGGGGGTGGGCTCTGGCGCAGTAGCCTAGTGGCTAAATCCTCGCCTTGAACGCGCTGGGATCCCATATGAGTGCCTGTTCCTGTCCTGGCTGCTCCACTTCACATCCAGCTCCCTGCTTGTGACCTGGGAAAGCAGTGGAGGACGGCCCAAAGCCTTGGGACCCTGTACCCGTGTGGGAGACCTGGCAGAAGCTCCTGGCTTTGGATTGGCTCAGCTCCTGCTGTGGCGGCTGCTTGGGGAATGAAGAGGCAGATGGCATGGATATCTTTCTGTCTCCTTCTCTCTGTATATCTACCTTTCCAATAAAAATAAACAAATCTTTAAAAATAGCATAAAATAATGGGAATATTCTGCAAACCTTGGGTATGGCGGTGCAGGCTGTATGAACAATCTCCCCCCCAGTCACTGTGTGACGGCCGCCCGGGCCCCGGGGCTCTCCCTGGCTCACCCAGCAGCTCCACCACCAGCAAGAGGACCGAGGTTGGAATGCTGTCGGGCTCATCTTCTGATTTCCCTTCGCCGTCCTCGGATCTCCAGGACAGCAGCTGCTCGGCAAAGGCCATGGCCAGCGGGAACTCCAAGGGCAGAGAGTGTAACACCAGCACGGCTCCGGGCGGTGGGGACACGCCTGGAAAGGACAGCCCCCAGGACAGCAAGTCAACGGGAGCCACTGAGCCAGACAAGCCCGAGGCAAGGAATGGGCGTGCAGTTGGAGCAGTGGGGCTCCTGGCTCACTCCACACTGTGAGAGCGGCGGGCACAGGACACAGCGGCCAGCCCTCCACGCAGCACATTTACTGAAAAGCCAGGCAGACAGGACAGGGGACAGAGGACACACGCTCCTCACGTGGCTTTGTGGTCCAGAAGTGGGGAGGGGGTAGTCCAACTTGAGAGCAGCTTTCCCGGAGCTCTGCAGCCCCTTGCAGCAGCTGCAAGCCCACCAGGACCAGGCTACCGCCCCGGGGGCCCAGCAGCCTCCGCCCACAGCTTGGGCACTGCCAGGACCAAGTGGGCTTGCCTCCTTTTTCCTTTTGTCCCTGCCATGGCCTACATTTACCAAGGCACGAGTGGAAAGATCCCAAGTGTTGGCCCCTCCAAATATATCACTGCACCCCAAATTACCTCCCTTCTTGCCCACGAGGCACCAGGCACTGATGAGCCCGACCCGCTCTGGAGGCCCGTGGGGTTCCCTGCTCCCTGTGCTCAGTGCGTACCTGCTGCTGATGAAGGCAGCGAGCCCTGAGCAGCACAGCTGGCTGCCGTGTGTGACAGCAACAGGTGGCCATAGCTGGAGGGTTCCGCAGGTGGGCCCTCATCGGAACCCTGGACCCAGGAGGTTCACGAGGGACCCCAGGGGGACAGGAGCAGCTGGGGCACAGACACCTGCTCTGCACAGCACCCCAGGAGCCACAATGCACATTCAAGAACTTGGTTTAACAAGAACTCAGGAGACTGCAGCTCAGACCATCTGACCTGCGGTGGGGCAAGGGCAAGCCCACACTATTTCAATCACGCTCCAGGGCACACGGCCCACAGTGCACTTGGGAAGGCAAAGGGAGACCTATGGGCTGCAGACAGTGGCTGTCAGCTGTCCTCAGGCGACCTCTACAACCTGCGGCCGAGCAGTCCCGCCCTGACCGAAGGGGGTGTGAACACAGCAGGTGACACACTCTACCTCCAAGGAACACGGCGTGAGTGGACTAACGACTCACCCAGCTTGATGTGGACCTTGTCCGTGGAGAGGACCACTGAAGGGTACTGGTCGGCCGTGGGGGGCGGGGCGAGCCCCGTGTTGGCTGGGGACGCGTCTCGGGGGTAGCAGGCAGCCTCGATGAGGTTCAGCTGACCGTTCCGCTTCACTTTGTGGCCGAGCCCGTAGACCAGCACCCGGGCCCATGGCGCCTTGTACAGCGAGGAGCTGAGAAGGAGCGTGGATGTTAACCCACAGTGCAGCCCCACAGCCCTGCTGGGCTCAGCAACGCGTCCTCGCCAGAGGCGGAGGGAAGTTCCGTGAGAAGCGGACCTGAGTAGTTACTAGCACATTCTCTGTGAGGACTAATTTCCCAAACATGGAAATGTGGGGAAGACTCTAAATTAATTTTCAAGACTGTATGCGTGGAATAATAAAACCCCCAGAGCTCCTTCCCTCTGCCGACATCAGCAGAACCCACTTGGGTGTTCTCGTGGCGAGAACGGGGTCACTTACTCTTTGCGGAATCCAGACTGACTTTCTTTGCAAGACACGACGACGAAAGCCGCCCCGGGGAAGTTAACATCCATGTTGACTTTGGACTCGGAAATCGGGAACTCCTCAGAGGGGAACTGCTCCGGTGCTGTCTGCAAAGGAGGCTCAATGAGGAAAGCCACCTGCTAGTCACCGCAGGAGCACCGCACACTGACGGGGGGCGAGGAATCAGTGGACGCACACACTGCAACAGACTCAGGACAAATGCAGCTCTCCGGAGGAGAGCCGACTGCAGGCGGAACAAAGCAGAAAAGCTTCTAAGAGGAAGAACTCCACGGGGTTGGGGACAGGGTCTGGGGAGGAAGGATTTTCAGCCCGCCACCTTGGACTTGTACCTGCAGGAAGGAGCAGATCTGCTTCGTCAGCTCCAGAAGGCTCTCCTCGCCCTGGTGCAGCGTGCGGGTGATGGCCACACTCAGCCACTCTCGCACCGTCTGCGAGTTGCCCTGGTAAAAGAGGTCTGTGGCCGAGCAGTTCTGTGAGTGGATGCAGTGCTGCAGTGACTGTGCCAGCAGGATGGAGCTGGAGCTGATGGTGCCGTCTACGGAGGGGAGAAGAGAGGCCGGTTACGGGAACCATGGCAGCCAGAGGCTCTGAGAGTCCAAGAAGCATCGGAGAGCGCGCCAGGTAGGTTACGTTGGATATAACAGATAGCATGTCTTGGCTAACAGGTGCTAGCAAATCAATATTTCTTTGAGCACCAATACTGCTTCCTAAAAAAAAAAATCATACCAAAAGGCCCAAGTAGTGAACACATGAACGTGGAGCTGCTGGATGCAGGGGTCTCAGGGCCTCTCCAGATTTCTGTGGGGCTACCCAGGGCCCCCCCCAACTCCCCAGGGAGCTGCTGGGGGGACTTGGTGTGGAGCTGTCCTGGCTGTGAGCTAGAAGGCAGTGACCCACGATGCGGGTGAGGCTCCTGCTTTGGGCACCGAGAGCCCGCCCTGCTGGCTCCCATCTCAGCTACTGCAAGTTCAGGAAAGCTGGCCGGAGGTGCCGGAGGAGGGCGCACGGCCCCTCAGTCTCACAAGGGGCCAAGGGCGAAGTCACACTCACACCCCCCGCTGTGTGAGCCCAGCCAGCAGGAGCCCTAACTTCCGGGCTGAGGTTTAACAGCAGCCCACGAGCCGGCCCCGAGACGGGGCTGCCTGAGTTCAGGAGGACCCGGATAGGGTCGGCTTTGGAGCCGGAGAACACTCTCCTCTCTTTCAGGGCCACACTGAGTGTCTGCAGCAGCACTGCAGCGGTGGGCTTCATAAACAGCACTTGCTCTTCCTCGAACCATGGTTTGGGCATGTGAATGAATGCTTAATGGATTGACAACTAAGAGTGCATTAGACACGCTTCGGCGTGACAAAGCATGCCAAGGTAATTCAGCCACACCGGCCTAACAGGATCCTGCTGAGCCTCTTCACCTGGCATGGGAGAAGGATGCCACGAAACACACCTCTCTGCTAGGGGCCCGGCTCAGTGCCAGGGCCACCCAAATCTGGGCCGACTGCTGGGGTGACAGCGACGAAGCCAAGTCTCACCTGGAAGGGGGGGAGCAAGGAGTTGATTGGATAGCAGCTGCAGGTGTTCCAGGGTGATGTCCCGGATGGCAGGGATGTGGAAGAGGCGCGTAAACATGTGAGGCAACTTGGGGGCGAAGATGTTGAGCAGGGCCATGCGGCAATAGAGCCTGGCGAGCGCAGCCTCACAGCGCAGCAGCTCCCTGCCGGGGAAGGGGCCGGGGAGATGGCCTGAGTGTGGATGCACGGGCCTGCACTTGGGCCATGCCACACACTCCCCACACCACCAGCAACTTCTTTTCCAGCCCCATAATCTGCACTTCAGCTGAAGCACTTGTGTTTTAAACATAAAGCCACATTTTGTTATGTTTCAGCTTTCCTGACTCAAAAGGCACTGTGAAAAAATAAATGGAAATACATGTCTCCACAACCACTTGTCTATGTGTGTTCACACAAGCACCATTCATAACAGCCAATCTGTGCAAACAGCCTAAATGTCCACTCACAGTCTACGCATACACCTCCTATTCACCAACACAGCAAACGAGGCACCGACTTGCTCTACCCTAGGGGTGACTTGAAAACAGAGTACTATGTAAAAAACCTCAGATAGTCTAGAATTGAGCAAATCAACAATCTATTCATTATCGAAGCAGAGAGAGAGAGAGCTCCTGCTTGCTTACTTGTTCACTCCTCAAATGCCCTGGGTCTGGCTGAAGCTAGGGACCAGGAACTAACTTAACCCAGGTCTCTCACGGAGCCCTTGAAGCTGTCACCACTGCTTTCTACACTCTGTGTTGTAAGGAACTAGAATCAGAAGCAGCAGGGACACAGCCTGGCACAGTCCACCCCTGGCAATCTGCTAGGACCAGAAGTCCAACCACTGGATTGATCAAATCTGCATTGTATGCCAATATAAATACTGCTCCAAAAATGAGCTCATTATGTTAATATTGAGAGGGCAGGTTGGCTATAACGTTTCTTTTGAGTTGACAGTCATCAGGTTTCATTGGTCAGAGATCCCGGCTAAAAAATAGGACTGAAAGATTTACTGCAAGTAAAGCTTGAAAAGCTTTCATTGGTGCCATGTTGACATTCTAGCAGTCTGCAACACGTGCTGGGGCCTCTAACGATGAACAAGCCCACGTCCCCACCAGGGACGTTTATATTCCAAAGAGAAGACACACAAATAAGTTTCAATAAAATAACAGAAAGCAAAAATATCAAGTCCTGGGAGACGTCAGGATCAGGAACCTGCCGGTTCCGGCACAAGGATGAGATGACCATGCCAAGGTCTGGGCAAACACAGAGCCCAGGGGAGGAGGCGCGCTTGCTCTAAGTAAGAGCAGGAACAGAAAGCCCCGGGGAAGGCTGAATGAGGGGAGTGAGACAGTGAGGTCTGGTCAAATCCTGCAACTTGTGGAGAAGGAGGGGGAAGGCCTCGACTGGACACAGGGGGTCGTGTTCTGGAAGGTGAGGCCTCATACACCGTAAGGATGAACAGTACATGTGGTAAAACCCACAAGGCAGGCTTCCATGATCCTTTAGGAAGAAGGTCTAGTGTTACCTATGAATCTGAAGGTTGGTGTTGTCCAGGGTGACAAGCCCATTAGTGGCAGTCCTTCGGTAGCCAGCGGGGGGCCTCTCCAGCATGTCAATGGGGTACCAGTATCGCACCAGCACCCCTTCACTCCTGAGGTAGGTTTCCACCTGCACCAGCTCATTCACCTACAACAGGAAAAGAAAAGTTCAGTGGATTTTCCAAGCACTGAGGTTCCCAGCCAAGTTTATGTATATAAGAATACTTCAAAGGTCACCGGAAGTGAGCAGTGTCAGTGTATACAGCAGGCTTGTGGACCCGAACGGCCCTCACTCACTGAATCCACGTCCAGGACGACCCCGTGGAGCCCAAAGGTCTTCAGCATCCCTCGGATGGCAAATTTGGGAAGAGCAGTTCCAACAGTGCTGCTGGCGACATTGTTGCTGTCCGGAGAGCGAGTCACCACTGTGAGACCTGGGGAGCCGAGACAGAGGGGCGTGATCAGGAGTGAGAACCAGGGCAGCCTAGGACCCTGAACTTCAGGGTCTAAACACACCTGCAGCATGACACAACTGCAGGTTTATATAACCAGAAAAGGAACGCAGCTCATGCTGGAAGGTAATACAACAAAATCTCGTAAATACTGTTAACATTTAAAAAACAAAAAGCCAAATAAGCTCAGTAAAAACGTCCTTAAGGTCTCAATAATCATTTCCTTACAGAAAAATTAAAAATGATGAATCAAAAGATATTCACTGTTAGTCACTAAGGGAGGGAAAGTTCCCAAGTGACCGAGCATGTCCAGTGCCATCTCTACCCAACAGAAACAAAACAGATGCACACAACGCCACGCACACAAATGCTGACTGCAGGATTACTCACGGGGCCAAAGGTGGAGCCCACTCAAATATCCATCAGTGGGCGAGTCAACAGAATAGGACCTATCCACAAAATGGAATGAAATGGACATAGAAAGGAATGAAGGGACTAACACCACGACAGTGGCCATGAATCTTGAAAAACATTACACTAAGTAAAAGGAGAGAGACACAAAAGACACGCTATGTGATTCCATTCCCAAGCAACGTTCACCCTGGCAAAGGGCCTAGAGAGAGTGGAGATCAGAGGCTCTGAGCCTGGGCCCTGGCAAGGTGAGGGGGCAGAATGAAAATGTTCCAGAAGAAGAGGTGACAGTTTCATGACTCCAAAATTTAGTGAACATACTAAAATCTGCCAGATTATATACTTCAAAATGATGAATTTCAGAGATGTGAACTGTATCTCAAGGAAAGAGGGAAAGAGGACGAGAGAGAGAGAGAGAACATCAAATGTTGGCCCTTGTGCCTGACAATGCTGTTCTGACGTTTATCACCTGGTAACTCTAAAAACGAGTCTTCTTTCATTGTACACATTTTCCGTATCGTCCTCAAGTGCAGGAGGCTTTTAACCAAACAGGCACATTTTAGTATCGTTCTAAAAGGCCAAGAATAACCTGGGAGCCAGGACTCGATTTGAGGTGTCTTGATGGCATCTGACCAGGCCCACTTCCTGTCTAAGCAGCTCACATGCCCAAGTTCTGGGAATGTGGGGGAGTCCCCCAGAGGCCACAGGTCCACGGACGCCACACAAGGTGCCTGAGGACTTCACAAGGGGAAGCCTGGAAGAAGCCAAGCCCCTTAGTGAACCAGATCACTCTGGGAGCCACCAGCTGCTTAGCTCAGGGTTGGGGAAAATTCAATGACTTGTTTTACAAGAATTTCACAGGTGAAGTGAGAAGGCAGGCAGAACCTTTTCGAACTTTATCAATAGTGAACTTGTTCGCTTCGTCCTTGATGTCTTCGATAGTGGGAAGATAAAGGTCTCTTGGGATACCCCCATTCTCCTCGTAGAGGAATTCCACCGTCTGCCGGGCGATATCCACCATACCTGCAAACGTAACAGCGTGAGCTGCGGCTCGACTGCCCTGCGGACTGCTGTCCAGAACGGAGGACAGGGAATCCTCCCAGCAGTGCGAGGAAGCAGCTTTTTGGGGACTGCACTGGGTGGATCTATCAAGATTAAAATACCACATGCATGTCTTTTAGAGTCTAGACCTTCATCCAGGTCTCCCATGGGGTGGCAGGAGGCTAAGCACTTGGGCCATCCTCCGCTGCTTTCTCAAGCACATTAGCAAGGAGCTGAGTCAGAAGTGGAGCAGCTGGGACTTGAATCAGCGCTAACATGGGATGCTGATAATGTAGGTGGTGGTTTAACCTGCGAGGTCCTAACACCAGCACTAAAGGGGGAGTCTGTTACAGCAGGATGCCTGCAGAAGGAAGTGTCAGACAGGATGAGCAAAAAAACCATGGCTTGCTATTAGAGGGTTATGGGACAACAATCTCTGCAACAGATTAAAAAAAAAAGTGCATAAGAGAAACAAACCACGCCCTGGTCCACTAGGCAGAGTCAGGGAGCACAAGACTAGCAGTCACACAGTGGAGTACGTGCTGGCTTCATGAACCTTCTGTGGGGTCTTGATGACAGGTGGCCGGCCCAACATGATGGGGCAGGCCCTCAGGGCCATCACACAGGCATGCATCAGGACAGGACATGCCTTCTGCATGTCCCCAGGCAGGTGCAGGGGCGAGTACTGAGCAGTTACGATGCAAGTTAGGATGTCATCATGGAGCCACGTCATGGCGAGGTTGGTAAAGCTGCTGCCTCGGTGGTTGGCATCCCATATGGGCCCCATTTGGAGTTCCAGTGGCTCCATTCTCCATTTCTAATCCAGCTTCCTGCTTACGTTCCTGGCTTTAATTTGGCCCAGCCCCAAATCCGACTCCAGCCACTCTGGCCGTTTGGGAAGTGAATCAGTGGGCAGAAGATCTCTGTCTCTTCCTCCACCTATAATTGTATCTTTCAAATAAATGCATAAGCCTTAAAAAAAAAAAGTAGATGTATGCTCATGTCCCTGACCAGAGTGCCCAGGCATCATGCCTGATCCAGCTCCCTGGTGAGGCAGAGGCTGAGGCTACGGTGATGGCTCTTGTAGCTGGATGCCTGCCACCCCCGGGGGAGGCCTGACCTGAGTTCCCGGATGTGATCCCTAAGGCTGTTGTAAGCGTTTGGGGAGTGAACCAGCAGATGGGAGCTTCTTTTTTGCCTGTCTGTATTCTGTGTCTCTTAAATAAATATTTTCTCAAAAAGCATACAAGGGGGAAATAGGCCTTCAAACCACCACCCACTGTGTGAACTGCAGACTCGCTGATAACATGGCGTGCAGGAAGGGCGTGGGTCTGAGTGGGCGTCTTCATTAGAGAAGCCACATGGTGCAAGAGGCCAAGCAGTTGGAGCCCAGCACGATCTATGTGATTTAGAAGGCTGTAAACTGAAGGCACACAGCCTCACCTGGGCCAACCTGGTATTTCTAAGTATCTACTATTACTGATTCCTTTTTAAGGAAAGCCCAGACATGTTAGCAAATGTCCCCATGCTCCCAGGGCTGACCAGGGGTCCATCTGTGAGTGCTGAGGGAAGTGTCTGCCAGCGCACCATGCCCAGCAAGTCACATACCCATTCCAGTTTCATTTCAACAACCCATCAACTCGGTCCCCCAGTCAGACCGAGGAACACACAGAAGCGCAGTCACAAAGGAGCGCTGGGCTCACAGGGGCACAGGAGGCACTGAGGGGCCCCCTCCTGTCATCTTCACTGTCATATCCCCTGGCTCTAAGTCACTATGCGAGCACCAAAAAACAGAAGGCTCAGACCTAGTTGTAAAGCTCCCTTTATCTGGTCCAGGCCCGACTTCCGCTCCGCTTCATTGCGGAAGCGTCTCCGGATGGTAGGAAAGACCTTGGTCTCCCAGGCTTTCACCAGCAGGGCATAGTGGTCCTCCTAGAAAGAGAAGGAAACTTGTGAGCAGAGAACGAGTGCCTCATGCAGTTATAGTCACTTTTAGACGCACAGCTCTCCTGGGGCCTTCACAACTCCAGCCCCAGGAATGGCAATGCAAGGTGCAGACCCTTGCATGCACGCGCACATCTGGGGTTGGGGAGGGACAGCTTGACGGGCAGAGTCTGCTCTCCTCAGAATGCTGCAGGGCTCCTATGCCAGCGCTCATCTCTCCAACTCCTGGACTTCCACGGAACAAGAGCCAACAGACATGGCTACCGATGGGTAGTCAGAAAAAGCAAGGCTCCAGGTAGCACTCACACAGTGACAATCAGCTGTGTCCTAAGAGCGGCCTTACCCCCTCACACCAGGATCCCAGGTACCAGGGAGTTAAGCAGATGCTGCCACAGGTCTCTTACCTGTGGGATGTCATCGTCATCATCGTCATCACTTTCATCATCAGCAATGGGAGGCGGGTGAGGATCGGGGCCAGAGGTGATGAAATTCTCATAGCTGAGCTCCACTTTATAATGACAGGAGGTGTCACTATCGTATTCTAGAACAAAGCATGACAGTGAATCCTCAGCAGGAGTATATTGGACAAATCATCACCTTCTCACCTTGGACAAACGGGATTCTCTTAGTTTGCACGACAGACAAACTCCTATCATAGTACACTGAGGAACTGCAAAGCACAGAATCAAGGAATACTGCGTCATCTGCGCGTCCTCTGGGGCTCTTGCTGTGGCACGGTGGGCTGAGCTGCCACTCGCAAGGCTGGTGTCCCATGGGAGTGCTACTTCGAGTCCAGGCTACCCCTGCAGGAGACGAGGATGGAGTTCCGGGCCACCGCTGCCTTCGGCCTGGCTCAGCCCTACCTGCTGTGTTTGTCTGGAGAGTGAAGCAGTGGGTGGAAGATAACTAAAAAAACCTTTTAAGAAGCTTTAAAAAAAGGAGTTCTTATGGGTATAATTTATTTAACCCAGAGATGAATTTACCAAGTTCTTCATTATGAGAAAAAATTAAACAACTTTGTTAAAAAATGTGTATTTAGCTTAATTATTTTTGGTATTTTACCTATTCTTTTTTTAAAGAGACAACTAGAATTGTATTATTCTTCAAGGACTGGTTCTTTAAAAATTTATTTATCTGCAAGGCACAGAGATAGGGACATGGGAGATACACAGAGAGGAGACAGCAGACCTCCTGTCCACCCTACAGGTCCCTAAATACGAAAGCCAGGAACTCAATGTAGGTCTCCCAAAATGGACTGTCAGGTCTCAAGTACTTGCACCACCACATGCTGCCTCCTGGGGGCGTTAATGAGAACCTGGGATTGGAAACAGCTGGGGTCAAATGACACACTGCAATTAAGTGGTGCGAGCTTAACTGCTCTGCCCAGCACCTGCCCCAGTGGCCTCAATGTTAAAACAAGGAAGAGTGTACAGTGAGATTTCTTATGGGATTCTGGCATGCTTAGGGGACTATACTATTCTGTCGGTGGTGAGAGATGGAAGGCTTTCTGTCATACTACTGGCAGATGTTTCTGCAAACTGAACTAACCACATGGCGCGCAGGAAAGGTGCAGGTCTGAGCATGCCTCACTCAGAACGAAGGCATCCCTCCTGCTCCACAGGCCCTGTCACCCTTGTATTCAAAGGCACTTGCATTTGCTAACTAAGTTAAATTGACTCATGGAACTCCTGGCATTCATGTTTCCCCACAGTAGTGGCCTCCTGGGAGGAGGTGACCTACGTTGCTGAGCAGTGGCCACAGCGGCAATCCGGCAGGGTGGACCGTGGGTGCCCGGGTCTGATGCAATGCTGGTGCCAGCATCATTGTCACTGTCAGATGCCATGGCAAAGGGCAAGGCCTCGAAGTTGGCACTGATCTCCTCTGCCAGGTCGGTGCACAGGTCGGCGGCGTTGCGGTGGGCCTGCCCTTCAGCGTAGGCAAATGGACGGGAGCCAAAGTTAGCACGTGTTTTGGTATTCTAGAAAGAACAAACAAAAAGCTTGAAAGGACTTGAGCTCATTTTTAAAACCTGGCTTAACATTCTAAGGTGCACTTCATTAAGCATCCAAACAGGAGAAAGGCCCAAGCCTGGGCCGGCCCTGCCTCTTTCCACTCACCTTGCATGTTCGTGCTCTGGCTAAACCCAGCCACCTTGCTCACTGCCCACACTGTGCCTTTCCGCCAGACACCACGGCTTTTATTGTGCTCTCCCCTTGCTATTCTCTCCTCTAAGCTATCTCGACATCACTTCTTCAGGGTGGTAAGGACATGCTTGACTCCATGAAGTCGATGATTTTCGTTCACAGCATTTATTTGTACACTGATGTCTGTGTGATTACGGGGCTAATGGCTCGTCTCTCCCGCTGACGCTAAGCCCACGGAGACAGCAGCTCTGGTGGGCTCACTGTGCCTGCCAGAGCTTAGCACGTGCCTCCCACAAAGCAGGTGTGCAGTAATGTTCACTGAATAATGAGCGATGCCTGCTGAGAAAGGGGGCCTTGAAGCAAAGGGTGAGCTCCTTCAGGACCCTGTGGCTTAGCACAGTAAGTCAGCAAGGAGCCAGGAGCTGGGTTAGAGTGGACGCAGGACAATGGAACTAACATTTTAAAAGAATTTCTGTGTTGTTATGTTGAAAAGGACTGTTCGTGGTAAGAACAGACTGCAAGACACAAACCAGGAGACAGTGGTAGGATGGTGGGTTAACCTGCTCGTTAGCAGGAACTTTTTGGATACATGTTGAGAGTAGAGCCAGCAAGACTTGCTGACCGACTGGACAAGGAACGAGAAAAAAGAGAAACTGAGCCTGGGTTAAAGCAACAGGAAGCAGAGGTCAGGCAGAGCAGGGGAGCAGGAGCTTTGGCTCTCACAGCCAGCAGGACATCTAGCTCAAGTTTTTTTTTTTTTTTAATTTCCAATAATGACTTTGCTTTAACATATTTAATTACAGACAAAACAGCCTGAGAAGAGGGTGGGCGCCAACCCAGCCCTACCCCGAGCTCAGGGGTGGGCAGCAGCGAGGTCTCCCTATAGCAGGAGGGCCCTATTGTCTTAGTCGGGGAGGAGCCGGATACTGTCTAGGATGCCAGAATGAGTTTGGAGCTTAGAGTAAGGTTAGTGTAAATTTCGGAGCTACCAGCACACAACAGGTAACACTGTTCTACAGAAATTAGCTGTTAATAGGCACACCTTAAGAAACAAGAGTTCCAGGATCAAATGTGTGTGGGAGGCCGAGTTCAATGATGCTGAACTTTGGATCTGACACAGTAGGTGACCCATGAGGGACACTTTCACAAACTACCAAGCCATAGAATTGCTGCCTTACAGAACCAGGCTGGACTGCAAACACCCATTGGTTCCAGAGGAAGACAGGGATGGAAACAGAACCAACCCAGCAACTGCAACCACCAGCTGATCGGGGCAATGAACTGTACTGGGCCCTGTGCTTGCTAGCACATACAAGAATCTGGTCTGGGAACACCTTAGACAAAATTTCTTTGGGGATCCCCTCAATCGAGCTTTCAGACCCAGAACGCTAACCAAACTACAGAGCACAGAACAAGTCAGTCACCTCAGCTATATGTTGGCAATGAAAATACTGGGCAAACAGAGCCGCTATGATGGACTATGTTGGTCAGTGGAATCTCCAACAAACGCATTGTGCTTGGAGTGGTGAGAGTGTCAGCAATTCAGAACTGTTGAACTATCAAAACCACTTGGGCAAGACCCTCGGAGCATGCCCCACATCTGGGACCTGGGGTGGATGGGAGACTGGGTGGGGCTTCCCCCTTAAAATCTCCTTTTACATCAGATATATTAAGGAAACAATACGGAACTAATTGTCTTACCCATCTTCCTGTAGTGCTTGAACCTTTCTACCCTAATTATGTCAGGATTATAAAAAAAATAAAAAGAATTGCTGCCTTACTGTTCAGGAGAAATGGCCAAAAGCAGGTCTTTTAAGCACTAAGTTTTGGACAGAGCATCATTCAAGAGTAGGGACACTCAAAAGGAAAGCGCCCCCTCTCCCCGCCTGCTCTGCCTTCCTGTCTCCTGGAGTATTACATACTAGGGATGACCCAGAGTTTTGTTCTTTCCTCTGACAGGAACGTGGTGCCAAGGAGAATTTGTTTTCCTTTCCCAATAAGGTAACTTGCCTTTTTCTGAATGTGAACCACAGGCCACATTCCCCCAGAGACATCCTCAAGATAGGGTGCAAGGCGCTGCCCACAGTAGGTGAAGTAGACCCTGCCCTTGGCGGGCTGTCCTGGAGGAGGCGGAGTCCCCTCTGTCCTCTCCCAGCCAATTCCTGCCACATCACCTGTGAAACAGAACAGGGAAGAATCAACACATTTTCTCCCTTCATGGATTCTAATCTGCAACAAGGTTACTGTCTGTACTTACTTATCTATATCTTCAGCTATCTCTAAGGAGGACATGAAGTTACTGTTATGATAGCATAATAGAAACCACTTAAAAAAAAGAGCCACGTGGCCAGCAGGATGGTTCAGCTTGCTAATCTTCTGTCTGCAAGCTCCAGCATCCCTTATAGGTACTAGTTCATGTCCTGGCTGCTTCTCTTCCCCTCTTCCCCTTCCAGTCCCCTGTTTGTGGCCTGGGAAAACAACAGAGGATGGCCCAAGGCCCTGGGACTCTGCACCACTGTGGGAGAACTGAAAGAAGCTCCTGGCTTCAGATCAGCTCAGTTCTAGCCAATGTGACCATTTGGGGAGTAAACTAGCAGATGGAAGATCTTTATTTGTCTCTCTTCCCTGTGAAATCTGCTTTTTCAATTTAAAAAAAAATCTTTAAAAAAGAAAAGTCAGAAGTTATTTGGAAGATGGGAAATACCCAGGATCTAAGTTGAATTAGTTACCACAATTATAAAGTCAGTTTAACCCTTTACATTCTTGACAGTCAACAGAAAAAGGAAAAACAGAATAATTTTTGAACAAAAATACAAGTTTTCTCTCATGATGTGTAACAATTACTTGTGGCATAAAGGTAAATGGTAATATCTTTACTATAAGATTGTGAACGATTCAGAAAAGACCTTATAAAACATGAAACTAAACCCACAGTATAGGCTAAAAGGGCACTATTCAATCACATGACCTCCTTACTTACTTACAACCATTTAAAGTCTTTTACAAGAAGCAAACAGAGTCTAAACCAAGTGATTTTCTTCCCAATCTCTGCTCATCAGGTAAGAGCTGATATAAGACCAGATGCAAACATCTGAGAGGAGTAAAATCCCAGAATCTTCTCAAGTTGGAGGAATGAAAGTCAATGTGATTCTAGAGTGAAGCTGGGACTCTCAGGATCATGGCTTCATTCAGCATGGGGTTTGTAAAGAACAGATAAACCATTTCCAGTTGCTGGAAACGAACCTGTGACTGTCAGAATACACTGTTACACTCACCAGGAGAGAGAGTCACATCCAAGCGAACGCTCTTCCACTGCAACAAGCTTGAGCCATTGTAGTGCACGGCCCGGCCATTGCTAGGGAGAGAGAGAAGGGAAAGCCCGGTCAAGCCTAGCCAGACCCCCCGGAGGTGGGCAGGGAGTGGCATGAGAGTCAACAGAAATCCTAAGAGTTTCTCTCCTCCCTCAAATACAAATGTATTTCCAACTGGTGTTTTCCACTTTTCTGAGGGTAGAAATTATTGCTATTACCTTAGTAATAATTTACTTCAGTAACATTAGTCTTTCCCAAGATGTTTTCATAGGATAAAGGGATACATGATTTGGGAAACAAATATATGGGTTTCCCACTTCAGGATAACTAGGAAGGAATCTTGTTAATGTGTACTATAAACGTCCCCCAAAACTTGCCTTTCTCCAAACTCATCTGAAGACAGAACTCTGTTTTTGCTCCATAAACACCTGTTAACACCTTGTGGGGTAGCTCCAGCGGTGTGCAATAGAAACCTACTTTCTTTTTTCTTTTATAATAAAAGCAAGAGTAGCCACTCACTTATGGAAAAGGCACGTGCCCACCGGATTTGTCCAAGCTCCATCTCGCTTCTCTGCTTCTGTGGCAAAGCCGAAGGAAACTATTGGTCCAGTGTCATCATCAGTATCTCCATAGGAGACGATCTCAATTTCCCAGTAAAAGGATGGGGCCTGCAGCGACATCAGAAGGGGACAGGTGGGGTTCAACCTGGGCCCTATACTCTGCCTTCTTGGGCACACGGGAAGGAAAGGCCAAGAGAGCATCGTGGGCTATCTCACCTGAACTGGCAGGGGTGAGGTGGCATAGATGAAAGTGCCCCGGGGCAGACCGCCCCCAGCACTGGGGTCAGCCAGGAAGGTGACTGAAGTCAGGTGAGAGGAGAACATGCAGGCTCGGACAGGAGGGAACACTCGAGAGGGACTCCAGGTAATCTCCTTGGGCTGCATTAAGGGAAAAACAAATAAACAAAAACCTCATTCGATAGAATTAACACATACAAGTCTGTTTTCCTTCTCAAAAAGATAGTTTTGTCTGCTAGCATAAAAATATAGGCATGTTCCACTTATTTTTGGTTATTTATATGTTATTTGAAAAAAAATAGAGAAATATATAGATACGAGAGGGAGACAGAATGAGTGAGAGTGAGGGAAGAAACAGACAAAGATCACCCACCTGCTGGGACTGCGGCAGGCCAAAGCCAGGAGCTGGGCACTCGGCCCTGGAGTAGTGCCAGCCCAACTACCTGAGCCTCTAGGGCACACATTACCAGGAAGCAGGAATGGAAACTGAGCCAGGCCAAAGCAGCACTTAGCATAGAATGGAGCATCCCCAGCACTGCCCTAAAGAAAATGGCTGCCCCAAAGCACGCATGTGTGTGTGTGTGTGTGTGTGTGTGTGTGTGTGTGTGTGTATTTTTTCCCTGAAAGGGAGTTTTTAAAAAATTCTTTATTTTATTTTTTTATTTGAAAGGCAGGGTTAGAGAGAGAGACAGAGTAAGAGAGACACACAGATCTTCCATCTGCTGGTTTACTCCAAAAGTAGCTGCAACTGAGCTAGTCTAAAGCCACAAGCCAGGAGCTTCTTCTGGAATTCCCATGTGGGTTCAGTGGCCTAAGCTAAGCATTTGGGCCCTCATCCACTATTTTCCCAGGCTACCAGCAGGGAGCTGGATCAAAAGTGGAGCCACCAGGACTTGAACCAGTGCCCATATGGAATGTGATGCTGCAGGCAGAGACATAGTCAGCCACACCACATTGCTGAGCCCAAAGGAAATTTTATTTGATTAAAAAAAAAAAAAGGCCATTTCCTTTCCCATGTCCAGTCTTGTTCCCTCTTAAACTCTATGGTTAACTGTAACATCTACCTCCATGTTTCTCTTTTCCATGTTGTTGTTAATTTTACCACCCTTTAAGTAAGCACCACCTATTTCCCATTATGACAAACCAGCTTTGAATTGGTATCTGTACCCCTCCTTATAAAAATGCAGAGATGACCTCATCCTCTTAAAAGTCTCCACATAGTTACAGGATAAACTTTAGCTTAGTTGTGATCAGGAGTTATATCTCCATGGCTCAATTCCGTTGTTGTTGTTTTGTTTTTAAGATATGTTTTACTTATGTGAAAGGCAAAGTTAGAGAGAGAGGGAGAGAGACAGAGGAATCTTCCATCTCTTGGTTCATCCTCTCCCCTATTGCCAAAAGGCTGCTAGAACTCAGGCCAAAGTCAGGAGCCTGGAACACCACCTGGGTCTGCCACAAGGGTGCAGGGACCAGCACTTGGGCCATAATCAGTTGCCCTTCCAGACACTAGCAGGAACCTGGATAGGAAGTGGAGCAGCAGGGACTTGAACCAGCACACACACTGGGGCCAGAGCTACTGTGAGGACCTGGTATGTTTTGTTTTGTTTCTTAGGTTACTTGACTTGCCTTTCCAACTTTCATGATTTTTAATCAGTCTTTTTTTTAGATTTTAAAATTTTTATTGCAAAATAAGATATACAGAGAGGAGGAGAGACAGAGAGGAAGATCTTCCACCAATGATTCAGTCCCTAAATGACTGCAATGGCCATAGCTGAGCCAATCCAAAGTCAGGAACCAGGAGCCTCTTCTGGGTCTCCCACATGGGTGCAGGGTCTCGAGGCATTGAGCTCTCCTCCAAAGCTCTTCCAGGCCACTAGCAGAGAGCTGGATGGGAAGAGGGGCTGCTGGGATTAGAACCGGTGCCCATATGGGATCCTGGCAGGTGGAAGGCTAAGACTTTAGCAGCTAGGCCTCCGTGCCAGGCCCGATTTTTAATCAGTCTTATAGACATTTAAGCTTATCGTTCAGGTAAAAGTATGCTTTTAATCCTCTGATTTCAGTTTTTCACAAAGAAAGAACTGAAAGATACTCAGAGATTTAGCTCCAAGAATAAAACCGCTATAAACCCTCACATACCTACCTGTTTTAAACATTTTATCACTTTTGTTCTTTAATTACTCTCTCATCCTCTCATCAAATATATTTATGAAATAGAGCATAGATTTCAAATATTTTAAAGTTTTCTCTCTGTTATTGTTAACATATAGAAACTAACTATACATTAATGAGTTCTGCTCGCCTCCGAAAGGTCTTCAACAGACTTACTGTCAGTTCCACATGCCTTGACAGTCACAGATGGCAACATGTTTTGCCGGGTGTACCTCTGAAGGGTTTTTGCAAACGCTCATGCTCAGTGTTCCTTTGCTGGCATTTTATGTGGTGCCTGATGCTGCCCGGCAGGAGGCGTGAGGCGCTGCAGAGGGCTCACCTGTCTCCGGTCGGCCTGCAGGGGAGGCGGCGGGGGCCGAGCACAGTCCCGGTAGAGCATCCTCAGCCGTTCGCACTGCACCTCCACCACTGCGAGTCGCTCTCCTGCAGAGGTATATGTGGAATCCGTGAAAACCACTCTGTCCACCCTTGAGGCAGCGCCAGCTCCCGTGGAGTAGCGCCCAACAATAACCCTGACTACAGAGGTCATTACCATGCTCACGGAAGAGCAAATGCCTGAGCTGTCTGAGTACCAGAACACAGCAATGGAGGGAAGCACAGGCTCTGTGGGCCAGCCACAGCCATCTGGATTCAGAACCCAAGCCATTATTCAGTATGCACCATCTTGCTTTTAATAGTGGGGTAATAATTACACAGTGGCCCCTCTATAGACAACCTTAATTATTCATATCAAACATGGACTAAAACTATTCAATAAAAAATTCAAAGCAAATATGTAAGTCTGAAATGGGCATCCGGGTAGTCTCACTGTGTGTCCTGCCCATGGTGCCCGGGATGCGAGCCAGCCCTCTGCCTGTCACCTGTGCACTGCCTGAGCTCCCTGCCTGGCCGTCACTTAGCAGCCGTCTTGATCTTCTGAATCAAATGTGGGGGATCTCAGTGCTTCGGAGTTCCTTATCTTACCTAATAATGGCCCCAATGCACAAGAGATGTGACATGCTGTCAACTGCTGTACTTTGTTATTTCTTACTGTTGCCAGTCTCTTACTGCATCTAATTTACAGATTAAATGCTACCATAGGTAGGTATACATTGGGAAGAAACAAGGGAGCTAAAGGGCTTGCTGACCCCTGCAGCTCCAGAACTCCACTGGACGTCTTAGAGGACATCATGCTTGGGCCGGGGCGCCAATGCACGTGTATCTCACAAGAAATGACTCGGGCACAGAACCCTCAGCCAGCACAGGGCTAACCAAGGGAGAGCTATCATTTATCACATGATAAATGCCTTTATTCTACTACTTGGTTTGATTTTTCAAAATCGAATTGACCACTTCTTTTGAGCCAGGCACGCTGACTAGATGCTGGAGAATGCAAAAATATCTGAGCCAAAGCCACCACCCTTGGAGAGAAAAGAAGACGCAAATACCCATGCCCAATGAGGAACACAGCAGAGGGCTGCCACACGTGACCATGTGACATAAGGACACACACAGAAGAGGGATGGCTTCATTCCAGGATTCAAAAAGGCTTCATAGAGATATCAGTCAGCTGGATCCCAGGAAAGACAGAACCTCAGTAAACAAAGGATGGCAATCCTGAATGGCTTGGCTTTATGTGGACAGATCTCAAGGAATACTTCACATAACACACAAAAATAACTGCCAAATGGATCAGACAGAGAAAAGGAAAACCCTCTATGGCTACAACCATAAAGCTCTTAGCAGAAAGTATGGATGCAAAAGGCACTGGGTCGGGATAAGTATTTAGCTTGAGGGTTAAGATGTCTTGTGTCCCAGATCACAAGCAAAATTCCACGAGCTGGATTAGGAGGTAAGAAAGATGAAGCTCTTAGGAAACGGCCAGCAGAGCTGCCAGGCCAGATGTGTAGACAGGTCCTCTGTGCACACCTACAGGCACCAGGCTGCGTCTGGCCTTCCCAGTGGCCACATAGAACAGGGAAACCAGTTAGCTAAAAGGATTCAGAGTTCTAAATAAAAGTAAACCGGAATAAGCAGTCCAAATTACTTTTTTAAAAATTTTTAAAAAATTTTTCCAAATTACTTTTGATGAATACTTGCTGATTAATTTTTGTTAAAATAAGTTGAAAAATTATTGTTCTATTTTGTATTTTAAGATATATTTTTATTGGAAAGTCAGATTTACAGAGAGGAAATAGAGAAAGATCTTCCATCCACTGGTTCACTCTCCAAGTAGCCGTAACGGCTGAAGCTGAGCTGATCCAATGCCAGGAGGCAAGAACTTCTTCCTTGTCTCTGCAGGGTCCCAAGGCTTTGGACCATCATCAACTGCTTTCCCAGGCCACAAGCATGGAGCTGGACGGGAAGTGGAGCAGTCAGGATATGAACCAGCAATCACAAGGTATCCTGGTGCATGCAATGTGGGCACTTTAGCAAATAGGCTACTGCGCCCAGCTGAAGAAATTATTCTGAATGAGCTCATATTGGATAGTACAAAAAAAAAAACCCAAAAACCCAACCCAGTAATAATGTCCATATGAACAATCAGTGGCAAGTTTCTTAGTGTCACTGCAGTACAGGTATGTGGAATCATACCAGGTAATAAGGCGAAAGCAATCCTTAGAGGAAAAAGGACTGGAGGCTGGTGGACAGAACTGAGGAACCTTTGTCATAAAGTAGTATTAGTATCTGGTGTGAGAACACTAAGTTCCTATAGTTCACATTCAGGAAAGAAAAGACTGTATTGGGGCCACTGTAATAATACTTGTATGAACCAGCTATAAGCTTGTTAAAGGATAAATGCCAATTTTGAGTGAAATCGAGTTGAAGAAAGCCAGTCCTGTGTCATCAAGCTGGGGCACTGGGAAGATAACCGTGCAGCCGACGTGAAACGAGAGCACCAAGGCAGGTGCTTGAGGAAAATGGCAGCATCTGAACACGAGACAGAGTCGGTCCTGACCTGGCGGTGGCAACAGAAGGACCAACTTCAGACGTGGTGTGTGATCAGCTGTGGTAGGACCAGGAGGAGGCATCAGATTAGACTGAGCATCTGCACATCACTAACACAGGAAAGCTGGAAAGAAGGGCAGCTCAGAGTAAGCATCAGCTCACCCTGCTACACTCATGGGCTGGATCTCACGAGAGCACACGTCCACAGTGGAAGCTGCCCTGCTGCGAGGATGGGTGGGGGCGCCTGCAAAACACCCACCTGGGCCCAGCCAGGCTGAAGTTCTGACTCTGGGAGTGCTTGCGAAGCATTTTAATTATGCTCCCTGTGTGTTCTTAGGAGCTTGCGGAGTCTGAGAGCAGTGGGCTCAGGGGATGTGCACATTAGACTTGGGAGAAGCAGCGGCTGACCTGGGCACATCCGGGCTCTACATAGTTTCTATGTGCTTTCTTTAGGTTCTGAGATCTGTTTCCTGAGCCATGTCAACCAAGGGGTTCAGCTCACTTCTCAGGAACATTTCTTCATGGGAATACTTTCTGGAAGTGCTATCTTCCTAAACCAAATGGAATGAGGTACTCTCTTCTTTAGATGAAGGGTTAAAAATCCAGATATGTGAGCTGGTGTTATAATGGCCCTGTCTGCTACTTAAACCAGATGAGGCAAATAGAAGGATTAGGCTGAAATAGTACATTTCAAATAATGTTTGGAAACTTCTTTTCCATGTATTATTGCTTATAAACTTTATTACATTTGCATATCCAAAATGTTAAAACTTAATGACATTCAAAAGTTAAAATCAGTTAATCATCCTATCGGTTCTCACTTCATTACCTGGAATTTCATTTAACTAATGGGGTTGCTCCGATGCACGGTCTATGACTCATCTGAGATCCAACTGCTGTGTCACAAGGGAGCTCAGAATGTGCAGCTTCTTGATTTTTATGGGGAAATGGTTCTGGAGTTAGTAAATTCTGATATGTATTTATTTAATGCTCTTCATTATTTATGGTAACTTAATGAATGAGCTGTTAAAAATTCTTAATCTTGTCCTAGGACACCATTTAAAAAAATAAACCAATGGTACGAATGCAAATCTTCTTTTGTAGCAATTGGTAAGCGTGGTCAACATGTTCCTGTCCAACTCTGTCTCCAGAGTCTTTTTTCCCACTAGGAAAACAGGTTAGGTGGGTTATGATCAGACCCACTGGCAACTACTGCTCCAAACGATTATAAATCCGAGCCTGGAGTTTAGATATCAAGGCCAACATCACACACTGAGACCTAAGAACACCACAAACATATAAAGAAGCTACCCAGAAACAGACTTACAGGAGAGCAAAGGTTAATTCAGCAAGCCATCTCCCTGCCACAATCAGCCCATACTTGTGTTAGAATCCAATCTAAACCAAAAACGTAAGAAAGCAGAGGCTAAAGGCCTACTAGATGTACAAAGTTAACTCACAGACAAAAGCTCGGTCACAGCAAAGTCCCCCTTGAAGTCAAGCCTACTCCTTTTCCTCCAACGACCTCCCTGAGCTTTATCAGCAGTTCCTGTTTCTGCAGCCAGAGCTTCTACTACTACCAGCATCAGCAAGAGAGAGTGGCAAAGTGAAATAGCTATAGAACAGAGATGCGCTAAAAACAAATACAAAGCAACAGAAACCACAGCGGAAAGAGTAAGAAAGTTTACAGACAGAAAGGACAATTATTGACAAATACCATGAAAAACAGTAATAATACAGTAATAAAAATGACCAAAAGAGGTAAAACTAAAATATTAAGAGGATCAATGATATCGATTTCTTCCTTAGAGTTTGTGAAGGTTACAACACAGGAGGAATGTCTGTCCACTTGTGAATGACTTTACCTGGGGATGCAGGCTCAAAAAGCAAATTTTAACTTAAAAATACCCAACCCATCTACAACTTACAGGAAATACGAGAACAAAAGAGCAAGTTAAATGACACCACAGAGACACAATCGGCAAGGTGTACCTTTCAGGGAATCCTTTCAATACAGATTATAAGGGGAAAAAATGCTGAGGGAATTCATGTCCTAAAGATTTAAGACATAACGATGTGTGAACTTTTTTTTGGATTCCAATTCAAATAAATACATGTAAAAGCAAGCATGACCTTTGTGAAAAAACTAGAAAGCTGAAGGCTAGGATACTGAATAATACTGAAGAAATATTATTGATGTCTGAAGTATAACAGTGGTGTTATCATTTTTTTTAAGACTTCATTTTTGGAGATATATTACAATATTAATTAATTAGATAATATCTAGTATTAAAAATGATCCAGGGGTGGGAATTATGATACTGTTGATTAAGCTGCTACTTGAGACACCTACATGTCATAGCAGATGGCCAATTCAAGTCCCAACTCATCAGCTTCTAGCCCAGTTTCCTGCTAACGTGCCTGGGAGGCAGGAGAGAGCAGCTAAGCACTTGGTTCCTCGTCACCCACATGGAAGATCTAGACAGAGTTCCTGGCTTTTAGCCTGGCTTAGCCTGGGCTGTTGCAGGCATCGGGAGGGGATTAATTGTCTCTCTCTGACTCTATTGTTCAGATAATTAACTTTTAAACTCAAAGTAATGAATTATAAATGACACAGGATCAGCTATGAGTTAATAAAGGTTTAGTATGAGTCATGGTAACACAGGGATTCATTATTCCAGTCTGTCTTTTGTTTTTATATTTGTTCAAAATTTTCCACAAACACAGTTTAACTAGCACTAAACTCCTGACTTCGATTGCAGCCAATGACAGCAGTCAGAATGAGCATGCCAGTCTTAACAGAGGAATAAAGGCAAGGAATTGATATGAATGGAGAAAATATTGTGACATGGTCCTAAGGCTAAACTGAAAACTGCTCATTTCCTAGCAAGTAAATTCTAGAAACTTTTTATTTACACTTATAGTTTAGGCTGAATATGATGTCTTTAAGAGCTCAGTTGTCTGAGGAGATAAAGAAGGAGAGAGAGGGAGAGAAAGAGGAAAAAAGTTACTGTTTTCTTAGTAAGTCACAAATGAACAGACCATACTCAATAAGATATATGGTAAGGAAATTAACAAGTACTTACCAGCACTGCATTCCTGGGCTACTAGGTTAAGCACTTCAACAGCTGCTGGGCACTGTTGTATGAATTCTTCACAAAACAAGCTGTCTTCTAAAAGCTGGGCCATGACCAGGCATGCTCTTAATATTAAAAGATTTACAACATTTCAAAGTCATCAATATCCATTCTATCAACATTCAGCTATGAAAAACATTTTAATTCCTCTTTTCCCACATTCACAAGAAGGCTCACAGTTCCCACCCCCTGCTTCTCTCTAAGCTGGACTGGCTGGGCCTCTGTGTCTGTGATTCATCTATTCATGCATAAAACAATCATGGATGAAAAAAAAAGTTTTTAAAAGTATCTCTGTATGCAACATGTATAGATTTTGGTTCATTTTGGTGAGAAATAACTTTGAAATATGTTCATAGTTTATTCATGGCATGTCTTTTCCACGGACTTTAAAAAATACCCTCATACTATATAGCATTTACATTGTACAAGGTGTTACAAGTAATCCACAGATGATTTAAATTTCTTTCTCTCACACAAGGATGTGTGTAGGTTACATGAAAACCACCACATGTTCTGCAAAGGACTTGAGCATCTCCAAATTCTGTTCTCCTGGGTGGTGGTACAGGAGAGGTCCTGGAAGCGATCCTAAGATGCCAAGGGAGTCCATGAACATGGCTCTCTGATTGCTGGCACCGCACAGAAAATCTCCACGACATGGAGAGGCCAGCTGTTAAGTGATAAGGCAGTGCCATCTCTACCAAGACCTTCCCTCAGCTGGACTTCCTGGGCAACACTTGAGCTCTGCAAGCAGGAAGGAGCCCAAAGCTGGGAAGGCATACTGTATGTTCAACTCTGATTGGATTCAACATATAGATTAGAACTTTCTGAGAAGTCCCATTGCTGAAAGAACATGTTACTCTTGTTTAATGGTAAAGTATCTGCAGCAATAGACTTTGAATACAAATATAGCCAATGACAGCAGTCAGAACATGTCTTCTGCCAGTCATACAGACAGGTCATGCATAGTTTACGACACCAAAACCTATGAATGCTCCCTCACTTTTCCATCATCGATTTGGAAAGTGATGAACCAAGGAGGTAAAAGTGTGGCCTGAGACATTTAAAACATATATATGTTGGCATGTATTCCTGTGATTGAATGGCTTTTCTTTTTTTTTTTTTTTAAATCAAAGAAAGCCAGTACAACATTGTGAATGTGTTCCATATGTGTCATTTCAATTTTTCTTAGGTGAACAGCTTAAATTTTTTTTCCTAAAGTGCACAAACTGGGGAACATGAAAGATGCATAAAAGAGCCTGTTCCTCAGCCTGCTTGAGTTCCACCTACACTCAGCTGGCACTCAGCTGGGATGGCAGTGGGGGTGGGGCACCCCTTCAAAGCTCGGGCATTCGGGGGCAGTGCTCACCTGGTTCTGATCTCAGCCAGGAGCCGAACGACTGCCATCACAGGAGCTGAGCCATCTCCTGTTGCAGGAAGTGAGGTGTGAATAGAGAGACTCCCCTCCTGAGGAAGCAACATGGACTGGACTGCCTGTACTACCTTCTCAGTAATGGACAGTGTATGAAGAGGCAATGCCTGATGGCGGTGGGGGGCGCGGCAGAAAGTTAAATTCAAGCAGTTAGTTTATAAGACATGAGGCTGTCATTATTACCTGGAGTTAATTCTCAAATTTTCATTAAAAAACAAAAACAAACAACATCATAAAATCACCATACAGAAAACTATAAGCCATATCAAAACAATTAAAACTACAGTAAATATTCTGTGGAATATTCCTAGCCAACAGAGAAATACATTTTGTTCTGTCCGATGAGAAGTTTCACAACTTTACTATTAAATAAATAATTATAATCCACATAAATGCAAGCTGCAAGCAAAATTTAAATAACCAAGCATTTGTACTACTATGTTTCACTCAATACAGTGTGGTTACCATTTACAGTGACATTTTTATGGAGCATTTAAAAAATCACCTTACCTCTGCTCTTGGAACACAAAGTCTAGACAATGGAATGGTCAGTGTGTCTGATGCTTGCGAAGTCTTTCTACAGTCTATGGGTGGGAATCTGACCGTAGCTATACCTTCCTGCTCATTGATAGAAGCCACGATGCCGATGCTGCCTGATATTCCTCTCCCTAAAACCTGCAGGTAGAGACGCATGAGCGCTGCCACCAGCTCTCATTCAACACAACGAAGAACATTTACAGCTCCCACGACTGCTGTCATAGTAATTCTTCTAAGACAGGAACCAAGCCTGGACATGAATTTAAACACCAAGTCCTAAAGCCCAAGGGGATTATAACATGTTATCTTCCCAAACCTTCAATTCTAAAACACGGCTGATGTCAATGACAGCATTGGCACAGTACTGCACAAACATGAATAAATCATGAACAACTGACATGCACCAAGTGTGGATTAGCATTCCTGAGTATCTCAGGTTCCTAATTTAGCTTGAAGGAAGCAGGTTCTCCTTGCCCTACTGGGTGAAGGATACTGCTAAGTTCCTCAGTACATGATTACCCTGGGGGGAGCACCCACTGGGGAAAACGGTGGTGCTTACTTGAACCTCGGATCCTATCTTGATTGTCTCTTTGAAGCCTCCGAGGGCACACAGTGCAGCCACAGCCTGGCGGGCGATTCTCTGGAGTTTGGCAAGTTTTCTGCCGCTGCTACTGCCGTTTTCCAGAATGCTTTCTGCATACTTCCCCAGCTGCGGGATGTACATCAGTGCCCGAGACAGAACCTAAACGCAAGAGGGAGCCCATGCACCAGGAGTTAACATTCATTCAGTTTGTTTGGAAGAGTCTGTGACAATGATGGGTCTCACAGAGTGTAGATTCTGTAGATGAGAGGAACCAAAACACTACCAGGTCCAGACAACAACATGCTATCCACATTTGCTTTGTATAATCACACAGAGTTGGAAAGGCACAACCTCAAAACTTGGGACAAACATGAAACATGTCACCCGGAAGGAAAATAATCCCAGGACACCGTCAATGACCTTGAGGACTGTGGAAAGGGCAACTGACAACAGCTCTGTGGTTTGGGTTAAGTGGACTACTGCCCGTCGTGACCAATGGCTGACAGCACTCAAGCGGTGTGTCATGGCAAGGCCTCCTGAGGACCGAGTCTGGTTAACAGAGCCAATAAACCAAGGCTGTGTGATCTCCCAATGTCAGCACCAATCTCACAAAACACAAGGATGATACAAAGACTGTCATTCCTTTTCTGAGAGTACTACTCTGTCCTTGCAAATTCCAAGGGCAAAACAGTTAACAGGCACATCTGGCCAATTTGGGACATCTCTACCAGAACGTCCTTTGCGGGCATTCCCAGCGGGGGATGCCATCTTCCTCCTCCTCTTACTCCCGCAGGGCAGCGACACTGAACCAACCTTCTCTGCCGTTGTAGTCCATATCTGAGCGGCATTCGACTCTGGGGCCATGAGCAAGCTGTGCAGCAGGGCAATGACCTCAGCAGCCATGCTGTTCGCCACATGCCCGCTGATGAAGGGCCGCACAGGGTCAGTCCTGCAAGTGGCAACAGGGACAGTTCATGGTGCAGACTTGGCTTCCAGGGTTACCACGAGACAGAGATACTTTCTCCTTATCCAAGAAAAAATGGATTTAGTCCATTGACAAAATAGAATTGAAGTTATCATTGGGGGAAATTAACTTCTTTCATAACCTCTGTGGTACTGGAAGAATAATGTGGAAGAAAAGATCCCAACCATGAGCTCATGGCTCAAGAAAGACACTGGCTGCAGCTACTCCTGGTTCGCAGGTCAACCTGCTCATCTCCCTCAGCTAAAGCCACTCTGACTGCAGTTACTACCCCAGATGGGTAGAAAAATAAAACCTTCACCACAAACCTGTCACCAAGGAAATCTGAGGGGAGAGAGAGAGAGAGAGAGAGAGAGAGAGAGAGAGAGAGAGAGAGAGAGAGAGAGGACAGCTTCCAACTCGTGGGTGGGGGTTTACCTTGCTAGTTCAGAGTTCCTCTCTCGGCAAATGGAGGTTTGGGCGGTTTTCTTTTTGTCACCTGTGGACAGTCCACTCACAGTCTCTGGGCTGACAGATTCCACCGGCGGCCCGACACTGACGATCAGGCCTGACTGTGCCCACTTGGTTGCTTTCCGCAGGGCAGCTGTGGCCTCCTCTGTGATCACTTCACAGCAGCCGCCCTGGGAGTCAGATGGAAGATGCTTAGGACATGAGCACCACTCCTCCCAGAACTAAACAACTCAAGGTCTCTTCCTCTCAATGACCAAAACAATCCAGTCTCATTCTTGTAAAAATTCAAACAAAATTAGTGAGTTGAATTTCCACAACTATCACATGCCTTCACCAAGTCCAAGGTAAGCATTAGTCCTCAGAGTCTTTCTATGTTAATTCCAACCTGTAGAATCACGGGGTCCCATCCCCACATAGATATGCAGTTAAACCTTTTTCAGTTTCAGATGCTGCAGACACTTTTTTATATCAGTATAAACAGAACTACCCTGATGCCAATGACATGGGTCCAGGCCAGACCAAAGGCAGGAGACAGGATCCCAATCTGGGTCTCTCCCATGTGGGTGGCAAGGACCCATTTCTTCACCTGTCACTTCCCAGGAAACTACCAGAAGTGGAGCCAGGACTTGAACCGGGGCACTCCCCTATGGGATGCAGGCATCCCAGTGTCTGAGTAACTATGCCAACACATGATCCTTCCTTTTTAAAATAATTGTACATCAGTTGATTATAAAAGCAGAATAATTTCTTTAACCAATCCCCTAACCACGGGTATATGGATTTAATTTTGTTGGTATTCTAAACAAACTTAAAAAAATTACTGTGTTGTTCTGATACTGAGAACATATAATTACCCTCACCTTGACAATCTAAGCTCTCTGTGTGATAAGGAAAAAAATCATGTACTACTGTTATTTATTTTTAATCCTGTCCTGTATTCACTGGTGACCTTGTGTATATTTTTATATTTTTATGAGCTATTTGTTTATCATTCTGGAAAACCTGTTAAATCTCTTCTCCTTCCAACATCAAACTATTTTTAAGCTACAAAACTCTCTTAAATGAAATGAGAAAAATAGGTCAAAATTAAACATTTTCTATGACATTTTGATGTTTCTGACAAGCTGATTTTGACCAGTTCTCTTTAAAATGCCCTCAAATAAGCTACTGACATTAACTTCTCACCCTTTCTCTACGGACACATGAACCAATTAAAAAATAATTTTCCAGGGTCAGTGTTGTGGGATAGTAAGCAAAGTCGCTGCCTGTAATGCTCAAATCCCATACAGGCATTGGATTGAATCCCCACTGTTCAGTCTGGTTCAGCTCCCTGTTAATGCACCTGGGAAAACAGCTGAACACAGCCCCGGTGCGTGGGCCCCACACTTACACAGCCAGCCTGGATGAAGCCCCAGCCTGGCCATTGCAGTCATTTGGGGGGTCAACCAGTGGATGGAAGCTCTCTCTGCTTTTCCCTATCTCTGTAATTCTCACTTTCACATAAATTAATTTTTTAAATAAAAATTTCTCCTAAAAATCTAAAGGAGGGCCAATGTTTTTCAATCCTGACTTTTGTCAGCATCTCTCATCAGAGTTACCTTGGTCATGTCTCGATCCATCTTCACAACTTTCTCCATGTTGGCCCCGGTGCCGAGCCGGAAGGGACGTCCCTCCGAGCTGCTACACATAGGAAAGCAGAGGTGAAAGAGACCTTCAGGCCCTGTGGGAGGTGGGCTGTGTGCCATGCGCCAGCCCTGTCACCATCAGGCCATTCCTTATGTGCTACACCTGCCTTTAAATTCCAGCATAAGACTCTCACCTTTTCAAAAAAGAAGTGGTTTATTATCGCTCAGTTATAGCCTTTTTAGGATTCAAGAACAGCAGATGTAATGGTATCTAAGAATGTATGCGAAGCAAAGAGCACCACAAAAAGGATGATCTGAACACAGATGAAGGAAGGACCAGGCCAAGGGAGGCGCTCAGGGAGGCATCCCCATCCTGCTGCAAGGGAACCTGGGCAGCAGGAGCCTGATGCCGGGGGCGAACACTAAACCTCCCTTCCTCAGACTGCCACCGCCCTGCTTCCTGCAGGGGTTCAACAAAAACACCTTTCACCAAACCTGTCCTGGGAAGCTGCGCAATGCACAGGAGTGCTTCCTGTTGGGAGATATGTCCAGCTCAGCACTGACCAGCCGTGACCCTGAGCAGGTCACACGACCACGCCCCAATGCTGCTGAATGCTTCACTGGCACACGAAGGACCCAATTACAACAGGATGATAACATCATTAGATCACTTATTTCAACAGAGGATTCTTTCACTGAGACACATATCTGATCTAGGCTCTCTTGTGTTATCCTGCCTTCCTGGATCCCACTAACAGGGCTCAATAGGTTTGCAATGTTTGAACAATAGCTACATTTTTTTACTTGCACATTGAGCAATCATACTATTCCTACTTTAGTGAAGTCAAGCTTTAATAAAGCATCTCTCATTCTCCTCCATCTGACTGATGACAGGGATAATAAGGACGGAGGCCCCAAAGGCATCGTGTGTTCTCAAGCCCACGTCACACTGCAGGCTTGGCCCCCGGCCACAGACATTCTCAATAGGCCTCTAGCTCTCTGCTGGTTTTGCACAGATGACCAAGTTGGGACTCTGTGGTCAGACACCTACACCCACAACTGAGTTCTGCCTGTTTCTTCAAGTGTCATCACAGGGATGACAGGAATATTGTCTACCTGCTAGCCTTGTGAGGGCTGAGTGGTGGCTATGGTAGGCGAATGTGGCTACGACTATCCTTGCAGTCACCTGAGTAACGGCTGGAGGACCTCGTGAGATGACTGATCTTCCCGCTTGTGGATGAATATGGAGAGCTTGCCATCCACTGCTTCACTCTCTTCTCCAGGATCTTTATCCCCTTTTAAAGAGCTCTTGGGACTGGTTTTTGTCAATATGGTGTCAGGTTCAGAAGCAGTTGGAGAAAGAACTGTCTGACATCCTATAAGTAAAAAAGCAAAACTCCTGTGTTGTTTCTGTAGCCCCCTACACATCAAAACTACTGCTTTGCAAATCTCTCTCCCGTCTCTTCTCTCTCCTGTCATTTTCATTACAGAACTCATAGCTGCGGTCAGGGACCCAACTGCACAGGAGTGCACTGGGCATACCCTGCCGTGTGCAGCTCCTTACCTGGGACCACATAGTCTGCCAGCTTGGCCAAGAGCAAGGAGGCGATCTTGGAGGCCGGGTCACTGGGGTCCTCCTGCTCACTGTTCAAGGAGGGCACGGAGTAGCTCCAGGGAGGGAGCTCCACATTGCCACAGTCTTCCACACTCATCAGCGGCAGCGCTGCCCGGCACAGCTGCAGAATGATGAGCACGAGCTTCGGTGACGGGCGCTGGTCCAGCAGCAGCGAGAGGAGCTTGGAGACACACGCTGGCTGGCTCAGGATGGCTTTGCCTATGTGACTCCTGGAGGAGGAGGAAGGAAATGTCATACCCTAAACTTTTTAATAAAGTTATTTAAATTTATTTGGGAGGTAGAGTTAACAAAGCTAACATTCCATGCACTGGTTACTTCCCCAGATAGCTACAGTGGCCAGGTCAGAGCCAAGAGCCAAAAGCTTCATCCAGGTCTCCTAAGCACTTGGGCAACCACCTGCTACTTTCCCACGTATATGGTATCGCAAGTGATGGCTCAAACCCACTATGCCACAGCACTGGCCCTAGAATATCCTCTTTTAAAGATAATGCATTTAGGGCCCGGCGTGATAGCATAGTGGTTAAAGTCCTCACCTTGCACTCACTGGCATCCCATATGGGTGTCAGTTTTAATCCCGGTAATCCTGCTTCCCATCCAGCTCCCTGCTTGTGGCCTCGGAAAGCAGCTGAGGACAGCCCAAGGCCTTGGGACCCTGCATTTGCATGGGAGACCCAGAAGAAGCTCTTGGCTCCTGGCTTTACATTGGATAAGCTCCAGCCAGTACAGCTGCTTGGGGAGTGAACCATTGGACAGAAGATCTTCCTCTCTGTATATCTGACTTTCCATTAAAAATAAATAAAATCTTTTTTAAAAAGATAATGCATTTTAAAAAATGATAATACATGAGGGCTGGTTAAATTGTCACTTTCTGGTATCCCATACTGGAGGGTCGGTCCGAGCCCCAGCTGCTCCTCCTCCTACCAAGCTCTCTGCCACACTGTTGTGCCTGTGAGAGCAGTGGATGATGGCCAACCAATGCTTAGCAATTACGGCCAGGAACTCCATCCTGGTGTCTCCCATAGCGGGCCCTCAGGTGCTCTCTCCGAGGCACTTACCAGAGAGCTGCATGAGAAGCAGAGACTAGCCGAGATGCAAACCAGGCACACTGACATTACCAGCAGGCGACCCAAGTGGAGGCTTCTCCTGACTACCACAGCACCTAACATTGTTTAACAGCTCTAACATTGTTTAAATCATGCATATTATATGGTATCATTAAGAATTTTCACATTTTGAAACTAAATACTATGCTTCAATAATTTGGTTTTATTTATTGAATTAAATTTGTGAAAGATTTATTTATTTATCTGAAAGGCAGAGTTTAGAGAGACACAGAAACTAAGACAGGGAGATAATCCATCCACTGGGTCACTCCCCAAATGGCCACAACGGCCAGGACTAGGCCAGCCCAAAGCCAGAAACCCAAAGCTTCATCCAGGTCTCCCAAGTGGGTGGCAAAGGTCCAAACAGCTGGGCCATCCTCTGCTGCCATTCCCGGTACCTTAGCAGGAAGCTGGATCAGCAGCGGAGAAGCCAGGACTCAAACAGGCACATGTAGGATGCCAGTTCTGCAGGTGGCAGCCCAACCCACTGTACAATGTTGGGATCCTCAACAACTGTTTTCTATCACTTTCCTTGAAGTAGAGTATGTCAAAACGGCCCATCTAGCAATTCAGTTGTTTCCAAAGACAATCCAAATAACTTAAGAGGAAATTCAGTTCCGTGGTGGGTGCAGTAGTGTAGTGGGTAAAGCCACTGCTTGAGACACACGCATCCTATGATGGAATGCTGGTTCGGGCCCTGGCCATTCTACTTCCAATTCAGCTTCTGCAAATGTACACTTCATGTACTTGAACTTCTGCCGCTCATGTGGGAGACCTGAATGGAGTTTCTGTTCTCAGCTTTGGCAACACCTGGAACTAGCTGCTGTGGCCTTCTGGAGAATCAAAAGTGGGTGGAAGATCTTTCTGTCTCTGTCACTCTGTCATTCAAATAAATAAAACCTTGAAAACCTTCAGTTACAGGAACGCCAGCTCCTCCCGCAGCTCCTGGTTCACGCACCGTACCTGGAGAGGTCATTGAGGAGACTGAGCACATCCTGCAGGGCATCGTTGCCGGCAGCCTGGTTGCCGCAGCACTCCGTGGCTCGGGCGAGGTGGTTGGTGAGCAGGCTGGACACCTGGCGGGCCAGGCCGGAGTGCACTGCCTCCGTGGAGCCACCTTCACAGTGAAGACAGGAAAAACACAGGGACACCCCGAGGACACGTGGTGAGCCTGCAGAAGTTGCCAGGGCTCCCTTGCAGCCTCCCCACGTTCAAGCCCATCCCTTGCCTAGCTCTTACTTGCTCAGTGTTTCACAGAACATCTACTAGTGTCTCCTAAGACAATATTTGCAGTAAAACTAGCATTCAATGCTAACATAAACTTAATTAATCCAAATGAAATGAAGGAATAATATTTTGAATGACAGAGAAAAAATCATTATGCTATTGATGATGACAATATGTTGATTTTTTCAACTCATATCTTTTTCTTCTTGAATGCAGAGGCCTTTCAGGACCTTTCCATGTTCACTGTAGCTCCAGAGCGCCCCCTGGAATTCCTTGTGAAAGTCAGAAAGATGGTGATTCCTGGTACTTGGCTTGCTGTTTTTGGGCCCTCAGCGCACACGGTGTGGGTTCTGCTTTGGATCCTTCAAGAACAACTCACATCCTCTCCACTGGGAACCCCTCCCGACTCCCAGCACAGGGGCTCTCAGGGACACCTGTGCCCCACAGCCTCCCCTGCGGCCCTCCATGACAGCACAGATTGTACTATGGCTGCTCCCTGGTCTGCTTCTCCTGGCAGGTCCTATTTCTCAAACGGTGGAACAACAAACATCTTACTCATTTTCTGCCTGGTGTACATAAGTACACCATAGGCATTCAAGCCATTAAAACATATAAAGAATGAATAAAGGGTAAACAAGTTATACTTATAGCCCTGAGTATTGTGGAAAAACTTCCCCCTAAGTTTACTTTATAAGTTAGATTGGGCACTAAAAGAGGTCTCCCATTTCTCACCTTCTTCTTTTTCCCACTCTACACAGCGGTTGGCGAGCACCTGGAAGGCAGCCCAGGCCATGGTGGCCACCTTCTGCTTCTTGGTCTGCTTCTCACTGGAGCTCGACTCGGACTGGCTGCTCAAGCTGCACAGACGGTCCATGAGCTGCACGAGGCCACTGCGCACCAGGCACTTCTCTTCACTCCTGCCAGGTCAGTGCAACAATCAAGTCTCAGGACACTCCCATGTGAGGCTCGGATGAACAAAACGGCACAAAACGTGCTGGTGCACCTGTGTACAGTTGAGCCTACTGTCTTGTACAATCAGACACAAGAACTTTTGCCTGTATCCACGATTTCCCTCACAAACAAGGAACTTCAAATTCCAGTCTGTTCATATAGAACAGTAAAGAATGGAACCAAGCAGGTTTCCAGAATACAAAACCAATTATGTGTTTTCTCAAAAGAGATTTTAAATAATGAGTCCATGAATGTCTGACATTTTAATTATACTGACTTAAGAAATACATGTGCATATGCAATTACTTTTTTTCCCCAAATATGTCGATATTTTTCCCAAATATGTTAGTAAGTTTCTAGGGGCTTTCTGTTTCTCATTGACCTTTCCTTTCCTCACAATATAGCATAATCCTTTTGGCTGCTTCTGGTCATGCAGGAACTCAAAATAAAGGACTATATAGGAATCTTAGTTGTCACGACAGCTTGTGTAGTTGCAAATGGATAATTAAAGTGACAAGTCCCAGTTTTTAAATTGGAAAATACTTTCACAGACAATGTTGTGGTCTAACTTAGACGTGGCAGCAGGGACTGCTGTCCTCACCTGGTGTAAGGTATGGTGCACAAGAGGCCGATGCTGTTGGCACAGGCAATCGGATAACGCGCGCACAAAGACACAACAGAGGTCATGGTCTCCCCAAACGCCTCCTGGACATGCTCGACCATCCCACCACAGGTGAGTTCTTCAATTCTGTGGACCACAAACCCAAGATTAAGCTTCCTGAGCCATTTCCAGGAGGGCACTGTGGCTAGGAGAGCAGCAGAGGTCATCCCAAGAACCTAGGTCGCCCAGAGGTGCTGAGAGCTGAAAGGATCTTGGAGATGAGCTCAGTGCTTCCCCAACTACACAGCATTCTCTGCTGCAGGACTCGCAGGGAGGCAAACTGCAGGGCGACTGTAAGAGCAGGGGAATGGCAGCCAATGCATTGTAAACTTACTTGATAATGAAACCATTTATTTGAGGCACATTTATGATATTCCATGCAGAACTGACAGTTAAACACACATTGTATTAAGGAGATAAACAAGGTCGAAATAAATTAGCTGCCAGGTCTATCAAGTTAGCAATTCAAGTGAGCAGAGTATGCGGGCACAGTCAACACACACTAAGATTTTCCCAATATAAAATACAACATGTGGCTGATCTATAGCAATTAACATTGAGAACAAACACTGTCAGTGCTTATTCACGAAGACTTACGATCCAATCGTTTTTAAAGATCATTTTGTGGCACAGGCATTATAGTGCAGCAGATAAAACCACCACCTGCAATGCCACCACCACATATGGATAGTGGTTCATGTCCCAGTGGCTCTATTTTCAATCCAGCACCCTGCTAATAGCCTGGGAAAAGCAGCAGATGGCTCATTTAATATTTGGAATTTTTTGAAGTAATGACTGGGAGATTTGGGGAGGCTCCTGGTGTCAGCCTGGCCCATGCTGGGTTCAGCAGCCATCTGAAGAATGAAACAGAGGATGAACGTTCTCTATGTCTTCCTCTCTTTATAATACTGACTTCCAAATGGGTATGTCTTAAAATTTTTCTTCTCCTTTGTTAGGTATTTCGTTCATCAACTTTTGTTATTTATTTGTGTTGTTTACATTCTACTTGAAAGGCAGGACTCACTGTTGGTTCATATCACAAACGCTAACAGCAGCTAGGACGGGGACAAACTGAAGCCGGGAGCCTGGGACTCCAGCCAGAAGTGAATCCATGTGAATCACAGGCACAAGGTGCCACCTGCTGCCTTCCGGGGTGCACACCAGCAGGGAAGTTCTGGAAGTGGGGGACCAGGACTTAACCCAGGCACTCTGGTACTGGAAGGTGGGGCCCAATATCCTAACTGCTGTGCCAAACACTCATCTTCTGATCCTGCTTGTAATAACAGAAATAGGTAAATAGAACTACCTTCAGTTTTAAAAAGAGAATTAGTTTAATAAATGTTAAAATAATTTAAAAAGTTAAGAGAATATCACATATTGGGCCCGGCGGCGTGGTCTAGCAGCTAAAGTCCTTGCCTTGAACGCGCCGGGACCCCATATTGGTGCCGGTTCTAATCCTGGCAGCTCCACTTCTCATCCCGCACCCTGCTTGTGGCCTGGGAAAGCAGTTGAGGACGGCCCAAGGCTTTGGGACACTGCACCCGCGTAGGAGACCTGGAAAGAAGTTCTTGGCTCCTGGCTCCTGGTTTCAGATTGGCATAGCATTGGCCGTTGCGCTCACTTGGGGAGTGATTCATCAGACGGAAGATCTTTCTCTCTGTCTCTCCTCCTCTCTGTATATCTGATTTTCCAATAAATAAATAAATAAATCTTTAAAAAAGAAAAAAGAATATCACATATCAAAAGCACTATATATAGGAGATAGCTATGATTAGAAGAAAGGAAAAATTCACCATAATGTAATAAATACTATCCTAAGATGGTAGATTTACGGGTGGGTTTTATCTTTAGAATCTTGTGCATTTTTGAAAAATGCCATTTGTCACTGAGAGACAAAAGAACAATGCTACCAGCATTATAAGACTATTTTGGAAGTAAGCTGTGGTCACACACTCCGTTCTGGGCGGCCATGGAACCAGCGTGGCCGATGAGCCAATGTGTCAGGAAGCCGGCAGCACTCTGGATGGCTGAGTCTACCACGGGGAGATCCCACAGGCAGAACACATCACAGACAGGAACAAGACCGCTACTTTCTCTTACAAACCCTTGAGCTTTTCGAGTCACTGTTTCCAAAGAATGTCTTGTGCTTCACTTAGTACTATATTCTCTTCCAACCACTAACCCTCTGTTGGCCAGAATTCCTTAAAGAAATGCCAAGAGGCCCAAGCAACCTCCAGCAATTCCAGTACAGGACTTTCTGGCTTTACTTACAGATGTGTAAATAAGAAACTGTGACGTCATGCCCTAATACTAATCTCTGGTAGGGCTTCAGTCCATTCTAGACAAGGCAGCAGAAGACAAGCAAAACAACTGACCTGGGTCCTCCCTGCAGGACCATTGTCACCGGACCCACAAGGTGAGTGACCCCTCCAACGCGCACAGCAGCTGTTAGCAATTCCCGCATGTGCACCAGAGCCTGCTTGCGTGTGTTTCCCCGCCGCCACCTTGTCTGTGCAGCCAACAGAAAGCTGCTACTGGACACCTGCAACGCACAAGAAGGAAATCCACCTGACTTTGGCGCATGGTCACTGGGCCCCCTGTGCTGCTAGTGGCTGAGCACCTGGAGTCTGCAAAACCTGACGTACTGCTTGGTCGGGGTTGGTGCCGATGAAAGCAAACAGCTGTCCCAGCAGGACACTATAGGTGGGCTTGTCCCTGCTGTCCTCGATGGCCAGGGACTGCAGGAGTGTAAAGGAGCTGCTACGGTGGCTGGTCACATGACGCCGCCTGTGGCAAGCCAGAGGGTGCAGAGGTCAGGAAACCAAGGCATGGGCTCTGAGAGTGCCTTCTGATGAAGGCATTCAAGTACCTGCATTCATGCAACCCCACCCTGGCCATCAGCCAATTACCTCTGATTGGCTCTAGTAAATTCCAAATCTTCATTACCAATCATTTCCAGGTCAGAAGGAGCCGACATGCTGCGGAGAAAAACTGGCTGCCGGACAGCATGCGATATCACTTTGGTTTCAGAAGCTGATTTACATGCTGGAAAAAGAGTAGAAAGGTTGATGTTTCTGCTGCCTGCTTCTTCAGGAGTTATGGCAACAGAAGCAGCACTGGAGAGACTCTTGGCTTCTGGGCAGAGTCTGGCCACCAGTGCAGTCAGCAGTGCACGCCGGTGACTTTGGGGGCCAACTTTCTACAATCTAGGTGTTAGATTAACAATTATTTTAGTTTGCAAATTAAAAATCTCATTAAATCTGTTTTCCAAGCCTGGTATGGTAGCCTTGTGGCTAAAGTCCTTGCCTTAGGTGTGCTGGGATCTCATATGGGCTCTGGTTTGTGTCCTGGCTGCTCCACTTCCCATCCAGCTCCCTGTTTGTGGCCTGGGAAAGCAGTCGAGGACGGCCCAAATCCGTGGGATCCTGCACTCACATGGCTCCAGCTGTTGTGGCTGGCCACTTGGGGAGTGAAGCAATAGACAGATTTCTCTCTCTGTCTCTCCTTCTCTCTGTAAATCTGACTTTCCAATAAAAATAAGTAAATCTTAAAAACATATCTATTTTCCAAAGGAAGGTTGAAAAATTCATTTAATTTCACTATAACATAACATGTCTACTACATAACTATTGAACCTAACTATATATATATGTAACTATGTAAAGAGATTTCATAGTAATGCAACAACATATATATGAAAACTGTCAAGATCATAAATGTAAAACAGAGGGCACTGGATTATAACAGTATATATCATGGGGAAGAATCACGTTGGTGGAATAGAGTGAGGATACGGTGCAGTATGCATTTCTACTTCTGGATTGAGGATGGACTCTCGGTGAAACTGTTGGATGTGTTTTGTCAATGTAATGATGGACTCTGCCACTGTCCCTGCCCACTATGATGGACTTATACCCGTCTATGAGGAACTACGCTGTTATAATGATATGAGAGAACTCGGGCGGAGGGAGCAGAGGTTAGGGGAGGAGGTTGGGGAAATCCCAGGGCCTATGGAACTATAACATAAAATGACAATAATATGATAATAATAATAAAAAGGAAAAGAAACTCCCCAATAAAAACATTAAAAATGTCACAGTGTAAAAAAAATGATAGTTTAAAAAAAAACCTCTGTCTTTAGATATATCTACATCTATATCTAGATCTAACCCTAACTTGATATAGATATAGGTGTACATAGATATAGAAGTCATGGGTGTTCTTGGATGTTCCCAAGAAAACCTTCATCAGACAGGCAACAGGGGACCACAGGTGCGCAACTAACTCTACAACACAGGGATCTCATGAGAAGTAATCCCTCGAGGGAAAGAAAGGCAAGCTTCTCAATGCTACGATGTTCCTACTTTGCCTTGCGAAGCGCCCAGGTGCACAGTCTCATTTAGAGCAGCAGTACCTGGCGTCTCCGCAGGAGTCCCCGAGATGCTCCTGGTGAGCCCTGACTGGGCTGCGATGGTGACATGCAGCAGCAGCTCGGCACGGTTCATCAGACTCTTCACCAAGGTCTTCGTCTTAGCCAGTGGGTGTGATGGCTTCTGAATGAGAGAATTCACTTCTTGCAGGAACTTCTCCCTGTAAAGCAAGACTGCTTTCATTTAGTTGTTCTCCTGCTTAGCAAAAACGATGGGAAATTTATTTCAAGGGCTAGGAGAAGGCAGAGGGCCGCCAAGCAGAAGTAAGCCAGCCAACACCGCTTACGGCTCCCTCACTCCACCCGCAATGAGCTATGCTAACTTCAAGAATCAAAACTTCCAATTCACCAAATGAGCACCACATTAAAAATAAATGTTAACTCCTAAGAAACTAGACCTTCACGATTTGTTCTGAGCATCAAGGAGATAAATCAGCCTTAACAGTAATTATGTCACTGACCTCAGTGATAGAACCATGTTTTCAAGATCATTTCCATCAAAGGAGACTTCCTTCATTGAACACAAAAGTTCTAATTCTTTCATTTTGTTCTAAAGAAGAAAAACGAAAAGATGGCATGCAGGTTCTCTCAAAAGCAAGTTATACTGCACACACTTTTAAAGGAACAGAAAATTCAGAGACAACTCATCACCTTTGATCCATATTTTTGTGCTTAATGCACATTTGTAGTTTCTTCAACATTTAAAAAAAAACCTATTTGAGGAAAATAAGACACAAACATACAGAGACAGAGATCTTCCAAATACCCAGAAGAGCTGATGCTTGGCCAGGCAGAAAACAGGGAGCTTAGGAGCTCACTGCAAGCATCCTGACACAGAATGGGCGTGTCCCAAGTGGTACTTTAGCCACCAGGCCAAACACCTGCATCCATAATTTCTTACTTCATATTTAAATGGTAATAAATGACACTGGCTATTTTTGGGGTATTTCACCTAAATTTAGAATTCTGCCTGGTTTTCATTTTCCTAAGGCTTGAAAACAAAATTTAATGCTGATGACAATTTCTTTAGGTTTTCCACAAAACTATTAGTTAAGTAAAAATAGAACTTAGTGATTGCTTATCTGTATAGTGACAGGCTGATTCGGTCAATTTTCATCTACCCTCTGTTAAAGTGACATTATTTGAGCTAACACACGTGCACAGAGCATCTCTCTCTGCTCTATAAAGGACTACACTCTAGCGATAAGCCACACACTTCATGCTCACCTCATTAAAATGGTAATCGTAGAAGAAAGGCATGTTATTCTCCAATTTCCCCTGTATGGCATCATCGACTTCACTTTGCCATTTCTGTTCCAATTCTGCCACACTCTGAACACAAAAAAATGAAATCAATGTATAAAAAGATGCGAAATGAAAGCAAGTATAATCTCTTGAATTCACAAATTTTGGCTCCCACATTGATTTTTCAAAAATTTGGATTCTGGTTTAAATTTCTTGAAATTTCCAGGAAAGAAATTATAGTTATTGGATAAACAGCTATCTTATAGCTGAACAGATAGATAAATACAAATGTCTTGCTTTCACTTACCTGCAGTTGTCTCTCCATGGCATTAAGTTTCTTAAAGGTCTCTCCCATAATTTTACATAGCAGATCATATTCCTCAGCATGTTCTTCTTGATACTGGAAGTTTATTAGGGATTGCAGTGCATCAACCAAGTTCAAGTGCTTAATAACACATGATACCACCATCTCCTCCATCACATCAGGTTGAATCACTTCTCTGTGGTTACAATGGAAACTGGTCAGGATGTACCAGGCCCCAGTTTGCCAACACTGTATCTTACAGGTTGGAGAATGTGGGCTTTGAATTAAATACACTAAGTGCTTTCCACACTTGCTTTGGTACCAATAACATAAGTGGCTTGAATGTGATGATGCATTTTGGTAGTCTTACATTAGAAAATAATTTAGTACATTAACTGACAAAACTAAATTAGTTGATAAAATTGGAAATCAAAATTCAAGAAATTTCATTTTCTAGCATTTATCTGTTTTGAGCTAGTCATATTAAAATCAGAATAGGTCTAAGGCTTAAAGCAGATCTTCAGGACCCCTTATCAACAAGGCAATCCTCGGCAGTACTATGGGCTTCTGTTGCTTGGAGTACATGGACACTGGGTTCAAACAATGAATCCTGCTTTCAGTATCACTTCATTTTAAATTTCAGCTCCCAGTATTTCCCTTTGTCAATTTCTTTTTTTGGTCAATCTTGCCGCAGAAAGCACAGTACTGCAAAAACAGACCTTAAGCGAGAATACCACAGACATCACTTCAGCACCTTCCCAGCCTCAGATATACAGAAACCGAAGGAGAAGCTGACTACTAGTTCAAACCACCTGAGAGAAACCCAGACCTTGTCAACGTCAGTATGCATCAGAATCACAGGGGAAGCGTGCTAACTCACAGACTTCAGAGTTTCTCACTACAGCGGTGTGAAATAGGCCCTGAGGTCTACCAGGAGATTAGAATTTTATACCAGGCCCCCCGTTTCACTAAGTATATGAAAGGTGCACCTGTGGAACCATTACAACACCCACACCAATTGCTGAAACATTTTTCATGGGAAACAGTAAAATGCTACATAGCAACATACTTGATACTTGGTCTGAATTGAGGTCTAGCGCGCCCAGAGATTTCCCTGAGCTTTATCATGATTCCTGGAGGCAGCCTGATTCGGGGCAGGTCAAAGTAGTTCCCAACAGGAGGCACAAGGACGTCAGCAGGGTAGGTGAATTCTCTGTCTTCCTCTATGGTCAGAGGCAGTGGAGAGGGGCTTGGAGTAAGGGCAGGAGAGATCACGCCATTGGCCTCCACCTGCCACTGGCACCTGAGCAAACAGAAAAAAATCTCTTCACTTCCACTTCCACCAAGATTTCTGGAAAGCTACCTGAAGTTTGACATCTCAACACGAATTACCACATTACGTGTTACATATTCACCAAACCTCCAGAGGCCAAAGCAAGATAAAATCCACCTCCTCCCCGACACTGGATAAACTTTGAAACAGAGAAGCTGGAAGCAGTGCATGGGCAATATCTGGTCCCCACTACCCAGATGCTGCAATCGATGTATTGCCGTGCTTGCACTGTAACACAGCTACTGGGGATCCCCATCCTTCTGGGGACCCCGCAACTTAATCACACGATGTTTGGCTTAGAGAAAAGCCCATGCAGTTCCAGGATGTAATTTTACATTCAGTGAGGTAGGGGCCAGATGACAACACCCAGGAGATTGTCAAACAGGAGGCACAACCAGCTGGGAAATGCGGTAAGGTACTCTTCCACAGAAAATTGCTTTTCCTTTATAGTCAAAACCAGGTGAATCTTCCATTACCTTTGCAGAAGTTTGGACCGCAAGAGCTCCTGGCAGGCTTCTTCTTCTTTGGTCATTTCTGGTCCATTATACAGGATTCTTAACATGGAACATGCTAACACAGACAGACCTAAAGCCAGGTCTACTAGAAAAGGCAAGCCTCCTGAGACATCCTCCGAAGACTCCTACAATGCAGACAGGAGTAAACCGCAATGGTCAGTGGTCACAGGCAGAGCGCTGCCACTGGTGCACCTCACTGCACTGTCCGCAACTGGGGGTGCCACTGAGCAGCGAGTTATCTTTGCTATGGGAAACAGGTGCAGCACCCAACACCATGAGTAGATGGTGGCACTGGCATGACCACTGAATGGGTCAAAACTCAAGTCTGGAGAGAGAAGAGCTGATGAGACTCCAGATTAAATACAGCATAAACCATATGCAAGTCCTTGCTTAGCTCCCTCTCTGCTGGGTCTATTCAAGTAATACTTGCTATTTTGTTTTGTTTTTGGCATCTAGTCTGTGCTCCAACCAGGAGGTTGTCAGTGACTGCACTGAGTCCACCAGAGAACCAGGGAGGGCCTCCTGGGTAGCTGAAGAGACATGGAAGAACTGAACAAAGGTCCCTGTCCTCTCAGAGCTTACATTCTAACCAAGTTTTCCACTCCAGGAGAGTCTTGGCTTGGTAAACCTTAGGCAACCTCTAAGCCTAAAGTATAGTTTTAAGACCCAGTACCTAGTGAGAGCCGTAGAACTGCCACTCCTAAAACCCAGAATCCAAGTGCTGACTTGCACTGAGTGCCAGAGTGTCCTTTGTTACACGGGAGGATGCCAGGGCTGGGTCCCCCTCCAGACGCGGAAGCAATGTCATCTGTACTGGTCAGTTGATTTAGGTCACTCCTAGTTTTGTTTTATTTTATTTTGTTGATATTTTGATCACTCTTAGTGTTATTCCCTAATACTAACTACTGATATTTCACTACTGTCAAATGGAAGAGATGGATGAAACAATGGTTTGTATTTTGCCCTGCTTCCAAGGCAAATATGATGCACGTAGCCAAGGCACAAAGGGGAGAGCACGTCTTGTCCACAGCATTGGTTAGAATGAAGTACCTGAGCGCGAACTGTGCAAGCAAAGCCCCACATAGCTTTATCAGGAGTGTTGTGTTCACGACCACTTCTCATTTCAAAGGAGAAGGTGACAGTATCTCCTTCCACCTTAAAATTTAAGGGGGGAAAATGCACTTTAAAAACAAGACACACAAGTTTCAAGACAGCAATGAATTTCAGAAATTTACTTTCAAAAGGACTACAGCAATAGTTCACTCTTTTTCTCTCACTTGCTTTTTAATTAAATGCTATTTCCTTCCATTCAGATTACCAATATTTAGGTGTTTTTTTCTGGCCAGGTAGCTTTGGGATAAGAAACCTGGGAAATGTGCCACTGTTCCCAAAGGGCAGGATCACAGGAAAGTCACCAAACACTGAGTGTAGTTCCTAAGAAATTTCCCAGATTCCTATTCTTTTTTGTCCTTTCCCTCACATTTTTCCCTTCACTTCTCCAACTCACATGTGTCAACTGGACAAGCAAATGACAAATCCTCTTGAACAACAGTGGCTGAGGGTTCGAAACCTCCTCTGCATTACAGAACAACTCGAAGCGCAAGAAACAGACACCACCCAACCAAGAGGTGGCACACTGATGCAGATGTGGACAAACTCAGACGACACGGAGCAAGGCAACATGCTTTCTATGCTGACTCTAAGAGGGGACACAACATAAGTGAAAGAAAGACTGGGGCAGAATGTGGAGTGATCTGGGATTTTAATGGGTATTTGTGCTCGCCTGCTACTCTAGACAGATAAACAGCAAACAGCTCTGGAACCCAGATAACAAAGAATGATCCTGACCATTGCAGTTTAACAATGCTCCAAAGGCCCTAGTCAAACTGCAAATATTCATTCAACACTTTTAAATTACACAGGCCCTGTGATTTATTCATAGCTCTTTGAACAGACAGTGAAAGACATGCCAGGACCAGTAAGAGGGCTCCCAGCTCTGGGGCGGACAGAGGGATGATGTCCCTCAGGGAAAATAGGGCCATTCTGAGGAGGAGGGAGCCCACAGGCCAGGCAAGATGGTGCCACCTTGCACCAGAAACTCCCTGGCATTACACTCAGAACCTGGGCCTGTTCTGGAGGTGCTTGTGACTGGATACCCTACCTTCACCAGGTCCTTCGGCCAGCCAGCTCCTAGGACGCTGCGGCTGCCATAGCCCAGCGTGTTGCCCCCGTACTCAGCAACCTTCCTGCTGCTGGTGCTGGGGCCCGCGCATATCACCAACTTCAAAACAGAAAATAGACCGTTAGACTGTAAAAGAAAAACAAAGAAAACATCTACAAATAAAAAGGCTGCAAAGAATATTTGTTTTAAACAAAATTTTGTTTTAAACAAAAACACACTTACACCCAGGCACTGGTGTCATTGTGATATCATTAGCATTTATGAATTTTTAGGTATAACTGGTACAGGTTGGGTTGCAATCAGCCACTGATATATACAGGGCAGAGTAGTAACAATGACTTACAATAAAAAGTACCCTTTGTATAGTAACATCCTTCCAATGGCTCAGGGAGTTTGCATTACAATAGTTATACCCACTTATTAAACAGATATATTTTTGAAATAGCCATTCTAGTCCTAATTAATAATGTATAACTCAGTAATTATAGGTCCAATTTGACCCCTTAAGTCTACCCCCACATTAAAAAGTAAGCAAATCTAATGGAAACATGGTCATATCTAATACAAAAATGAAATAAAACTATCAAAAAAATCCAATGAACAAATAAAGATTTTTTAAGAATGCAACAAAGTGAAAATAAGCATATATTTTAGAATGCTGCTTACTGGCACACAAAGAAAATAATGCAAATTTGGGCCAGAAAGAGGGCTGCTTCTCCTGGGGTTCATTTTCAGGTATTAGTACCTTTCCTTGTTAAAGGCTCTTTTTATGATACCCAATCTAGAAACTTCCTAAAGTGCTGGACATCTCACTTGGCATTCCAACCCTTCCACAGGAAAAGCCAAGCTTGGGCTTGGGCTCTGCCTTCCCCAGCACACTCAGCTGCTCAGCACGGCAGCTCAGATCCTCCTGCAACATCGTGAGCCCTGGAGGCCGGCCGCCCATGACCTCTTACCCTTTCAGACCTTTTTTCAACATCAGGCAGGCGCCACTGGAAAAGGAAATGTGCTCTGATCCATGCGGTTAGCTTCTCTGTGCTCTATCAGTTAACACTAATGTCTACTGTAGGCCTAAGTTTTCACACATCAGAAGATACAAATGAATGTTGCAAAAAGAGAAACAAACGACACCAACTGAAATGGCAACCCTTCCATTCCAATCTAACAAGAATCACTCCTTGGGGCCAGCACAGTGGCACAGCCAGCTAGCCCTCCACCTGTAGCAGTGGTATTCCATTTGGGCACTGGTTTGAATCCCCACTGCTCCACTTCTGATCTGGCTCCCTGCTTGGGGCCTGGGAAAGCAGCAGAGGATGGCACAAGGCATTGGGCCTGCATCTGCATGGGAGACCCAGAATAAGCTTCACTGTCTTTCAGCTGTAGACCAGCCAACTCTGACCATTGTGTTCCCCACTTTCGGGGGAACCAATGTATGAAGATTTCTCTTCTCTCCTTATCTCTCTGTAACTCTACTTTTCAAGTAAAATGATAAAACTTTCAAAAGAAAGTAAAAATATTCACTTCACTTGAAGCTAGGAAGTGAGGGTCACTAATGCCATGAGCTAGCAAGTGGGGTAAGACCACTGATGCGGAGCTGAGTTCTGGAGGTAAGTCTTAACTCCCTTCAGACATGCTAGCCACTTCCCAATTCTAAAAGATAATGGAGGGGAAACACTTGCCCAGGAATGTGTTTCCCCATCTCGTAGTAAGCAGGATTAGGAAACCCTGCACTTCTGGGGTGAGCAATGAGTTACGGCCAGTGAAGCTGCTGCTTGGGCCATGCAGAGCCTGTATCAGAGTCCTGTTGGAATTCCGCATTCCAGGCATGCAATCAGCTGACCGGCTCTCCGATGATGCTCCCGGGAAGGTGGGGGTGACGATCTAAGCACTGGGGCTCCTGCCACCCACATGGGAGACCCAGGCGGAATTCTTGACTCTTGCCTTTTGGCCAACCTCAGCAGTGTAAGCACTTGAGAAGTACATCAGCAGATAGGTTTTCCTCCCTATTGCTGGTCTGTCTGCCTCTTAAATAAATCAATAAATCTAAAAAAAAAAAGGGAAATTCTTTATTTACCTAAAAACATCCCTTGATGTTATATAAGACCATTTGCCCTCACAGAGTTCACCGGGAGAGGCAACAGATAGCTAGTAAGCAACATAAAAAATAGTATGTACAACATTAGTAGATTACTTGCCAGTTGTTTTTCATGTTACATATATCAATTTCATGAATAACAGAAATAAGTCAAGAAAGGTGATCAACAGCAGCAAAGTAAAATAAGAAGCATTGGAGAAATGGGCGTAATCAGTGGTAGACCCGGTAACAAGCCCAGCTTGCTTACTTTGTCGTAGTCATACTGTGAAGAACACCTGCTATCAAATCTCAGGTACAGGCAGCGAGCTCCTGGGATATGGACTGTTTCTTTAAATTTGTAGTTGTCTCTGACAGGGTGTACTGTTTCCACAGTCTTTCCGGCAGCCCACGGGGCAGGGATCTTTAAGCCAGTGAGAAAGCCTGGCTCTTCCTTCTCTTCCAGCATCCTAAACCAGAGAAAGGGGATGGGTCTCAGCACCAAGAACAAGAAAAAGAAAATGGAAGCACAGCAGCAGAGACACAGTGAAGATGCTGCTCTTCACTTTGCCACAGTGGGCTAAGCTGCTTGGGGACGCCTACGACCAACACTGCAGTGCCCAGGACTGAGCTGCACCTCTGGTGTCTGACCTATCTTTCTTCTAACACGCGGGCAGGAGGCCACAGGTGATGGCATTCCAGGCTCCCGGCTTCAGGCTGGCCCAGCCCCTGCTGGAAAATAAACCAGCTGATGCAAATGTCTCTTACTCTCTTTCTCTGCTTCACTATCTTTCAAATAAATGAAAATGAAGAAATAAATTCTTACATGCTTATACTTAAGGGTCTTTTGTTGTTAGGTATCATGTTCCTGTTTTTCTGTTAAGAGGAAGCCCAACTGATACCCAGAAGATCTCATAAGCTCCCATTTCAAGGCACTTAGGAAACATAAAAGTTACTGTACAAGACCCTTAATATGAGTCACTTTCTAAATACAACCAGATTAATAACCTACAAAATTTACTTTTATCCTACAACCTAAGCTGACTGCCATGGGATCTTCCTATTCTCTTTGCCATTTGAGTCATAAAGTTGGGCTGTGGAATACGTTAGCTACAAGTCTCATGTGGCCATTTAAATTCATGTAATTCATGCGATAGCATGATGATCAAAGTCCTCGCCTTGAACGCACCAGGATCCCATATGGACACCGGTTCTAATCCCGGCAGCTCCACTTCCCATCCAGCTCCCTGCTTGTGGCCTGGGAAGGCAGTCGAGGATGGCTCAAAGCCTTGGAACCCTGCACCTGTGTGTGGGCTTCGGATCGGCGCAGCACTGGCTGTTGCGGCCACTTGGGGAGTGAATCATCAGATGGAAGATCTTCCTCTCTGCCTCTCCTCCTCTCTCTACATCTGCCTTTCCAATAAAATAAATAAATCTTTAAAAATTCATGTAAAATCCAGTTTCTTGGTCATCAGCGAAACTGCAAGTGGGTAGCTGTGATTGACCATTACTGGACAGCACAAATATAGGTTCTAATTCCTGCGGAAGTCTCAGGTGGATGGCACCTGCTCTAGGGAGCTCAGGAAACCCATCTGTTCTGATCACTGTACATTTTCTATGAAACATAATTGATACACAACAAAGTGCACACATTTCAAGCATGTGGCCTGGCAAGTCTGGACACTTCTTTCACATACCTGTGAAGCTTTCTTCTTGGTCTCTATAGCCTCATTACTTCATCAAAATGACCACATGTTTGGTGTCTGTCACTAAAGATGAACCTGCATTTTCTAGATTTGATTTAGATGGAATTGCACAATGTATGACTGTAGGATAAAAACCCTGAGAAGCACCTACGTTGTTGTATGTGTCAATAGCTGCTTCCTTTTGTAGGTGGAGGTCTGTTCCATGGATATACCACAGTCTGTTTATTCATTCATGTTGATGGACAATTGGGGTGTTTCCAGTTTGGGGCCTTTCTAATTAAAGATTTTAGGAACTTTCCTCTAGAAGTCATTGGAACAAAGAATCTATATTTTCTTTTCATTCGTACAACTATATGGTCATGGAAGAGATGGATTATAAGGCAGGTATACATTTAACTTTGTAAGAAACTTCAAATTATTTACCAAAGGCAAAATATTTTACATTCCTGTCATTATTGTAAGAAAAATTCACATCAGTTTTGAACTACCATCTTGATCCACAGGGAAACACATTCTAACCTGTCCTTATAAACTCCCAAAGAATTACATCACAATGTGTAAGTGATCCTGACGTCTTCCTCCTTTCCCAGAGAGATAATCATTGTGAAAGGAAGATGAGGAATGTACCAGAAGAATGCAAGGAAGGAACTCGTGTAAGGATGCAGCACCCATTACCTCTCATCGGGGAACAGCCTGCACTTTGACTCTGAGGCACCACACGGGGAGCAGCCCACGTCGGCAAAAACCGGACACTGGGTTTTCAGCAACAAAGCCGTCTGAAACACAAAACCATCACCACATCCCCAAGGGCTCAGCACCCATTATCTGATGGTACTAGAATCAAATCCGAAATCTGCATTTGAGTCATCTTTTCCCGATCCCACTGTGCCTTACTTAAGTAAGAAATGCTCCGCCACTTGGAGCAGGGAATACACTAACAGATTAGGCAATATTAGCTGGCAAGGGCTTAGAACACCAAACAGAACAGCATATTTGAATAGCATCGCTAAGTAGCATTTTAACATGAAGTAATTTAGTCAGACAAATAAAATTATTTCCCTGCACATTCTAATGACTTTTTATGAAATGGGACTTTCCCTGATTTCATCCCTGTTTCCCTCGGTTACTGAAGGCATGATCATGCTCACGGTGCCTGCATACAGCCGCTTGTGGAGGAGTTGGCTAAAAAGCTGGTCCCTTTGGCATAGCAGAGACTGTTCATACCTGGCTGGTATAGAGCACCAGCTGGACCAGCTGAGGCATCAGGGCATCGGCCATGATCAGAGTCTGTAAATTCGGATGCATCAGGGAGGTGAGTAACACCGGAAGGAGGTGACCCAGCATAGTAGCTTTAGTAACTTGCTCCAAGCCTTTTAACCTACAACAAGTTCAAGAGAACACACAGCCTAAGCAGGGCACAGTCATGTTATGAAGCAACTCTGAAACCTCTTTAAGCTGGGTAAGGTCTTCAGGCAATTCTGTCTACAAAATTTCCCACCTTCCTATCACTCCTGGTAGAGGGAAGAAACTTTTCAGGAGTTTCATCTTGATTTGGCCAGGAGATTTTACGATTCAAGCGCTTAGAAGTGGGCTTTAGGATGTAAATGGCTACTCCAGGCAGTTACTACCTGCAAAGTCTGCACTATGGGACTCCAGGTGGCTGCAACACACCAAAATTCCAAAAAGGACTGGAAGAGAATGGACACAAAATTGTTTCCTCACTACTATAAAACTTACTTCTGGTTTAGGGAGACTGAGGTTTATATGGGGTACAAAGATAGAAATATGTCTTCCTCATTTTTTTATTATGATAAAATATACATACCATAAAATTTACCTCTTTAAGTGTATAGGTCAGTTATTAAATAATGCTGTGCCATTTTCACCACTATCCATCTCCTTAACTCTCTTCACTTTATAAAAACTAAGCAATAAATCCCCATTCCCTTACCTCCCACCCCTGACAATCACCACTCTTCTTTCTCTCTCAGTATGGATATCTTAAATGCATCTTTGAAACCATATTCTTAATATTCCCATCTTCCTTAAGGTATGTGAGACAAAGAGACGGGTTGTAAATTCTCCAAGGACACAAAGGATACTTGAGTTGCACCGGAAACAGACTGTGCATCCCCAAGCTCTCGCTCCTTGCCAGACCCATGTGGCAACCCTCCATGTTAGAACATTCTCAGCCTCAGCCTTCCATTAACCCTCTGCGAGTGTGCAAGAATTGGGACAGCCAGGATCACTCAAACAAACATTACATGGCAGGATGGTTTTTACACCAACATTTCCAAAATTCAAGTCATCAGAGAACACAATTTGCGACTCATTCATAAAAGCAAACAAATGTACTTGACTTTAAGATACATGCATTTCAACCTATTTTCACAAAAATCCCTCGATACTAAATGAACATTTAATATTCTGTTCTAAAAGACTCTGTTTCGATCAGTAACATTGTCTTCCTGAAGGAGAGCAGGTCATGGTTCCCAATCCATTTCCTCACCTCTGCTCACGGTCCGCTATGTCGCTGTTTATGAGTGCGGTTGTGACCTGCTGTAGCATTTCCAACACTTCATCACATCCAATCAGGATTTGGGTGGCAAGAGACAAAATACTGACCTTTAGCTCCTAGGTAGAAAACACCAGAATATTACTTCTAAGCTTTGTGATAAACTCACACTAATGATGACAACATAAAATGATACATTTGAGGACGCATTTCTCAATGAACGGATGAAGTGGCCGGAAGATGACCAAAGCAGGAAAGCCTGCAGGGATGGCACGTAGCAATTTGGTTTGGGGAGGCTAAAGCTGGAGTGCAGGCAGAAATAAGTGGTCTTTCCCAGGGAGCACACCGAGACCCTGGGAGCAAAGGCCTGTATCCCATCCCATCCAGCACAAGAGCGCTCCTGGCGGCCAGCCCAGGAACTGTCCAGGGAAGGCGGCCTTGGGTGGTGTTAGGACAGCTGAAGAGAAAAACAAAACAGTGAAAGGGGACTAAAATGAGACAAAATACAACGGTCCAAAATACAAGCACGAGTGAGATTTAACTGCATCTCTGAAACCCATTAGCCCTAAAACAGGCAAGTTGCAAAATTCAATGAAAATAGCAGGCAGTTACAGGCTATGAAACATGAAAAATAACTCTTAGAGAGTCCATGGAATTACAAACACTAATAAGTCAAATCTTATGAAGCACTAATGAACATCAAAGAAACGGTTACTCTGCAATTATGTGATATTAAACCAATAAGCCAAACTAGCTCTTAAGGTTACACTGGTGTGTTTTTAACTTTCCCCCTAGAATGGAGCCTATTCTGCTTTTACTGAGTTTATACTTCTCACTACGGTTTAATTGAACTTTTATAAAATTTAGCCTTCCAAATACACAAAACTTTTTTTTTCAGTAGAATTTTCTGGAGACTTTTGGTGTTAAGATACTTTATTGGGGACCCAGTGCGGTAACCTAGTGGCTAAAGTCCTTGCCTTGCACCCCTGGGATCCCACGTGGGCACCAGTTTTTGTCCTGGCGGCTCCATTTCCCATCCAGCACCCTGCCTGTGGCCTGGGAAAGCAGTCGAGGACAGGCCAGGGTCTTGGGACCCTGCAGCTGCGTGGGAGGTCCAGAGGAGGCTACTGGCTCTTCAGTTCCAGTCAGCTCTGCTCTGGCTATTGCAGCTGCATGGGGAGTGAACCAGCGAATGGAGAATCTTTCTCTGTGTCTCCATCACTGTAAATCTGCCTTTTCAATAAAATAAAAAAAGATGCTTTATTGGTCAGAGGCAAGGCAAGTCTCGACGGTCACCTACAGACGCACCCATGAGACGGCGCAGTGCCGGGTGTTCAGAGGCCTCACCTCTGGACCGCACATAAGGGAGGCATTACTGTCTCTTTTTAGGATCTAGCAACTAAGGTAAGAGAAGCTAACTAGGTTGTACCAACAATTTAAATTAAAACAAACAGTCATGCATGTTTTCCTGTTTATAAAAATGCAAACTAGCAGATGTAGGATTCATATAGTTTCTAGGCCTGAAGGAGCAAGACAATGGCAAAATGCAATAGCTTTTATCTTCAACTACGATTTTCCTTGGTAAATTTTTTTGTGTGTTTAAGTCCACATTTTAAGGAAGAATAAAGTTCTTACTAGTTTTTTTCTAATTTTTCCGGAAAGATGAGATTCTAAAGAACACCACCAACTACTGCCTTGAGCATCTGCCACAATTATGACAACCGCTGCTGGAAATCGTCAGGTGGGAACAAATGCGTGAGTTTACACAGAAGCTAATTCAAAAATAATTACAGAGACTGAAATGAACTACAGATATAGAAATTAAACTATTCAATACAAAGATTGAGAAAATTATCACTCTGTCAAGGTGCTTTGAATCGAGAGGATATAAAATCAGCTGAAGCGTTGAAACTGTTTAAGATGCATGCTCCCTGGTCTGTGGGCGTGCGTATGTTCGTGAATGTCCAGGTGCCTGTGGGATCCCTTTAAGTGCCGTATTTTACAGTTCTTACATGAGGATGAACACAGACGAAGCACAGAAAGGTTGGCACATGGATGACACGAGTGTTACAAATGTGGTGACCACCACGTGACGACAGACATCTGTGAAATGAGTGGCCTAGTGTTACCTCTCCCAAGAATCTAAGGCACGAGGTGAATTCCCACATCCCTAACACAGAGGTTAGCCAGTGAAGCGCACTTCACATCGTTAAGAGGAAAGCTTGGTGTTTACCTGTACCTTCAATGTCTCTCCCTGCAAGGAGTTGTCACTGTCATCACTCTCATCGGGCTTAATCAAGATAGTGTTACTGAGCAGGTGATTCTGAACCGCCATCAGATAGCGCAGGCACGAGGATGCAGCCTTTAACACAAACAAGGGCACTGAATGACCTACCCTTCACTCAAAGAAGCAATCATGTAATCCCCACGTTTTTAAAACATGTGAACAAGGAAATCAAAAAAGAGAAATTACAAAAAATAGACCAAGTTCAGTTCTCAGGCAGTATATTTCAGGTGGCTTTCAAACACTCTTTGACACAGTGCCTTTAACTTCACGAATTCTGCTATACAATCTTCATTTAAAACACTTCATTTTAGCCGCCTCCTCACACATATCTCCATCCTAGAAGTCTCTAACCCCTAAAAACATTTTTAAGTCAGATTCTGCTGCTGATTTAGAAAATAATGTTAGATTAAAATTAATAGGAGAAGAAAAATTCTTCATTTGGTAAAATAAAATCACTGCAATTTGGTACAATGATTCATCCCACAAAGCAATGTAAGCAGAGGAAAGACTGTCTTCAGAAAACGTGTTTCAAACGCAATTGTCTTGTTGCAGAGCCATCCACTGACTGTCACATTAAGTCTATCTTTGTCAAGTGACTGATGAACCACTTGACACACACCTTTCACGATAGCAAAATGAAAACAGGAACACTTAACAATTTTGTTCTTGTCAAACACGTCTCTACTTACAGGCACAGTTGAAAGGAGCTTTTGAAAATCATCTGTGGAAACAGTTTGGCACTTGGTGATTAAGATACAGGATTCTCGTACAACAATCTTCAGGATATAGTGTAGAAGTTCATCATTCAATCTTTAAAATGCAGGGAAACGTGATAAAACAGTGATTCTTTATTAGTAAAAGGGTAAACAACACAATTAGTATAAAACAGATACAAAATACAGGATTAATCACTTCTGTAAGCAAATCATCTTACTCAGCAAAGATGCAAACAACTTAGTCTTTGAATCAAACTTAGAGAAACAATGGTATCCAACTGCCTAGTATAAGCGTCTTATACATAACAAAAACCTGACACCTTCCTTGCCTCCCAGTTCTAACATACCCACTCCACCCTCTGACAGAACAGCGGGTTGGGCCATCGCTGATAGCAAGATTTCTTAAGTAAGTTCCATCTATTTCTGCTAAGTAGCCTTTTCTCGGGCCCGAGTTCTGCTACTGATGCAATGGAAATGGACTACTATGTGAAAGCCATCATCTTCCCCCAGGATTCACGCTCTGGGCTTCGCATGCTGCTGAGCGTGTTATAGCTAACAGATGAACACTGGATCAAACACACTGAAATGTAAAGTAATTGCCTAGAAGCACAGGAAGAGCAGGCTAACAGGGAACAAGGGGCTCTTGTCACCTGTAATGATCATCCTCATCACTGCCAAATCGGTTGTTCTGAAGCTGCTCGGCTAGGCTGGTTAGGATCACATCCCGCAGCTGGGCAAGGCCGCTGTTCCTCTCTCCTGGCATGGAACAGAGCGCTGTGAGCAACTGTAGCAACAGGGTTTAGAAAACTAACACTGTCTTTAAAAGTTTTCGAACAAGTTGATTGCCAACAATCTAGGAACACCAGGCATTCAGGTAAACTACAGCAACAACTAATAACAAACAACATCACAACCAACTGGGCATGCTTAGCCAGTACTTGCTGATTTAAAGGTAATCACTCCCTTGATAGATCAGAACGTGTGATTTGTAATTTCTTAAATTAACACTGCTTTTAAATGTAGAGTGGCTTTAACACAGCATCTTACATTGCTGTTACAAAGTTATGTTTTCATGTGTGAATAAAACTGGGTGAGAAATCAACGAGACATCTTGATTTGGAAAGACTTGTTGAACACTGACAGGGGCATTATGCTAAGCCTATTATAAAAAGAGGTTTAAAAAATGAATGCTCTATGAAATAACATGAGTGGAATGTTAGCATGTATGTAGGTACATTTAAAACACATGTCAACAAATATGAAGGAAGACAGTATCTACTGCTTTGACATACACCTTAAGCCAAAACAATGCTTGTTCAGGATAATTACGTGATAATTCTCACCTTCGGTTAAGACCAGCTTTAACAAATTATTGATTTCAGTTTCCCCTGGGTACAAGATATTTAAGCCAGAGCTGAAATGATAAAAAAAAAAAAAAGAAAAAGAAAAAAGAAAGAAAAAAAGTCAAAAGATTTTTAAGTAAGTTTTCTGAAAAAATCAAATTCTAAGTATTGAAAATTTTATTTTTTCCCTTAAGATGCCTTTTATGTAAAACTCAGGCTAGATGGCAGAGCTGGTTCAAGAACACGCTTTGCTACAAAAAGCCAATGCAGTCAGCTCAGCTAGGCAGACAGACTGTTCCCTAAGTCACCTGACAAAGACAATACCCAATTCTCAGCTCTTCCAAAAGAACAGGAATAGTCAACTATATTTAGAATCAAATAGCACCAGAATTTTTTTCTTTTTCCCTTTAAAAATTTTATTTGACAAGCAGAGAGACAGAGACTTTCTCATCTGCTACGGTTCACTCCCCAAATTCCTGTAACAGTGAGGACTGAGCCAGGCATAGCTGGGAACTTAATCTGGGTCTTGCAGGCAAATGGTTAAGGACTAAACTACTTGAGCCATCATGTGTTCCCTCCTAGGCGCTGTTTCTGAAGGAAGCTGGAATCAGGAGTGGAGCAGGGTGTCAAACCAAGAACTGCTGTGCCAGACACCTGCCCCTCCTCTTATTTATCCCAAACTTGACACTTGACATCCAAAAAGTGTAAAGGTGTGACATATGCATACACCTATGGAACCATCACTACAGGTAAGATGATGAACAAACTCACCACTCACAGAAGTTTTCTCATGGAAACAGATTTAATTATCAAATAAGTGCTCAACAAGGGAGACCCAATGTATAATTTACTATAGAAAAGAAAATATCCTCCATCCTCTATGCTCACCTTGGTTATATTCAGAACTGACTCAGTCCTCTCCTAGGTAAACTTGGTCACATGCAGGCAACATTCCTAGATAAAAGCTCATGACCCTCTCCTGCCTCCAGTGATAGGTTAAGTGACAAAAAATAGAAAATGGCTCATTAATGCTTCCCTCTTGCCTGACAAGGTTCTAAGCAAATTAAGAAATGTTAGTACTGCTGAATATTAACCCTGTCTCAGGTCTCTGCTGATGAAACCCTCACAGCTCTAGAAAGTAAGTGCTATTTTTATGCCTATTTTGTAGCTGAAAAACGTCAACCCGCTCACAGTGACTGGCAGAAAGAGCAAACCCTACAGTCCAGATCAAGTTGTGGTCAAACCCTATTGCTTTTTTTTTTTTTTTAAATATTCATGTATTTAAAAGTCAGAGTGACAGAGAGAGAGGGAGAAAAAGGGAACAGGGACAAAGAAAGGTCTCCCATCTGCTGATTCACTGCCCAGAAGGCCACAATGACCAGGCCACGGTCAGGTCTGAATCAGGCCAAAGCCAACAGCCAAGTATGCTACCAGGGCCTCCCTCCCAGGTGGCAGGGGTCCATGTACTTGAGCCATCTTCTGTTACAAGTGCATCAGCAGGAAACTGGATCAAAAGCAAAGCAACTGGGTCATGAACCTGGCACTCTGGTTTGGGATGCTGGCAGTGCAAACAGCAGCTTACTCTGGCACGCCACTACACCAGCCCCTACCACATGCTCTCCTGACTAATAACACCTGCTTGGAAACAATCAAATTATCCACTTAAAGCAACTTTGGCTTTGATTTTGATTTTCAAGACCAAAAGTGGGAGATGAAAAAACACAGCCACACATTCCTCTCACATTGTCCTCAAAGCATAAGGTTCTGACGGTAGGACACAGGTGTCCCTGTCGCCAGCTGGCAGGGGATATCTTAACAGAGGAGTCATCTGCAGATATCCCTCAGAAAACCACTCGGCGTTTACCTGATGGCAAGGCAGACTTCCTTCTGAATCTCGGGGCAAATCTGATCTTTCGGTGCCATCAACAGCTGCCAAAGAAGCAATCCCGACCGTCGAATGATGTCTCGATTCCTTTCAGTTTGTGGGCTGAAGAAAAATTTAAACACCACCTACAGAGACATAAGCAGTACATCTCAAACTGCTAATCCTACTGGGGAGCAAATTATCACTGTGAAAATAGTACATGGTCGGTGTTTTTATGAATGGATGATCATGTAGATTTTTAACCATAATGTTTTCTATTGTATGATATAATTTTAGTAAATTTTTACACATATTAATTGCATTGAGCTACATATAGCAATACTCCATTAACTACAGCATAATGAATATGATGACAGTTCTACTTATAGGAGTGGAGATGGCAAGATGCAAAACAGGAATGTTACTAACATTTTTTTCTGGTACAAATTAGCTAACTGAAGCCAGGATTTGTACTTCTTTTTCTGTATCAGCCTATTTAACTCAGAACAAAGTATTTACCTGAAAGACAACAAGAATGCAGCGTATAATACAGGTGTCTCCGTTAACCATGGCCTTCTCCATAATGTCACAAATACTGCTAAGATGGTGCGCTTCAATTGGATGCTGCTTGCCCAAGACACTTGTGATTGGAAGATTGGGATTCGTGGCAAGAAGATTGAGTTGGTGTATGCACATCGCACCAACATGGTGCAGTAACTGGTTTATAACCTCATTCGTAGTTATAGCCTCCTCTGGAAGAAGAAAAAAATAAAAACTCAGTGAGGCCTTCCCTCTACAGGAGACAGATCTCGGCGTTACGAAGCATGCTTGCATACGGACACAGTCCTTGGGGCCCTCATTTCCTTCACCGCTGCTAAAAAGTCCTTCTTACTGCTACAGAACACTTTAAAAACAAACAATAAGCACCTCCTGCCTGCCTCAAACACTGCTGAAGTTTAATTGTCCCAGCTGCCACTTACTGAGCTCCTTCTGTATGCTGGACCAGGGGCCCAACATTTAGTATGCATCACCTAACAATACAATGATAAGCATTGTCTACTGTGTTAAGCAGAAAAACAAAAGTCAGAGAGGTTTAGTTAACTGCCCTAGTTTGCACACCAAGTTGAGCTGGGTTGAATTCAGGCCATCTCATCCCATAGTCTCTGCCGTTAATCATCTAGTCGCATCTCTCCACTTTCTATCACTGTGGTGTGGTAGAATCCCCAAACTCATAAACAGCTCCTCCTACGGCACCTCAACATTTCCTTCCACGCATTCATGTCAGCCCAGACATCCATCAGTGAGACCTGTGAGACTGACAGCATTCTTTTACTAACTCAGGGAGTGTTACAGACATTCAAGAAATGAGAGTGAAAACAACCTGAACAGCAAAGTACAAAAGGCAGCTTTTTCATTCCTATTAAAACCAGATGAAGTGAACTGCCTGCCAGGAATGAGAAATTAGGCCATCTTGGAGAAGCAGGCAGATCGTAGAGCTACAAAAAGATATGGCAGGAGCCAGCACAGTGGCATTGTAGGCTAAGCCCCACCTGCAGTACCAGCATAACATATGAGCACTGGGTTCATGCCCCAGATGTTCCACATCCCATCCAGCTCCCTGCTATGGCCTAGGAAAGCAACAGAGGACGGCCCAAGGCCTCGGGAACCTGCATCCTCTTGGGAGACCTAAAGGGAAGCTCCAAGCTCCTGGCTTTGGATCTGCCCAGCTCCAGCCTCTGAGGCCACTTTGGGAGGAAACCAGTGGATGGAAGATCTCGTTCTCTGTCTCTTCTCTCTGTAAATCTGTCTTTCAAATAAAAATAAATAAATAAATCACTTTAAAAAAAAAAAGATGTGGCAGAGGCTGGTGGTGTGATATAGCATATTAAGCCATTACCCACAGCTCCAGACCGCTCCATGGCCAATCCAGCTCTACGCTATGGCCTGAAAAAACAGCGGAAAACTGAAAGATGACCAAATCTTTGCACCCCTGCATGCATGTGGGAGACCTGGAACAAGCTCCTGGCTCCTGGCTTTGGCGTGGCATAGCCCTGACCACTGCAACCTTGTGAGGCAGGAACAAGCAAAAGAACGGTCTCTCTCTTTCTCAATAAATCAATAAAATAGAGCTTGTTTTACATATACTAAGTTACCAAATGCCTACCAGATAAGCAAGTAGAGACAAATTCATTGTCTGGAATGCAGGAGAAAAGGTTGAATTTCTTTTACAGCTTTATAAGATGCAACTTATATAACATGCAAATAATTTGCTGTAAATGTACAATTTAGTAATTTCCAACAAACTTATGCAAATATCAAAATCAGGAATCAAAGTGTAGGTATTACAGATATCTTACAGATATTAAACAATAAGGAAACACTATCAGCAACTTAATACCAACAAATAAAAAACCAAAGTGAAATGTGTGAGTTTCTACAAACCACAAATTTCAAAGCTAGAAAAAAATATATACATGCAATTGCCTTAAAATGTCACCATATGCTTTAAGCCAATTGTAAACCAGAGCCAAAAATATTAATTATTATGTTGATTAACATGTCCAACAAATTCTTTAATATGCTTCCTTTTGGGAGATGGAATTTAATTCATCTCCCTTGGACTTACCGACTAGCCTCTAATAATCAGATTATGGAAAGGAAAAACAAGCATATTTATAGTGGAGAAACCTAATAGACATCATTTAAACCAAAGGATCATTCTTAACATCAGTTGATATTACGCATCTTGGCATATGATGTGATAATATGGAATTTCATGTCACCTTCACAGTATTCATCCCCCAAATCCACAACCTCAGTCTATTCATGTGAAAAACATCAGACCAACCCAAAGAGAACTAAATTTTACAGAATTGTCTGCCTTATGAATCCCTCATAAGTGCACTTATCTGTTCAAGTAAGAAAATCTATGTCCTAATTTTGGTGACTATTTCTCATACCATCTAAAATATGCTACTGGACATCTAAAGATTTTTTTCCTGCTATTATATTTTTCAAATCTAGAATTTCTACTTGATTGTTTTTGAAAAACAACTTCTTTCTCAAAATTCTCTGTTTAGCCACAGTCATCACCCTTCAGTCCGGCCCAGGTTCCCTGGTCCCTTTGAGGACATTACCACCGCTGCTTTCTGACTCAGCGTTTTCCTTGAAGCTGTGGCTGCTGATTCTCTTTAGTTTTTTTTTTTTTCCCAAATACTTACTTATTTTTTCCTTCTTATTTTAATTATTATTATTTTTATTTATAAATCTTTCTTACTATGGGTCATTTCACCCGTATTACTTAGTGACTAATGTTTAGTCAAAGGTTAGGCTTAAATACCTTGATCCATCAACAGTTTTAAAGATTTATTTCATTCTATTTTTATGTTTTTAAAGATTTATTTATTTTTATTGGAAAGTCAGATATACAGAGAGGAGGAGTGACGGAGGAAGATCTTCCGTCCGATGATTCACTCCCCAAGTGACTGCAATGGCCGGAGCTGCGCTTATCCGAAACCAGGAGCCAGGAGTTTCCTCTGGGTCTGCCATGTGGGTGCAGGATCCCAAGGCCTTGGGCCGTCCTCAACTACTTTCCCAGGCCACAAGCAAGGAGCTGGATTGGAAGCACGGCCGCTAGGATTAGAAACAGTGCCCATTTGGGATCCCAGCGCATTCAAGGCGAGGACTTTAGCTGATAAGTCATTGCACTGGGCCCTTATTTTTATTTAAAGAACAGTTATAGAGAAAAGAAGGGACAGTGAGAGATCTTCCATCCACTGATTAACCCCCCAAATGGCAGCAATGGCCAGAGCTGAGCCAATCCAAAGCCAGGAGTTGGCAGCCTCCTCCTGGTCTCTTACATGGGTGCAGGAGCCCAAGGCCTTGAGCCATCCTCCGCTGCTTTCCCAGGCTAGAAGTAGGGAGCTGGAATCAAAGTGGCCTTGACAGCCTCTTCTGGGAAGCTGTGTGGCAAGCTTACCAAGATCTGCTTGAGGCTTTCTTATTACCCAAAGTAACTGGTACATTTCTGACTGGGCTGCCAGTCCACTGCATGCCTGCTCAGGACCATGATCCTGGGCTACCTAGTCACTTGTCCTCTCCAAGGCCACCAAGGCCACTGCTGCTGGGGATGAGCTTCGTTTGTGCTCTGCTCCAAACCAAGTCAGCTCCCACAGGCAGGCACGTGGGGCCTTCGCCATCCGATCCATGCAGGCAGAGCTGCTCTGCTGACCAACCTTAGCTCCAGCTAACACAACCACAGATCCAACTTTAAGTTTGTGCATAAATGAGTCATTAACAATGTAAGGCATTACAACAGCATGTTGTGTAGAAACCATGCCACATAGAAATAATGCATTTCTTTTTTTCAACAATGACCTAACAATATCAGCATGGCTATAATCTTTAAACAAAAATCTATGGACCATCTCAAAAGTTCTATTTACTTATATACTTTATTTATAACCTTTACAACTAACACAGGATTTCTGGTTTCTCAGTTCACAGGGTGAAGGCAGGTGACACACTCTGTGTCTGGTCTATGTTCCCACCTATCCACACCACTGTCTTCTCTCACGTTTCAGGGGAGACCAGCCCAGCACCTCACCTTTGGGCTCAGTGATGATGTGGCTCACTCCAAGTCTCTGGCAGACATAATGGAAGGCTTGATTCCCAGGATTGCACCACTGGTCAATATAATCATTGGAGCATGTCCATAGCATGTTGTTCACGGTATCGTAACAGGCTCCTGAAAAAAGAGCACATTTCAGTCAATTATTGTGTACCCCTCTATCTATCTAAACACCACTGGAGAATGAGAGGGGAGACGAGGACTCAGCTTCCACATTCCTGTTCCCACAAATTCACTTGGCAAAGCACTAGGTTGGGACTCAGCATGTATTTCAGTTTTAATTTTGCTTAACTCCTATGTGAAAAGGAGTACATTTCCTTGAATAGACAGTTCACACAAAACTGATTCACCCAGAATTTCTTCCAAAAAGGATTTAATTGGTCTACATTAAAAGTAGAGGTATAGAGGCCAGTTCCCTGCTAACGTACTTGGGAAAGTGGCAGAGGATGGTCTAATTGCTTGGACCCCTGCTACCCACATGGGAAACCTGAATAAAGTTCCTGGTTCCTGGTGTTGGGTGGCCAAGGCAATCACTGGGGGACAGAACAAGTGAACAGAAGATCTCAAACATTGCTCTCTCTCCCTTCTACTCCCCATCACTCCCTGTCTGTTCCTCTTTCTCTGGTCACTCTGCCTTTAATAGGTACAGGTGGACTAGCTTTAGTATGCAGTGAAAACCTAGAAACTCAGCTCCCAACTTCAGTGTGAACTAGCCTTCAAGGCAGAGAAAGACAAAATAATGCATGAAGTTCATGTACTAACACCAAGCACACCAATTCCTCATGGGAATAAACCTTTGAGAATTTGGTGCAGACATCATCACACAACATAATGGACAGAAATCTTTAAGAGCAAAAGTATTGCAGAGGAATATCATATATAGCAACTTCTTAAATTATCACAGGAGTAGTAATTAAAAATTCTTTTGGGTCATTCTTCCTTCTATAACTCTTATTTTGAAATAAACATCTTAAAAATTTTTATTTTCAGAACCCAATGTTGTGGCACAGCAAATTAAGCAGTGATATCAGTAGCCAGCAGCCTATGCCAGCATGTGGGTTGAGCCCTGGCTGCTGTTTCTATGAAGGCAGCAGCTGATGGCTCAAAAGCCTGGGCCCCTACCAGTCATATGGGAGACGCAAATGGTGTTATCAGTTTGGACCAGCCCAGACATTGCAGTCATTTGGGGAATATACCAGCAGATGATCACTCTCTCCCTGTCACTCTGCCTGTCAAATCAATAAATGAAAATCAATCAATCTTTTTAAGGAAACTAGAATGCCAAAGAGAATTGGCAAGACCTTGTATTTGCAGGAAGAGTTGGCATTGGTGTCTTACCTAATCCTGGTACAAGAGCACCACGCCCCAGCGAGCTTCCAGCAGCATCAATGAGATCCGCACGGCTTGTGAACTGCCCATCGGAAATGTTATACACCAGGCTAGAGGCGAGAACTTCAGAAACAAACACAAAGCTGATCAATCAGGCTGAGATGGTTTTTCAAAGTCTAAACATTAGGATTCCAGAAAGACTTCCCCAAAAATCAAGCCCTCGGTGTGGGTATTTACTCCAACAGTTAAGACACCATATTTCCCCTAGATTTTAGGGCATGGGTTCTAGTACCAGTTTTGCGCCCAATTACAGCATTCTGCTAATACATATCTTGGAAGGGAACAGGCGATGGCTCAGGTGGTTGGGTTCCTGCCACCCATATGGGAGACCCAGCTTGACTTCCTGGCTCCTGCTTTCGCTCTGGCCCACCCATGGATATTATGGGCATCTGGCTATCGTGTAGGTGAGCGGGGATCACCATCTGTCTGTCTCTACATGTCAAACAAAGAGAACAAATAAATATTTTTAAGTCATCTTTTGATGTTATTTTTTGGCGGTAACAGGAAATAGAGAATGTACATATACCTGAGCTGGAAAAAAGAAAGCCATCGCCAAATTTAATATTGGCCTAGATCTTTGAAAATATTTTTAGAATAGCAACTTTCCCATGAAGGCTTTTTCAACATAGATTTTTAAAGGGGTAACTGTAAGAGGGGTTATGCTTACTATCATATGGCAATAGTCTTCACAAGAAACACTTCACTCTCAGTACGTGCCCAGCCGGGCCTGGGGTACAAAGGCAGCTCACTTCCAAGCACTGGCTCTAAAATGTGGAGTCCACTGTCCTTTGCCCTCAACACAAGACAGCTGAGTGATGAAGATCATGGGTGCAGGATCCCGCCTTTAAATTCTGCTTCTATTACATTTGGGTGGCCCTCAGTTTCCTCATTTGTAACATGAAGATAACACAAATTCCTACCTTACACAGTTATCATAAAGATCAAAAGAACTAAGTGATCCACTAACCAAGTTGCTCCCATAGCAACTAAAGTGGAACAGAAGAAAGTTAAACATGTATTGATTTGTTAGACTTAAATGGAATCCCTGTGTCAGCTCAATCTTCATGAAACAACAGGCCCATGAAGACCTGCTTTAATCAAGTGATGCCGATTTCAGTTCAGTGTGAAAGCCATGCTGAGAAGACCAAAAAAGAACTTTAATGAGACAAGGGGTCAATGAAAAGAAAAATAGCTCAATTTAAGAAAAGACAAAAGATTAAAGTAGATATTCTTCCAAGGAAGATATACAAACAGCCGATGACCATATGGAAAGAGGTCCATTAGAGAAATGCAAATCAAAATCCCAATGAGGTACCATTTCATATCTAGGGAGGCTGTGATTTTTAAAATGCAAAATAACAAATGGTGGTGAGAATATTGAATATATTACATATATTGAATATCTTATTGAATATATTACATATTGCTAACAAGAACAAAAATGGTACAGTCTTTTGGAAAACTGTTTGGCAACCCCTCCAAAAGGTAAGCAATTACCACAATGCTCTATGAATGTGAGAGAAACAAAAGCATCTACACAAACACATACGGGGCTGGCGTGACAGCTATGCTGGGTAATCTTCCACCCGCAAGCACCAGCACCCCATATGAGCACAAGTTGGTATCCCGGTACCTCCACTTCCCATCCAGCTCCCTGCTTGTGGCCTGGGAAAGCAGTGGAGGATGGCACAAAGCCTCAGGACCTTGCACCCCTGTGGGAGACTCGGAAGAAGTTCCTGGCTCCTGGATTCAGATCAGCTTAGCTTGTGTTTGTAATCATTTGGTTATTGTGAACCAGCAAATAGAAAATCTTTCTCTCCCTGTCTCCCCTTTTCTCTATAAACCTGCTTTTCCAATAAAAATAATTAAAAAAAAAAAACCCTTGTGTACCAATGTTCATAACTAGTTCAAAACAGTCACAAGAGGAGAGGAAGTTCAAATGTCCATTAACTGACAAGCAGATAAACAAAGTAGTATTCAGTCAGAAAAAAGGAACAAAGTTCTGATCCATGCCACAAGGCTCGTGGATGAACCCTGACAACATGATGTCAGGAGAAAAGGCCAGTCACAAAAGACTGTATCCGAGAAGACTGTGCGGCCTGCTGGACGCCAGGGCCGGGGCAGGAGGAGCACGGCTGACGGACACGAGCTGCTTCCTGGGCTGATGGTTGCTGCACAAGGCTGTGAATATTCTTTTTTTTTTTTTTAAAGATTTATTTTTATTATTTTCTATTGGAAAGGCGGATATACAGAGAGGAGAGACAGAGAGGAAGATCTTCCATCCGATGATTCACTCCCCAAGTGAGCGCAACGGGCCGATACTATGCCGATCCGAAGCCAGGAGCCTCTTCCGGGTCTCCCACGCGGGTGCAGGGTCCCAAAGCCTTGGGCCGTCCTCGACTGCCTTCCCAGGCCACAAGCAGGGAGCTGGAAGGGAAGCTGGGCTGCCGGGATTAGAACCGGCGCCCATATGGGATCCCGGGCGTGCAAGGCGAGGACTTAACCACTTGCGCCACTGCGCCGGGCCCAAGGCTGTGAATATTCTAAAAGCCACTGAACTGAATATTTAAAAGAACTGAATTTTATAGTGTATGAATTATAATCCAATAAAACTTTTAGGTTTTATACACACACACACATTAGGCCCCAATTTACTCTACCCCACAGGCTAAAGTGCACACAGTCACATGAATTGCTAGAGAAAAAGAATTCCTATTAGCTTAATTCTAAAGGCAAAAAGAGAGCTTGATATTGTCGTGACCATGCAAATTATAGATACATGTAACTAAACGATGTAAAGGCTAAGTTGATAAATTAAGGAAAAGTAAAATTCACTCACTTTTTAAGGATGACAAACCACTTGTTCCACCAAAAAGAGAGCGAGTGGCCGAGCTGCCTGACCCTCCTGGTGGTGGCACCAGCATCACCAAGTAGGTGCCACAGGTGTAGATGGGCGTCTTACGGAGCATCTTCAGAGGGAGCCCACAGCTGGTATTGGCTACAGAAAGGGATGGAAGAGCCTGAGTAGGCTGAATTGACACAGACAAGTGCTTGGTCACCAGAACAGATTATCCTGTGAGGGGCCCTCAGACTCAAGCAGAGATAATGCTGGATTAGGAAAAGAACACGGAATAGGAGATAAAGGAAAAGATTCTCTTCCAGCTCCACGGCCTGACTCCCCGGCTGCTGTCAGCCTCAACATTTCTCCAAGGTGTGCCCATCAGTCCACCTTCCCTCACGTCCCGAAGAACCCTTCCGAAAGAAGCAACTCAATGGAGTCGGTCAGAATACAAGTAGCCTGTCACTGTGGTTCTCCTGTGACACTCGTATTTTACTCAAAAATTTGTATTATTTTTTTTACAAGTTCTTCACAGGTCTGTGATACCACTTTCATCATGTTAGATAATGTTTTAAACATAAAATTTGCCCAAAAAAGGTGAACTTATTAAAAGCTTTACAATATCCTTCACAATATAATTTTTATATCTGTCTGATTTGGAACCCATTATGTATTTTTTCTTATTTTTAGTGATACACATTCTCACGAAGAAAATAATTATGATTTCTAATCAAGAGATATAAAAAGTGTTCATCTTACTTACCAACACATTAGAAATATGCAGTCAATTAAAATTTTTTCTATATACTCTAGTGAGCAGATGATGTCAACAGAAAAGCAAAGTGTCTTAGTTAAGAATCTGTTTCACACACACAAAAAATAATCTGTCTCCCGGGCTAGCGTGATGACTCAATGCAGTGCTAGCATCCCGTAAGGATACGGATTCAGGTCTAGCTGCTCCACTTCCCATCCAGCTCCCTGCTGGTGGCCTGGGAAAGCAGCAGCAGAAGGCTCAAAGCCTTGGGACCCTGCACCCGTGTGGGAGACCCAGAAGAAGCTCCAGGTTTCCAGTGCCTGGCTCTGAATTGGCTCAATTTTGGCCATTGCTGCTGTTTAAGAAATAAAGCAGAGCATGAAGATCCTTCTCTCTGTAAATATATTATTTATAGTTAGATTCTTAAAAATTTAGATGAATTAGAATAGAAAAATGAGTAAAGTAAGCTCTGTTTGCTATTTGAATACTTGCAGTTTTAAAAAGCTTCATTTTTCAAAACTGCAACGCCTCCAACAAATAGTCTTCAATTAGAACATAAATTCAGGAGCATAAAGTTTCATAGATAAAAAAAAACCTAAAAAGTGAATGACTGAAAAATTGGTAACATTCTAAGATAACATTCTGACCAAGATGTTTTTACTACGTACTTTTACTAACATGGTAATAGGGATTATTTATCAAAAAATAACAACTTCTAGATCTTCTGAATATTCAATTATTTTCAAAAACTTACCCTGAATTTCTAATTTAGTAGCAGCATATTAAATGAATGCATGTAAAGTACAGTGAGGTCACGTTGTGAACACACATGCCAGTTCCCACACAATCCAGACACCTTATATATACATTTATTTACTTATTTTGTGCAACAAAGGCTCTGTTAATATCTCCATTGTTCAGAGTAGGTTTCAGCCTTCTTCCATGGAAAAAGCCAGATCACAAACCTTGTCATGAATATGTTATTTAGGTTAAAAAAAAAAAAACAAAACTGTCCTCTACAAATAATGCACTGTAACTAAAATTATCTACTTACTTAAGTTATAACAAACATTAGTAAATTCCTCACTTACAGTTGATAGAGGGGAGGCCTCTGGAAATAAAATGGGATCATTATATCTTCATTAAGCATAATAAGAAACTATTTGTTAGTCTCATAATGAATAAGCTATAGATGTTTTCTCTTCCTAGTATTTCAAACAGTAAGAGAATTAAATTCACTAAGTGCATATTAATTCAGCTACATTTTTCTAACTTAGGGCATGTTTTCCTACCCTTATTTTTCACTGAAGTTGCATTGACTTGTTATAAATCCAGGTAGCTGTTACATAATCCATAAACTCTTCTAGAATAATTTCTCTTAACCTTCTTAGGTCATATATGAGTCAGAAAATCTGAGAATAATAATAATGATTATATGTAAAACATCATTTTAAACTTTGGAGTACTAAGCGTTTGAATGCTTTCAAAGATTTAATCCTGGTTACAAACTCCTGCTTTCAAAGTGCAGAAATGCACATATAGTGAAAGTATAAGTAAGAACAGAAATTTGTCAATGCAAACTGTATAGGAAAAAATCTAAAAGGATAAGTGAAAATGAATAATGATCCCTAAAGGGGCAGAGCACTGACAGCATCAGCAGGAGGCACCAAGCCTTCCCTGCCGCCCCTTGTCGCATTGCTGGGATGTTCCAGCTCCATAAATGCACTACCTCTTTTCAAACATCGGATGCAGTGGCTGTGCGGCTTGGAGGGCAAGATGCCGCTTGATACTTATGCCCCACACTGGGGTGTCTGGGTTCCTTCCCGTCCCAGCTCCAACCTCAGTGCCAGCTCCCTGTTAAGAGACACACTGCAAGGCCGCATGTGATGGGTCAAATGGTTGCGTCCCTAACATACATGTGGAAGAACTCAATCGTGTTTCTAGCTCCTTACTCTGACCTGGCCCAGTCCAGCCAGTACAGTCATCTGGGAAGTGATCCAGCAGATGGGAGATTTTGTTCTCTATCTACTTCTGATGTAAACTTTTTAAATTAAAATAAGAGATTAGAAAAACCATTAAATTACAAAAACTAAATGACAAATTTGAAAAAACATAAACTATGTATCGTAGATTTTTGTCTCTTACGTACTTAGCCCAGATTATATTGAGTGAAGATGCTAAATATCAGATTTTCACATTCATGAAGCATGTGGGAAACATAAACTAATGTATAGCAACAGTAACAATGGTAAATTCTTTATAGTCAAAAATCAAAATTGTCTTGAACTTAATAAATATTCATGAGAGGGCCCAGTGAAATGGCTCAAGAGGCTAATCCTTCCCTTGCAAATGCCAGGATCCCATATGGAAGCCAGTTCATGACTCAGGTGCTCCACTTCCCATCCAGCTCCCTGACAACACGTCTGGAAAAGCACAGAGATGGCCTTAGTATTTGGGATCCTGTTGCCCATGTGGGAAACACAAATGGAGATCCGGGTTGCTGGCTCTGGCCTGGTCCAGCACTGGCTGTTGGTGCCACTTGAGAAGTGAAGCAGACAACGCAAGTTATTCATTCTCCCGCATGCCCCTTTTCTCTGAGTCTTTCTGCTTTTCAAATGAATGGTTTTTGTTTTTTTTAAAGAAGATGGAAGATTCTCTCTCCCTCTTTCCTTCTTCCATCTCTCTCTCTCTATCCCTATCCCTTCTTCTCCTCCCTTTCACTGCCTGGTAGCCCCTGTCTCTGTGTAACTCCACTTTTAAAATAAAGAAATTAATCTTGGGGCCAGTGCTGTGGCACAGTGGGTAAAGCTACCACCACTGTGTGAGGCCATCACCCTACATGAACATCAGTTTGAGTCTGAGTTCTTCCAGTTTCAACTCAGCTTCCTGCTAATGGGCCAGGAAAAGCAGCAGAAACCCAACTGAGCCCTGGGCCCTCATGAGAGAATCACAAAGGAGACCTACATGGAAGACTCCTGGTTCCTGGCTTCGGACTGGCCCAGCCCTGGCTGTGGCAGCCATCTGGGGAGTGTAACTCTGATTTTCAAGTAAATAAATGATCTTAAGAAAATAAATCTTTTTAAAAACAAATGACCAGGCAGACACTCGATGCAGTGCCCTTTGGGAGACCCATATTCCCTCCCACAGTGTTTGGGTTCCAGTCCCAGCTCTGCTTTGTACCTTTCTGCTAATGTGCACCCTGGAAGGCAGCAGGGGTTGCTGCTTGGAGACACAGATTAAATTCCCAGTTCCTGACTTCAGCCTGGCCTACCCACGGTTTTTGTGGCATTTGAGGACAGCACCAGAGGGTGAAAGAGCCCCCTCTTTCTTTTTCTTAAAGACGTATTTATTTATTTCAAAGTCAGAGATATAGGGAAGGACAGCAAGATTCTTCCATCTGCTGGATGGCTTCACTCAGCTATTCCATGTGTGCTGCAGGAGCCCGCGCGCTCGGACAGCCCTCTGCAGCTTTCTCAGCTCATTTGCAGGGAGCTGGATCAGAAGCAGAGCAGCTAGGACTTGAACAATGGGTCCAGGATTCCCTTTGCCACTATGTCACAACCCTTTTCTCTTTCAGCACACTCTCTTTATCACCCTCCTTTTCAAACAAATAAATATTTAAATAAAGAAATCATTTGTAGAAGATGGACAATGACTGGTAGATCAAACAAGGTGAATTACACAAAGCCGAACACTTTGTACAGCATAGGGAGGAGAGAGTTCAACAGACGGCAGCTGCAGGAAGCTAGCCAAGGAGAACAGCAGAGCACCGTACCTGCTTGGTCCTCCTTCAGCGTGTTGGAGATGGTCGAGCCGGTCAGGGCCGCGAGGGTCGCCGACGGGGAGGCTCTGTAGCGGGAGAGCCGGCTCAGCAGCATCTCGTTGATGCTTTTCGCAGACTCTCCCTCTTTCCTCATCAGAATGGTGCGTTCCTGGAGCGGGCTGGCTACAAAGACACCATTCTCAACCTACCATTAAAGAAACAGAGGTCATGAAAGGCCCTATTTTCCACCTAATTATTAGCAAATTTTGACTTGAGAATAACATTAGTGTCAGTGAGTTGTTTCCAACCATTTACAATCCTGAAAAAGGGGGCAGGGTATCTCATAATGTGAGCATGCTACTGAAACGAGTGTGGACAAAAGGAACGCTGTACTGACTTTCAGAATCTTTTTCCTAAAAAATTCAGACTCTAAATGTAATGAGCCAGGTTCAATTGGGTCTACAAAAAATAGAAAAAAATATGTTGATTAAAATTCCTTATAACAAATTCTGCAAGCAGCACTTACTAATTACCTGTGTCTGACAGGTACAAGGAAGAAAGAAAAAAGAAAATCCACCCGTCTCTGCCTTGCCAGTCACCACAAGGTTAATGTCTTCTAGCAATGTAGTTAGTGGCTGCGATCCAGACTCTGCATTAACGGCAGCGGTCAGCAGCACCAACTGCTCAGGTCCAGGCAGAGCAAGCGTGGAGAGGCGGACGTTGTTAACACTGCACACCAGCTCCAACCAGGACTTTCTGCTCCTTGGTGGGTCTTTACCTCATCAATGATTACTCCCCAGCAACATCCCAGAGTGGTAACTCTTTATCAACTTGGAGCCTGACTCTCACAGACCACCTGGTTGTCCTTCCACACTCATAGCCCACCTGACTTTCTTTATTGCCAAAACATTCTGGCAACTTCCTAAGTGTGTCCAGTACATCTCTCTCACAAAAGAAAAATCTTTCAACTCACCTTTTTTTTCTTGTCCCTTCTCTTAGTTCAGGGGGAGAGAAATTCACCTTGTGTCACACAGGCTAACCCTTGCCCTCTGCCCCTGCGTCAGTAGAGTCCCCCTCTGTACTGCCTTCCTTTCTCTGTGTCACTGGTCTCTGAGACTTTGAACAACACCTTGGTGCTCCATGAAAATGCCACGTGCTACTTGTGCTCATTGTCACATATTTTCCATTGTGGCTGCAGGCTCCTGTACCCAGGGACAACCAGCAGGGCTCCAGGCATGGCGATTCAGAGGGAAAAGGCAAACGGGACATTTCTTCCAAAGCAAATCCAGAGCAAGGCAGGAGACCAAAGGGAAAAGCTGCACCACAGCCAGGACGAGAGAAGTCCAGCAAAGTCTGCGCACTGGGAGGAGTCCTTCACATCACAAAGGAGGGAAAAGGTATCTTAGCCCCCAGACGCTCGCTCTTTCACCTTCACTTCTGAACTCCTGAAGGATTTGAACATTCTCGATGGACACCTAGGAGCCTTGCCTTTTCCTTGATTTCCTCGTGTTGTGTAGGACCTGAGACCCCAGTTGGATTTATTCCAAGTTCTTGTCTCAGCATTAAAAGAGGAATCCAGGGTCCAGCATAGTAGCCAAGCAGCTAAAAGTCCTTGCCTTAAATGTGCTGGGATCCCATATGAGCGTCGGTTCTAATCCCGACAGCCCCACTTCCCATCCAGCTCCCTGTTTGTGGTCTGGGAAAGCAGCTGAGGACGGTCCAATGCCTTGGGACCCTGCACCCATGTGGGAGACCAGGAAGAGGTTTTTACAGACTCCTGACTAGTGGCTATTAGAAGGCATGACAGTTCCTCAGAACAACTTTCCATACCATTAGAACTTACTGGAAGACTGTTTCATATTTTTTCTTTCCGGGAATGCTATCTTTTTTTTTTTCCTTCTAGGAGGCAATTTTAAATAACATGATGGAAAAAAAAAAGGCTTTGTGACAGAGCTGGCTTAGGTGACTTTCTCCCTCATAGGTCTGCAGTTACTATACAGATCAGATCAGATCAGGCTGCCCAAAGAGACTTCCTTTGACTATGGAAATGTTTTACAGCTGTTCTGTCCAATACAGCAACTACCTCACACAAGTGAAATGTGGCTAAGGCAGCTGAAAAACTCTAGTTTAAACTCTAGTTCCTTCTGAGTACCTGAAATTGAAGTAGCCCCATGTGGCTGGCGGCTGCTGGGCTGGACAGTGCCCTGGACAGTACAGCTCTGGCTCCTGGCAGCTCAGACTTTTCTCAGCCTGAGTCTCCTGCCAGGCATGCCAGCTTCTCAGGCTCACTCGGGCTTCTCCAACACACCAGCTCCCACCTCAGCACCTCTGTCTCCAGGTCCCCTCTTCTGAACGACCCGTCCCCTCCCCAACTCGTTCACGACTACCTTTCCGTCACTGTCTAAGATGGTCTTGTTCACTTCCTCATGGTTCCTCAAAACCGTCCTAAATCCCTCAACCAAGGCCAGCATTTAAGACCAAGAAGACCACTGCCCACCTACCCTGGCTGCGTCCTCACAGGGGGCTCGCAGGTGCTGCCCTCTCATAAGTGTGACGGCGCTCAAAGACTCCCAACTTTACTATGTAAATTCATTCTTATGACTGCAATGTTGTCCCACATTTCTAACATTCCCACAAGCATTTCTCCCTGCTTAAGTACTCCACTGGCTCCTCACTAAATAATGTCTCCTCTTGTGAAAGATCAATCTTGGCTCTATTTATCTCACATAACTCCAAACAAAAAGAGCTTCGAATACATCCAAGGGGAACAGTAATGTTAAGGAAGCAGTGAACACATGGTGTGTTAGGTCCTTGTTGACCAACCTAAAAAAACACAAAGTAACAAAGCTAAACTTACCACAAGTTCAAAGATGTCCATGAAGACAGAATGCCCCTTTGGTGTTTTCTCATTCAGACTGGCTGGCGACCAGATCCAGTAGAAGTAAGTGCCATCTGAGGAGAGGTGCACGGTGCTCATGGTGCTGCCCACAGGAAGGTGATTGGCTGGCATTGGAACTGTCTGGCACACCTGACGCAAAAGGGAGGAAACCACCATTCTTAACAACTCTAATTAATTCAAAATTTCAATTAGTCTGGCATTGATGAAATTAAGTCATTAGGCTTAAGAAATGTGAGAATAAAATGACAAAAATAGGAAAGTTCAGACAACAGACAGTAAAATCTATAAACGGTCATGTAGACAAATGAGAAAATTCTTAAGATTAATTAAATTATATTTTTAAAAATTTTTATTTATTTGTATTAGAAAAATAGATTTGCTGAGAGAAGGGGATATAGTGAGAAGGATCTTTTGCCTGCTGGTTCACTCCCCAAGTGGCTGTAACAGCTGGGGCTAGGCCGGTCTGTAGCCATGAGTCAGGAGCCAAGAGCTTCTTCTGGGTCTCCCACATGGGTGCAGGGTCCCAAGGCTTTGGGCCGTCCTCTACTGCTTTCCCAGGCCACAAGCTGGGAGCTGGATGGGAAGCTGAGCATCTGGGTATGAACTAGTGCCCATGTGCAATCCAAGCACTTGAAGGTGGAACATTAGCCATTGAGTCATTGCGCCAGGTCCCAAATTACATCTTAATAGGCAAAAGTGCCTGAAGCTGACACATACAGGTGCTATATACAACACTAATTAAAAACAAAGTTTTACTGTTGTCAGCAAGCTTGGCTAATAAAGGCCCCTCCTTACATCCTATTAAAAAAAAACATACAAAGTTTTAGATAAATAACAGTTTCTGAAACTTCCTTACTGGGTCAATTTAAGACCGTTAATTACACGTAAAAGATAGAAGTAATACCTTACTCAGTTTTATATCCCCAACACCTATTTCAGGGGCTACCACAGAGTTATTTAATATTACAGAAGGGGAAAAAGAGAAAGAAACAGCAAAAGAAAAATAAAAAGGAAAGCAGAATAGAAGGGGAAAAACAAAATGAAGTTTAAAAGAATGAAGGCCAGGGCCAACATTGGAGCAGAGTGGGTAAGACCTCCACCTGTGGAGCTAGTGTCCAATGGACACTGTCCTCGCTGCTGCATCTTCAATCTAACTCCTTGCTAATGGCCAGAGAAAAGCAGCAAAAGATGGCCTAAATGCTTGGGTGACTGCCACCCATGTGGAAGATGAAGCTCCCAGCTCCTCGCTCCACCCTAGCCAGCCAGCTCCAATACCGCAATCATCCAGGGGCTGAAACAACAGATAAAACATCTCCCTCTCACTTGGTAACTCAGATTTTCAAATAAGTATTGTTTAAAATATATATATATGAGGGTCCAGTGTAGTGGCCTTGTGGCTAAAGTCCTCACTTTACATGCACTAGGATCCCATATGGGTGCTGGTTTGTATCCTGGCAGCCCCTCTTCCCATCCAGCTCTCTGCTTGCAGCCTGGGAAAGCAGCTGAGAACGACCCAAACCCTTGGAACCCTGCACCTGCATAGGAGACCTATAAGCTCCTGGCTTCTAAATCAGCAACAGAAGATCCTCCTCTCTATTTCTTCTTGACTCTGTATATCTGACTTTCCAATAAAAATAAATAAATCTTAAAAAAAAATAGGAGAAAATAAAACCAAGAAAACTGAACAGGGTTTTTAAAAATTTAGCAACAGAAGAATTAAAAAATCCCAAAATACAAAGGTTAGGGGCCAGCACCATGGCATTGCAAGTAAAGCCACTATCTGTGGCTGTGGCTTCCCACACGAGCTGGTTCATGTCTCAGCTGCTCCACTTCATTTCCCACTCCCTGCTATTACACCTGGGAAAGCAGGGAAGATGGTCTACATGCTATGTGATCTCCCATGTAGGAGAACAGGAAGAAGCTCCTGGTTCTTGTCTTTAAACCAGCTCAGCTCTGCCTATTGTAGCCATTTGGGAAGTGATCCAGGCAGATGGAAGATCCAGCTGCCTCCCTCCCTTTCTCTCTCTAACTCTGCCCTCCAAAGAAACAAATAAATAGATCTTTGAAACTAAAATTAGAGGAGGTCAGATTCCTTCAGTTACTCCATCACTTTAGATAAGTCATGGGTTCTCCTACAGTTACTTCTGACTTCATTTATTTCAAATGATCACTTTCCCAAGCTTGTTCTGTCTGTTTCATTTAGTGGCTGTAACCATACTTGGAACCTGCAGTGGCAGGAAGTGCGGAAAGCTGGCAGATCCTGATCAACCTGCAGCTTGCCTCTCTGGGGACAGTGTCAAAGCTTTACGGCAGCACACAGACAACTCGCATTGCTTCAGACCAGCACCATGTCTGGAGACTTAACAACTGTTTCACTCCCAGTGTGATAACTTCTGTTTCAGGTCACACAGGACACTTATATCTGTGTGCATTAGTGACAAGAAATTAAACATCGGGGCCTCCATTGCCTATTCATTCATTATAACCCTCTACAGATCCTTCAATACCTACTTTGTGCTATGGCAATGACAGTGGTGAATAAGCCCAATCCCTGTTTTACAGGAAAGGCAGCAGTCAGTGGCAGACACAAAGAGATGCAACATTCCACTTAGTTTCTGACTGACTACGCTCAGGGAATTCACTCCACCGATGGTCACCCTAACTGGTCAGTTTAACTTTAGTTGAAAGGCAGAAAGTTGCTCAAATTTCAGTGCTGAGCTAAGAACCAAGGGTTCTAGTTCAACTTGCTAATATTATTGACTTTGTGGCACTGGACAAGTTACATGAATTTTCTGAAGTAAATCCCTTCAATCAACAACAGGCACCAGAGCCAGCATCAAGGCATAGCAAGCTAAACCCCTGCCTGCAGCACCACAATTCCACACAGGCACTGAGAGTTCAAGTCATGTATGCTGCACTTCTGACCCAGCTCCCTGCTAACGGCTTGGGAAAGCAGCAGAGGATGCCCCAAGTCATTGGGCCTTACAACTACACAGGACACCCAGAAGAAGATCTTGGCTCCTCGTTTCAGACCAGCCCAACTATAGTCTTTGTGGCCATTTCAGGAGTGAATCAGCAGATGGAAGATCATTCTCTCCCTTCTCCCTGTAAATCTGGCTTCCCAATAAAAATAATTTTTAAGTATCAACAATAGGCACTGAGTGGTTGCCAGGCACCTAGTCTCAGAGGTCTTATCTAGAAGCTGCACGTGCCATGGTTATGGATCACAGGCAGTCAGAGGAAAGAATGTCAAATGATTGTCTAGGCAGGGCTGGGCACTGAGATTCTGACAAGTGAAAATTACGGGTGTTATTATTATCAATCCAACATCAGGTACTGTACTGTGTTCTTGGAATGGCAAGATGAATAAGACAGGATCTGGACCTAAAGGGGTACATGGCTGGTGAAGTCAGATACAAGAACATGAAATGTTATAATGTCGTAAGTGCCTTGAGAGTACTTGTGAGAGCTCTAAAGATGGGTTCTTAGTTAACACACACACCAGTTTCATTCAAAACTTATCTTAAAGCTCCTTCTCCAGGGCAGACATCTGGTGTAGCAGATAAAGCACACGGCCAGGAAGGACCAGGTCTCACATTGCAGTGCCTGGGTTTGAGTCCTAGATCTGCTTCCAAGTCCAGCCTCTTGCGGATATATACCTTTTGCAGTGTATATCTTAGGTGGCAGCAAAGATTCAAATATTTGGGTCCCTGCCACCCTTCTGGGGGATCTGGACTGAACTCCCAGCTCTTGGCTCCAGCGCAGCCACTCTGGTTGCTGCAGGCATTTACAGGAATGGACCAATGGATGCAAGTCTCTTCTGCCTGTCTTCTGAAAAGCTCCCTTTCCCACAGAGAGGCTATTTGGAATACACTGAGTAGGGAAATGATGCCTTCCCCCAAACAGATCTAATAAAAATACAGGTGGTACTTATAACATCTTCGATACTCTAGAACTTGTTTCTTAATCATGAAAAAGGTTCATTTGTTATCCTTAGAAATTCGGATCATTCATGTAAGATATTAATGCCCAAATTATACCACTTGAAAAGATAGCCCAGTAACAGGAAATCTGGCAACTGTACTACGATTACTTCAGACGGTGTCAGAACTTTCCTTGCTCTTTCCAAATCACAAAGACAAAGCCTTGGTTTTCCACATACCTGAAGGGTGTTTTGGTCAATGACTTGGAAAAGAGAGTGAGGTTTATTATCAAAAGACACAGGCCTGTGGAGAAGACAGCCGCTGCCGTAGGCCACCCAGCCTGGCTCCAGCTCCTCGTTCCGGCAGTACACAAACCCTCTGCGGAAGACAAAGGGACACAGACAGAGTCACTGGGCCACAAGCTGCAACAGACACACTCTGTATCTAACTTTACACATGACCAAGTGCTTAAAATAACTGACACAGTGACTACAGCACATTAACTTTGGGACAGACTTTTGCAAAACTAATTTTCCACAATGACTTAGAGAGGAAGGAAAGTAGGGAAAGATCTAAGTAAATATAAATGAAGCTACAAGTGTTGCTTTGGGCAGCAATTCATCATTCTTCTAATCCAGCTGAAAATCACAGCTAACCCAATGTCACATGCAAAGAAAGACTTAACTAGAAAAATGTCTATTTGGTGACTGGGAGAAGTCACTGATACATACATACATACATACATACATACTTAAAAAGCCTGACCCTGGAGGAATTTCCAGCTAGACACAAAGATCTGAGGGCTAGCAAACACTGCAGTCAACACAGAACTAAAATGCATCAATAGGACAAGACTGGAAGAGGTGGCAGTGAGAGAAGCCTGGAATCATTTGTATGAAATCAGATCTGTTCTTCATTTAACCACTGTACGGGGAGTCAGGGAGTCAGGGTGCACCTCCAGAGCCGTTCACAGAGATTTATGTAGGGAGGGAAATGTTCCAGCCAAATCATTCAGCAAGTTCCATGCAACTGACCTGAGAGTACCATGTAATCCAGACCCCAATTTGCTTACTCCTCTTCCAACTGAGTTAGTAGTATACAGGTAAAGGCCATCTGCCGTGAGACAGCGTCCCAAGTCAGCATCTGAAATCGTTTTTTCACAAGTAAATGATCTATATGCTTTGTCCAATGAAAGTATAAACATGCTTTTTCTAATGAAAAAGCCATTAGGAAGTTGAGTGAAAGATAACCTCCCACTTTTAAAAGTGCTTCAATGTGACTTTCAGGGAAGATGGCTTAACTCCCCCAAATCAAACACCCAAAATACATGTTGTACCAGGGGACAAAATCATGGAAAGAGACTGGATAGTTTTATTAATAGGGGAACTGTGAAATGGTTTTTCTTAAATTTTTTAAAAGTAAAAATACAGAGCTAATTTTAAACATTCCTAAGATGAAATAACTACAAGTATATATATCACAAAAATTTTTAATATATTTGCATTTTACTTGAAAGGCAGAGACAAGAGAAGGAGCAATCTCCCATCCATTGGCTCACTCCCCGAATGGCCCCAGCAGTTGGGCTGAGCGAGGCTGAAGCCAGAAGTCAGGAGCTGGGAGCCCAATTGGGGAACCCAAGGACTTCAGCTGCCATCATCTGCTGCTTCCCAGGGTGCACATTAGCAGGAAGCTGGGACTGGAAGCAGAGCCAGCCCTTTAACTTAGGCATTCCTGATACGGGTTGTACAGCCCAAGTGACGTCTTGATTTCTGCACCAGATACTTGCCCTGAGAGTAGAACACTGTACTAATGACTACAGAGTCAGAAAGGCATAAGCTCATAAGAGCCTGGGGTACCAACTAGACGACCTTGGACCTCTTTGAACTTCAGTTTCTCCATCGATGAGATGATGACAATAACAGGTACCTTAAGGGTCAGTGCAATGGCTAAATGAGAGAATTCAGGCTGTAATATCTACACTGCTCTCCAATCCAAAACCAGTGTTTCATAAGGCACAAATGAAATTATGTTCATATACAAATGGTATACACTGAACCTAAATATAGCCTGCCTCCGATGAGATCCTAGCTTTGGATTCTGAAGGGACATCTCATAAAAGTGCATCCTTTCTACTTAAAAAGAGTAATTATATCTACTCCAATTGGAAATAAACAGCCTGGGCCAGTGTTTGGCTGAGCAGTTAAAAAGATGCCACTTGGGTTGTCTGCACCCCATAAAGGAATGCGCTCTCCTGCTAATGCTGCCCCAAGCCAGCAGGCTGCAGCACAGGCGCTGGGGTTGCCATCACTTCCGTCAGAGACCTGGCTGCTGCTCCGGGTCTTGGCTTTGGCCTCGTCCTGCCCTGATATTTGTGGACATTTAGGGAGTGAGTCCGTGAATAGACGATCCTTTTCTCTTCCCACCCTGTCCTATCTCCTATTTTCCTGCTTTTTAAATAAAAATGCATCTCTTTAGATGAGGGGGTGGGAAGGAAACATCATTTTAATAAGCAGTATTTCTCTATATGATGTAAAAATTTATTAACTTATATTCCAAAGAATTTGCCTTAAAACAAAGCTTATGGGTAAAATTTCCAATATTTATTGTTATTTTTTTAAATATTCATTTATTTTTATTGGAAAGGCAGATATACAGAGAGGAGGAGAGACAGAGAGAAAGATCCTCTGTCCGATGGTTCACTCCCCAAGCAGCCACAACAGCTGGAGCTGAGCCGATCCGAAACCAGGAGCCAGGAGCTCCTTCGGGTCTCCCCTACAGGTGCAGGGTCCCAAGACCTTGGGCCGTCCTCCACTGTTTTCCCAGGCCACAAGCAAGGAGCTGGATGGGAAGCAGGGCTGCCGGAACCAGAACCAGCACCCATATGGGATCCCAGCGCATGCAAAGCGAGGACTTTAACCACTACGCTATTGTATCAGGCCCCAATATTTATTTTCATAATCATTTCATTTCCCATGCTTAAGCAGAATTTGTCTACCTAGCACATTTCATATTAGTTACAGGAAATTCATGTTATATCATTCAGTTGGCACAGTGTACACTGTTATCTTAACCATTCACCCTCCAGGGCGTGCATCTGGCCTGGGAGTTAAGATGCTGGTTGGGACACCCACATCCCATATCAGAGGACCTGGGCCAAGTCCCAGACGCTTTCCTGATCCCAACTTCCTGCTAATACCCACCCTGACAGCTCAGCCAGCCAGGTCTCTGTACCCACGTGGGACGATGGTTGAGCCCCCCGTTCCTGAAGCCAACCTCCAGGCAGCCTAGGAACGCTGCAGGCGTCTGGGAAGCCAGTCAGCGGGCAGGGGCCGCGTGGGCTCTCATGCTCTCCTTTCTCTAGCTCCCAAATAAATGCAGAAACTTTTTTCCTTAGAATTTTTTTTTTAATTCAGCCCACTAATCTAAAACAGTAGGATTTATATCTATTTGGTCTTTTTAAAAAATCAGTAAAAGTAGGTAACCATTTTTCAAATATTCATCTTACATCTTATATTTAACTTAAAACTTTTAAAAATTGTATTTATTCACCCATATTTAGCTCAAAGGCCAAGGCCTTTCAAGTGTTGGACTGATGGGGGCTGAAAGTGATGGGGTGGACTGAACAAGCCTGAGCAGGATTTGATACTTGCTGAAACTGAGTGACGGGTAGACCGGGTTTATGTAACTACTCCTTCAACTTCCGCCAGCATTGAATGCTTCAATATTTAAAAATTACATAAAATTATCCTAAGGGAAAAAAAATCTCGACCCAGAAACAAAATAAGAGGCTAAAGAGCAAACAGATCATTTTAATGCAGGCACAGCCCATGAATGCCTCTCCTGCAGGAGATTTCAAATGGAAGGAACAAAGAAGGGGCCTGGGTTCCACAGGAACGCGTGCGCGGGAACCACAGTGACTCGTGGGCACTGTGGCTTGCTCGGCTGAGTCAGGAGAGAGGAAGGCTTGCCTCTTCCCCTCAGCCCTCTCCAGCCACAGCGAAGGACTGGAGAAAGGCACAGGCCTGGGCCTGGCAGGTGCAAGGCGGCCTGTTGCTCAGCCCGCCCCAAGCCCCAGAAAGGACGTGCCATCCACGGTGGGAAACAAGGGGGTGGGCAGAAGAGGCTCTTAACTACGCAATGAATGAACACTAAGCTCTTTGTCAAGTCTTTCTAAAACACTCAATTCTGTTATGGGAACAACTTACTGGGCTTTTCAGTTCCCATTTTATCAATTATGCAATATTTAATGAAACAATCACATTAACAAGTATCGACTATAGTAAAAAGACGGGCTTGGGAATGAGGCCAAGCATGGCAGCTCCACAGCGACTAGAGCAGGTGGGCACAGTGGCACACTGGGTACGCCATGGTATGCCGCAGGTGGGGCTTTGGTGGGTCATGACACTCATCCAAGAGAAGCCTGAGCCAGCCTGGCACGTCGCTTACGTGCAGCACGACTGACAGGGCTTCTCCTTCTGAAATAACAGATTAAACTGACAATGTGAGCCTGTCAAACTGTGGAAAAGCACTTTAATGTAACCTGCTTTGTTTAAAGGGGACTTCAGTTCCCGCTCCCTTGGACCTTTCTGGTTTTTCACTTTAGGACAGGGATGTCCCTTAACACACAGCAAATCACCAAAAGGACAGTATCAAGCAGCAAGACCTGGTACTCCAATAGACAAAAAAGGACTCAAGGCTCCTACACCCAAACTCACAGACCTGGGAATGCATCTAAGTGAGCCGTGCTCCTTGGCAGCAGCGGACTCGGGACGCCTCCTCCTCGTGTGAGGAAGGCCTCTCTACTTCTGTCCTCCCCAAGTATCAGCTTTTATACTTTCACCGATAAAGTGCACAATGAGCACACTATGTCAGAATTTTGAGCTCTTAATTAAAAGGAACACAATTAATCTAAATCATTTGGCCACAGTGATCTGACACCATTCTTTGTGCTTCTTAATGTCAACAGCAAGACTAAAACCTGAATGTTACCTTTATTTTCAGAACTGGAGCCAGTGTTGCTATCAGGTGCAGGCAACATGTCTTCATACCCCCACGATACTATGTGTTTGCCTCCGAGCAAGCAGGAGGGGGATCCGGGCCCGCCTTCCAAAAGCAACAGTCTGTAAGGAAGGGGCACATGGAGGGAGTCACAATGACACCGAGTCACTCCAGTTAGCAAGAATATAAAAGTCCATCATCTTGAAGATCAAAACACTCTAGTAGTGCCTCACAGATATTAGCATCTGAAGACACCACAGATCTTATGTGAAAAAAAAATGCAGTATTTATATAAGTGCTGATTATATCTGTGTGTGAGATGAATATTTTTATATATAAGTGTGTGAGAACAAGAAAAACACAGAAAGAAGTGCAAATCAGGAAGTTCATACACAAAAATGCTAGCAGTGGTTATCTTTGGATTATGAGGTCATTATGTTTATGTCAACATAATCATTATCTGAGATCTACAGTAAAAATTCATCAGATGCTATTCTATCTTTTAGAAATACAAAAAGTTAAAAGGATGAAAATAGGAACACTGTCAAAGGAGAGAAGGTAAGATAAACTTCTTAAGAAGTTAAATACGACTCTATGCTTATTTAGAAAGATGAATTATTCATTGACAACAGCCTAGCCATCTGTTTAGTACCACAGCCTCGACACCAACCTGCCCTCTTGGGAGGAGGGTCAGAGTCCAAGGTGACAGCTTACCTATACAGTACATCGGCCACGGGCAGAGACCCGAGGTCGGGCTGCTTCTGTAACAGATGAACTGTGTGCACAAAGGTCTTCAGGGATCCCCTGGGAACAAGAGCAAGGAACAGAAAACCATCAGAACTCAACCTTGAAAGCATGCGGGCTGTTAATGTTGATTCTATTAACCACTTGCAAAGGTTCTGACATGTATCTGCCCACTGGCCCTTTAGCTATCCCTCTGGCTCACGGGAGCAGCCCCATTCCGATTCTGAGCCTGTGCTCATGGCATTGGGAAAGGTAAGCGATCTTCCCTATAGACACAAAAGTTCAAAACAGAAAACTCAAGTGCGAAGAATTTGCTGTTTCCATCACTAAGTCACCCTCTAGGGCAGAGGAGAGAGGCCATAAAATAAGATTCTTACTTAAAGTCTAACAATATTGTCAGGTTTTTTATTTCTCTAATATCGTTGTTAGTCTATTTTGGATAACCTCTCATTCAACTCCAACTTTTTATTTCATTTTATTTTATTTTATTTATTTGAAAGTCAGACACACAGAGAGGAGGAGAGACAGAGAGGAAGATCTTCCATCCGTTGATTCACTCCCCAAGCAGCTGCGATGGCCGGAGCTGAGTTGATCTGAAGCCAGGAGCCAGGAGCCTCTTTCAGGTCTCCCACACGGGTGCAGGGTCCCAAGGCTTTGGGCCGTCCTCAACTGCTTTCCCAGGCCACAAGCAGGGAGCTGGATGGGAAGCGGGGCTGCTGGGATCCCAGTAAGTGTAAAGCAAGTAGCTCTGCCACTAGGTTACCACACTAGGCCCACTCAACTCCATCTTACTAAATATGAATCAAGGGATACATTTAGATCATCAAGACTGGGCCCAGAAATGCTGCTGTGTCTCTCCCTGCTGAGATGTTCACATGGCTCACACCCCCAGGCTGCAAAGTGCGTAACATGGACAGCAGGATCTAAAAGGAGGTACTTTGAAGACTTACGTGGCAACATCCCAAGTGCAAATCACTACAGAAATGCTTCCTGCCCTGAAGGATCACCCGTGTCAGATGGGCGGGCTGGGCTTGCTGCCTTATTCTCTCAGGCAAGGCTTTAACAGTTAGGTATCACATATCTAAGCCCCAACGAAATGGAATACCTAGTCAGGGACCAAGTAGACCTAGAGTTCTCCTAATTGCCGCTTTCACTATCTCCAGTTTCCAGAGAATAAAAACCAAAGAACTGCATAAGGCAGGGAGGCAGCAGACCCGGTTTAAAAAAAAAAATCCTCTGAGACCTGGTTCTGCCATGCGCCAGTCAGCGACATTATCCAACTCCTGCGGATTTTGGCTTCTTCATCTGCCAACAGGAATATCTCTCTTGAGAATAGTAACATTCAGAAACAAGCAACTTTAACGGTTGGAAGATTTAGAGCCACTTACCAACTATAAGGAATTATTATCTGCCACATTCAACTGGATTTTGAGTAAAATTTAAGGGCCTCTCTCTAAAGTGATCTTTCACTTGTGTTTGTTGCTCACTGTCTTCCTCCTTCACTTTCCCGAAAATTCTGCAGTTTTAGGGACTACCTGACTGTCCATCACTGCATCCCTACCTTGGAAAGAATGCCTTACAGGGGAAAAAGTTTTTGCAAAATCTAACACCTGGGATCCATTTAGCTGTCCCATTATGGCCCTAAAACGCAGCAAGGAGCCTGCTTATCAGAGATGTTCAATAAACGTTTGCTGGCTGAATGAATAAACATCTTCATCACAATTTTTTGAAAAAGCTGTTTTATATTTGAGAGCATCAGTCTCAAAAATTCAGTGATAAGCCCACCATAACTTTATTAAAAGGTGTTCTCTGACACTGGAAAGCATGTGACTTCTGAGGTGAATAAGGTCACAGCAGGGAGAGAGATAATATTAGCAACAGAATATGGAAGAATCTAAACAAACATCAAGAAGAGGAAGAGGGGTTGGAGCTTGGCAAAGCGGGACATCCTGCCACCCCCAAAGCTGGGATCCCATTTGGCCACCAGTCTGTGTTCTGGCTCCTCCGCTTCAGCTCCAGCACCCTGCTAACGGTCCAGGAAAAGCAGTTAGAATTTAGCTCACATGTTTGAGCCCCTGCCACCAGTAGGGAATACCAAGAAGAAACTTTAGGCTTTGGTGTGGCTAGCCCAATGCAGCCAAGTGGAGAGTGAGCAAAAAGATGCAAGATCTCTTTCTCTCTGTCTCTCATTCTTTCTAACTCTAAATTTCAAAATAAATCTTGAAAAAGAGAAAGAAAATAAAAGCATCCTCATTTCAACATCTTTGCAGAATAGAACTTAGCTGGAATCAAGTACATAAAGCAATCTTTTAAAAGAGATTTATTTATTTTTATTGGAAAGTCAGATTTACAGAAAGAGATAAAGAACTAAAGATCTTCCATCCACTGGTTCACTCTTTAAGTGGCTGCAACAGCCAGGGCTGAGGAGATCGGAAGCCAGAAGCCAGGAGCCTCTTTCGAGTCACAGGTGAAGGATCCCAAGGCTTTGGGCATCCTCTACTGTTTCCCAAGGCCCCAGCAGGAAGCTGGATGGGAAATGAAGTCTCTGTCTCCTCCTCTCTGTGACTCTGACTTTCCAATAAAAAATTTTAAAAAAACCTTTAAAAAAAAATTTTAAGTTAAATGTATGCTTAGGTGGTGGGAATTGTAGCCCTGTGAGTTAAGTTCCCACTTGGGGTGCCTGTACCCCATAGCAGAGGTTCTGCTTTGAGAACTGTCCGCTCTTCTTCCTGAGGGAGGCACTGAATGATGGCTCTGGTGCTTAGGCCTCCGCCTCCTCCGCAGGACACCTGGCTCCTGGCCGCGGTCTGTCCCAGCGCCTGCTGCTGCGAACGTCAGTGCAACGGACCAGTGGATGAGAACTCTCGGTGCTATAGCGTGTCCCTCTCTCCGCTGCTGTTCTATCTTCTGAGTAGACGTATTCAGATGCCTATACCCCTACCAGAGTGCCCGTTTTGAGACCAGGATACTCCAATCCTAAAATGGTTTCCTGCTAATGTGCACCCTAGGAGGTAAGGTTCTATGGTTCAAGTCCATTGGCTCTGGGCAGCTGTGTGACGACGCTCGCAGCCCAGGTTCCTGACTGCAGGTGGCTCAGCCCTGTGGATGCAGGAATCTGGGGACTGAGCAAACAGAAACAGACAACAGACGGACGGAGCGTCTTTCTCCCCACCTCTTCCTTTCAAATCAAATAAATATAGATTTTTGAAGAGAGAAGATAGCCAACAAATCTTTAAAAAACAACAATAAAAATGAACTAACCACATAAGCACATGTCATGATTTTCATAATCCAATTGCAGTTTTCAGGGTTCTAAAACTAGGTTATTTGAGTTTGCTTAGGGGGAAAAAAAAAAAACCCTGACAATAATACTGGTAACATTTCATCTTAAAAATAACTTGAGATTCAATCATTTGAAAGTCAACCTAGAAACTATTCAAAGAAAAAACAGAGAAATAACTAAGAACTCCATAATCGACCAAGAAGTTTTCTCACATGTTTGGCTTAAAAAAATTTTTTTTTTAAAAAGAAGGAAAGAAAATTATTCACAACCAAGGAAAAAAATTCTGAGGGAGATGAACACGTTAGGGACACTAAAATGTCAGAGCACGGTCCGAGCTGCTGAGGGGAAAGCCAGAATGGCAGGTTTCATTCTCCCAAACATGCGCTGGTGATCAGAGACTCCTGGGCACACTTCCTTCTGATTGTCAGCTCAGTGACACCCCTCACTGGCACCCGAAATACGGCACGCTGTTAGATTCTGATAGCGACTGAGAGATCTTTCCATTACACATGATGAAGGTGAAAGCCAAGCTCCAGAAATGTAATTTGTCACTGAATCCAGGTGAGCAACCACCCACTAGCTTTCTGCTACACTGCTTATGGTCAGACACGAACAGAATCTAAAGCACCACAATCAAAACCCTCCGCTCTGCGGCGCTCCATCCAATAGAGGTGGGGCTCATGTCCCCACCGCTCCGGTTCTGATCCAGCTCCCTGCCTGCATCCTGGGAGGGCAGCCGAGGATGGCCCAGGCTCTTGGGCCCCTGCACCCACATGGGAGACCTGGAAGAAGTGCCAGGCTCCTGGCTTTGGACCAGCCCAGCTCTGGCTGTCGCGGCCATTTGGGAAGTGAGCTAGAACACAGATTTCTTTGCCTCTCCTTCTCTCTGTGTGAATTTGCCTTTCAAATAAAAATAAATCTTAAAAAAAAACCTTCAAGATAAGCTTATTGTAATTTTGAAATCTATTCAAATGAAAAGTTCATATAAGATGCATATTACTAGAAAACTGTAATGAACTGCGTACTTTTTTCACACCAGAATAAATGTATCATTTACCCCCACATTTCCATGTACTTTGTGAAGTACCCTTGTAGACATAAGGCTTGATTCCCCACTTTACTTATTTATTTATTTATTTATTTTTAAAGATTTATTTATTTTTATTACAAAGTCAGATATATAGAGAGGAGGAGAGACAGAGAGGAAGATCTTCCGTCCAATGATTCACTCCCCAAGTGAGCGCAACGGCCAGTGCTGTGCCGATCTGAAGCCAGGAGCCAGGAACTTTCTCCAGGTCTCCCACACGGGTGCTGGATCCCAAAGCATTGGGCCGTCCTTGACTGCTTTTCCAGGCCACAAGCAGGGAGCTGGATGGGAAGCAGGACTACCGGGATTAGAACTGGCACCCATATGGGATCCCGGCATGTTCAAGGCAAGGACTTTAGCCCCTAGGCCACACTGCTGGGTCCTACTTATTTTTTTTTTAAGATTTATTTGCTTTTATTGGAAAGGCAGATATACAGAGAAAAGAGACAGAGAGGAAAATCTTCCATCTGATGATTCATTCCCCAAGTGGCCGCAATGGCCAGAGCTGCACTGATTTGAAACCAGGAGCCAGGAAACTCTTCCAGGTCTCCCACGTAGGTGCAGGGTCCTAAGGCTTTGGGCCGTCCTCAACTGCTTTCCCAGGCTACAAGCAGGGAGCTGGATTGGAAGCAGGGTTGCCAGGATTAGAACTGGCGCCCACATGGGATCTTGGTGCATGCAAGACGAGGCCTTTAGCTGCTAGGTTACTGTACCGGGCTCTGATTCTCCACTTTACGCTGTTTAAGCAGAAAGAGAAAACTCAAATTCAGGCTCCCGCTGCAGCACCTGGCACCAGCGGCCCTTCCGGAACGTCAGAGATCCTGTCAGACAGACTCGCCCCTCGTTCACTCGCCCAGCCCCGGAGGCAGCAGTGACAGCATCATGACTGCCCTTACCTGGCACAGGCCAAGGCCACCAGAGCGGCAGCAGCATTTTCCTTTTGCTTCTGTGGGATGTGCCGGCCTGTGTCAGAGGTCTCTTCTAGCCAGGAGCACAGCAAGGTTTCAATGCCATTGAGACAGTCGGCGGGCTCCTTGGTCAAGCTCAAGGGCTGGCAGTCACGAAGGCAGTTCAATAGCACCTCAGCGGTTATGTTACAGAGAGAGGGGTCCGTTCTGCTCTGGGACTGGATGAGGGGGAAGACCAGCAGCAGCCCCATCCGCGACGTGAAGGGCGCCTGCTCCGGCTGCTGCAACAAACCCTGGCGCTTGAGCAGGGCCAGCGTTTCCTCGTCCCCTGAACTGTCCCTTTCATGCTGTTCTTCCAGGGCCAGCTGGCGCTGCGCGTTCCACAGTCCCCGCAAGGCATTCAGGCGGTATTCCAGTAGGCGGGCATAGGCATTGCTCTGGTTCCCACAAACGGAGCGCAAACGTTCTGCTAATTCCGTCGGGTTCTTGGTCTCAAATGTCAAGATCTTAAAAAAAAAAAGAATGAAACGGGTTATGCATTATTCTCACCAAAGTCATCTGTGGAAGCAAGCATTTCTAACGGTTTCCAAGGAGAGAATATGTATGTAAAGTTAAGTTTAAGCTAAGTCTTTGCTGATGGAAACTGCTGCCCCATCACTCTATTCTCAGCTTTCCTGATCAGATCTGCCAGGAAGAACCAAATCAAAAAACAACACAGTGGGTGTGCTGTGATGTTCAGAAATGAATCCAATCCATAGAGTTCAGGTGCACATACACCTGAGAGTAGTACGAAGCGTCACCAGTGAGGAAAGGGCACAGTACATCCTGGGTTAGATTCTAGACCAGAGTCAGCACAGGAAGAGGCTCAGAATCAAAGCAGAGAAAATTCTATCTTTACTGTGGGAAAGCAACCAATGGTCATGAGGCGCTCAGTATGCGGGTGCAGCACGGCTATATAGGAGCAGAGTAAGGACATTTTGGGGAAAGAAGGGACTGCCTCTGCTGGTGGCGGTGGTTCCACAAAACTCTCTACATACGTGTCCAAATTCACTGAATCCTCAAAAACAACAACAAAAATATATAAATTTAAAAATTAAATAAAATAAAAATTTCTACCAGGTCACAATTTCATTCAGTACAGTATTACTAGGTAAAGTTATATTGAAAATCAGATTACTAAAAATAAGAACTAGGTATATTTTTACCTAATTTTTAATACAACATAGTCAACAAAGTAACAATTAACAACATAGCCTTCACCCTCAAGTCACCCAAGCTAACTTTCTCAGGGCCCATAACATGACATAGTGGGCTAAGACTCAACATATGGTGCCAGCATCCCATATAGGCCCCATTCATGTTGTAACTAACTGTTCTACTTCCCATCTAGCTATCTGCTTATGGCCTGGAAAAGCAGTGGAGGATGGCTCAAGCCCTTGGGCCCCTGCACCCATGTGGGAGACCCATAAGAAGCTCCTAGCTCCTGGCTTTGGATCAACTCAGCTGTGGTCATTACAGTCACCTGAGAAATAAACCAGCAGGTGGAAAATCTCTCTTTTTCTCTCTAGTTCTCTCTTTCCTTCTCTGTTACCGTGCCTTTCAAATAAAAACAAACAGACCTTTGGGTCCAGCATGGTAGCCTAGCAGATAAAGTCCTTGCCTTGAACATGCCGGCATCCCATATGGGCGCTGGTTCTAATCCCAGTGGCCCCACTTCCCATCTACCTCCCTGCTTGTGGCCTGGGAAAGCAGTCAAGGATGGTCCAAAGCCTTGGGACCCTGTACCCACATGAGAGACCCAGAAGAGGCTCCTGGTCCCTGCAGCTCCGGCCAGTGTGGCCATTTGGGGAGTGAATCACCAGATGGAAGATCTTTCTCTCTGTCTCTCACCCTTTCTCTGTATATCTGACTTTCTAATAAAAATAAAATAAATATTTTTTTAAAAAAATCTTTATTTTGGGCCCAGCAGCGTGGTGGGCTAGTGGCTAAAGTCCTCATCTTGAACGCGCCGGGATCCCATATGGGCGCCGGTTCTAACCCCAGTAGCTCCACTTCTCATCCAGCTCCCTGCTTGTGGCCTGAGAAGGAAGTCGAGGACAGCCCTAAGCCTTGAATCATCGGACGGAAGATCTTCCTGTCTCCCCTTCTCTCTGTATATCTGATTTTGTAATAAAAACAAATAAATCTTTTTTAAAAATCTTTATTTAAAAAAAAAAAACTAGCTTTTTCTATCTTGTCTGAACTCATCAAATAAAACATACCTTTTTGGTTACTTTTCAGATAAAATACTTCATTTCCTTAAAAAGTGACCCTATTTTAAGACCTGCCTTGAAGCTATCATTATATTGAAGAAAGCTAGATTGCCTTTTTCCTTTCTTGTTCCACTCCTCAAAAAAATGATTACTCATCCACCACCATCAATAAACAAAAATTACTCAGATTTTTTTCCATGAAGTGAAAACTACCAAATTTTAAAACTGACCACCTTACCACTTATGAAGACCCAAATAAGAAATTCAGTTTAAAAAAAAATTCTCATCAATTTTACTGATTTTATGATTTCCTCCACCCAAGAAAATGCTTTGCTCTAAAGCACCCACACTTTTCCCAGTTTTACATGTGGTAAAGTGATCATCTGCTCAGGCTACCTGAAGCAACTGCTGGAAAAATTCAATAGAGGCATTTATTGAACTAAAGAATCCAAGAACAACTTGGTAACATTCAATTCAGCTGTTTATTTTTGCTATAAATCTCAAACTTAACTGCTTTGGAAACATTACTTCATGGCAAAAAAATAATGTATATGATAAAATCTGTAGCTAAGTCCGAACGTTGCAGTCAGCTGACAGATGCTATAAAATACTCTCCATCTTTCAATGGTTATATTTGTACAAGTACTTCTCTTGGGTTTTTAGCACTCCCATTTGAAAGACAATTATTCTGGAAAGATCTGAGTTATAATATAATTAAACAAACACTATACAAAACACACACTTAAGTGACCATTGTGTTTATTGATTTAGCAATATCTAAAGCATATCATGCTTTCAAAAACCCATTAGGATTACTCAGCATCGATCCATTTCCATGACTTCTTATGAAAACTAAGACGTGTCCACTATGCTACTGCCTTTTAGAATTCTAAAGTTTGAAGGTCATGGTCTAAAATCATTTTTCTAAAGACACCATACCTTCAGATTTGAGTATGTCAGCCCGGAGGCTCTATTCTGATTACTTATTAATATTGGATTATTTGTCTGAGATCCTTATCTATATAAAACAAATTTTATTTCAGTCTCTGCTCTGGTCCAAAATGTTCATAGAAAATAAATACTTCTCTCTTTTGCAAAGGGGAGGCTTGTCCAGGGAACAAGAGAGCCCCCTCCCCCTCCACCAGAAGTCTAACTGAGCTTTGGGGACCTGCTGAGGTCACCCCAATCAAGGGAGCAACTGCCAAAGTAATTCACAATCTTAACTGAATTTTTTTTATCAGACATAACATAAGTTTCTAAGCTAAGCCAACAACAAGCATTCTGGAAAGTCTAATAAAAGGAATGCAAAACATTCTTTGCTGGACAGTGAAGGGTCTGAGCAAGAATTCAATTTTTATGTAAGGACAGTTATGAAGTGATCAGATCATGTTCATCTTCTGTCTTGGAAAACACTAGAGAACACACAGCAGGCAGCCATGATCGGAGAGGGGAAGGCAGTCTGCACTTCAAGTCAGCGTGGGGAAAGGATGAGCCAACGGGGGCTGGGAGTGGAAGAGACGATGACACGGGGAAGATGTTAGCTTCACTGGTCACTAGCAGAAAGCGCCAGGAACTAAGGATGTGAGCATAAAGACTGCAATCTACCCTTCTATCTACCCTGCCACTCAGAAAAGCAGCAGCTAATTCTCTAAACAGGTCAATAGCCTTGCAACTCAGAATAGCACAAAGATAATTCTCTAAGCAGGTCAACAACAACGTCAAATCACATTTTTTATACCATCGCATATACTTCTGAAAGAAAGAAAGAAATAGCAGAAACAGAAAATAAGATTCCGTCCTAACTGGAGAAGTGCACATTGATATTCACTGCAGTCTTATGTGTAACGGTGAAACAAGTGGAAGCAATCTGAAGAAATGCAGAATTCAATTGAACACCACTATAGAATATTGCATAATAAATTACGGACAAGCACTTGGCCCTTGGTCAAGCTGTCTGCTTGGGCCGCCTCCCATCCCTGGCTTGTGACTCTCTTTGAAGGGAGAAGTGAGGCTCAGGTCACTGGGTGAGCCCAGACCACCCCCACGGGAGATGCGGACTGAATTCCTGCCTCAGTTTTGCCGTCAGTTCAGCTCTGGCCATGTCAGGCAGCGGAGAAGTGAACTGGCAGATGGGAATGAAGGCTCACTCACTTGTCAAGTAAAAAAAAAAATTTTTTAAGATTTATTTAATTTTATTGTAGAGTGGATTGTTTAAGAAATAGATGAAACCCCAAATCTGCATTTTCTTATCAAATTTTGGAAAAATGTATTCATTCAAACTCATTTTCAATATCTGTCTAAAAAAAATAAGTCGTGGGGTCAGTCCTGTGGCATGGCCAGCACAGCCACCACCTGCAACGGCCCCAGTCCCACACCAGTCTCACTCCAGTCTCACACCAGTCCCAGCCACAGTCCCAGTCCTGGCTGCTCTACTTTTTTGGGGGAGGGGGGTGCTCTGAAACAGCTCCCCATTAAGGCACCTGGGAATGTGGCTTGGAGAAGTGGGGGTGATATAAACAAGGTTTGAATGAAACACAAGTGTCACTTGAGTCAATGCTATTTTAAAAAAGCTAATACAATCTTAAAATGCACCAACAGAACTCCAGTGTCAGGAGCAAAGGAGATAAAATTTGCATTTATGTTCTGCAGTGGTTGAACCATAACTGCCATAATCCACTTGGTTCTGAACACCCCACTTTAAGAACTCATTAACAAACCATGGGGTATACTCAGAAAAACGTGGTTTGACTAACCTGGATATCACACCTTATGAGCACTGGTTAAGGAGTGCGGGGTGCCTGGCCCAGAAAATGCGTCGGGTTGGTAGGGGGTACTCATTCTGAAGCTCTAGTTGACCACAGCATTTATATCACTCAGAATAGCAACACCCATATCAGATTGATGGCTTCAAGTCCCAGCTACTCTGTTTCCCATCCAGCTTCTATAAATGAGTACCCCTGGATGCCTCAAGCACATGGGTCCCTGGTACCTGTAAGGAAGGTGTTGATAAAGTTCTGTACTCCCAGGCTTTGGCCTAGTTGTTGCAGGCATTTGGCGAATGAACCAGTAAAAGGATGACCTCTCTGTGTTGCAGTCTTTCAAATACAATGATAAAACACAGTAAGTATGGGCCCAGCGCGACAGTTCAATGACTAAATCCTCACATTGCAAGTGTCGGGATCCCATATGGGTCCAGTTCTAGTTCTGGCTGCTCCACTTCCCATCCAGCTCCCTGCTTGCAGTGTAGGAAAGCA